GAATTAATGGTGTCGTTTACGACGTCAAGATTTCTATTGGATCCATCAGTTGCTCGACCGCCTGTTACGTCAGTTCCGAGTCCCTCAGTCACGATTTGATTTTGGGAAGACCTTATCGCGGCATTACCCGATTAGAAGAAAAGAATTGCGATGATGGAAGTGTATGGCGTCGTATATTCGACCCCGAATCTGCCAGAAAGCGCTCAATTCCTCGCCGCACCAGCTAAATATGGAATTCAACCTCTGGATACGTACCTAAAAACTTCAAAACGATGGGTTCATCCTGATTACCTTGAAGATATCGACATGCTCTACGGACACAAACTGCAAAGACCCCTACAAATGCGACCGTATATGATCCAGTACTACGAGACAGAAACGGACAGCGAAGAATACAATTCGACAAAAGGAAACGTCACCGAAGAACCGACCGATGCAATTACGACCAACAACAGTCAATTATGGACAGTCAATTATGGACCGACAACAGTCAATTATGGACGACATGCCAATGCTATCTGAAGAATCTGATACCGAAGAAAGGCTTGTTTCAGATTCCGACAGTGATTACAGCATCGATTATGAAGACCTGTTTCAGCCTGATCGACGACGAACTTACCCCGAATACGACTCCAACTCCGATTTCGAAGGAGAACTGTACTCCGTGCAAGTGCGAACGAAATTCAAGCCCGTTGCAAAGAAGATCAAGCCTGTAGCACAATCCTTGCCCAGAGGCATTTGACCAGAAGCTTTACCCAGATCTGCGACTATCGAGACACCCGCTAGAAGTACCGTACGCCAAAACCGATTCGATGGACAAGAACACTTGCTCACTTTCGGAGAAGATTTGACTACCGAAGAACGAGCAGCGTTCTTATGACTATTGCGCAAATACAACATGGCTCTTGCTTTCGACGACAGCGAAAGAGGAACATTGAAGCCACACATCGAAGAACCAGTCAAAATTCATACGATTCCGCATACGCCCTGGATGGTTAAACCACATCGATTACCCTCGCAAATGACAAAACTCGCGACAGACCTACTCCGAACGAAACGAGACGCAGGACTGTTGGAACCTTCATTTGGACCCTACCGCAACCCCTGGTTCTTAGTTCCCAAGCACAACAGAACGCATCGATTCGTACAAGACGTACAGATGCTCAACAGCGTGACAATACGAGATGCTGGATGCGTGCCGATCGCAGAAGTTTTTGCTGAAGAATTTGCTGGACGTTCGATGTTGTCTATGGCGGACATGTATTCCGGATATGATCAAGTACCCCTACACCCCAAATCAAGAGACCTTACAGCCATGCTTACGCCGTTTGGATTATACCGACTTACCCGACTCCCTCAAGGAGGAACCAATTCAGTAGCTCAATTTCAACGAGTAGTCGACAAAGTTTTCGAATCCCTCAAGCCCGACATCGTCAGCGTATATGTCGATGACACCGGCATCAAAGGACCAAAGTACCGAGACGAGACACACGTGAAACCCAACATTCGCAAATTCGTACAAGACCACATGGACGACTGCGAGAAAGTATTTATTCTTACGATCGATTCAGGACTCACATTTTCCGGCAAGACATCAAGCTGGGGAATGTCGAAAGCAAGTTTCGCAGGCATAGTCTGCAGTTACGACGGAAGAGCACCCGAACAATCGAAAATCCGAAAAATCACCAGCTGGCCCGCTTGCCAGAACCTGACCGAAGTACGAGCATTCCTCGGACTTATTCTATTCTACCGCGCCTGGATCAAAGACTTTGCTAAGAAAGCCAACTCCTTGTACAAGTTGTACAGGAAAAACGCTCGATTCGAATGGACGACCAAGCAACAGACCTGTATGGACACGTTGAAACAAGAATTCGTCGCTGCCAAGATATTAGCTGCGCCGAACTACGAAGAAGACGCCCCCCCGTTTATTATTACGACCGACGCTAAACCCATTTCGTGGGGAGCGATACTCTCCCAAGTTGATCCCGAGGGAAGAGAAAGACCGATACGATTCGAAAGTGGATTGTTTACCGAACAGCAACGAAATACCTACCCGATAGTCAAACTCAAATTACTTGGAGCCTACAAAGGAGTTTGCAAGTTACGAACTTACGTTTGGGGCAGACGTTTCAAGCTCCGAATTGACGCCAAACCCTTGATTCAACTACTACGAAAACCCGAATTCCCCGACAGTACCATCACGTGATGGGTAGCACAGTTAATGCTATTCGACTTTGAAATCAAACATATCAAAGGAGAAAAGAACCCCGCGGACAGACTTTTGCGAAAACCCCGAGCAGACGATGACACCGACACCGAAAACGAAGACTCCGACGATTTGGGAATGCACGTATTACGAGCCAATTCAGCCACAACCGAATGGAAGAATGACTTGAATGAAATTTGCCAATACTTGACCGATATGATCGTACCTGCGCGATACAAGTACCCCAGCCAACAAAGAAAATTCTGAAATTGATGTACCCGATACGCTCTACAAGACGATCATCTTTTCTTACGAAACGGAAGATTGAAACCACCCCTGCAAATCATCGAGAATGAACAAGATCAAGAAGAAATTATCCGATTCATGCACGAAAGCAAGGAAGGAGGAGGACATCGAGGCATCCTTGCGACATTTCGAAAAATACGACAACGATATTACTGGCTATTACTTCAACAACCTATGACAACCGAGACACTTCTACGACACCGCATCGAACAATTCCAATACAGAGACAAAGATCTGAAACTAGCGACAGAGCGACTAATCGCAAGCCGAAGAGCTAACAAGAAATATTGGGAAAAACGACACCGAATTAGAAATCCACCTTTCGAACCCGGCGATATAGTTCTCCTGCATAACACGAAACTATTGACTCAGCAAACCGGCAAGACACACAACAAATGGTTTGGACCGTACAGAATTACCAAATCCAACGACAACGGCTCGTATTATATTGAAGAATTAGACCAGACACCGATACGCAAACCTGTAGCTGGAGACCGAATGAAGATATTTCGAACTCGAACCCAGACACAACCGATAGTCGATGACAATACCGAAGATGAAGAAGAAACAGATGAAGAAGACAACGTTACGGACGAGAATTGATGAGGACATCAATATCCGACAAAAGGAAAGATGTAGTAGTGCGCTTCAAACTGCGCATGAAATCGATAACATTCCTGACACTACGACGATTACCAAATACAACTACCTTTACCGAAACCTTGCTTCACAATGACGTTTTGTCCTCGGATACGACTCACATGCGAAAAATGTAGGCGTAGGAGAGGATCTCACACATGAAAGCGCCCCCGACCCGACTCTGAACCAACCAGAAGGTCCCACGACGCCCGAAACGCCGAAGAAATCAACTGCGAAACGAGAAAACCAATTTCCGGTGGCCGTATATGCCGAACGTTGCAGAAAACCCCAAGAAAAGATTAGCGATACGACTGTATCAGTGCCAAAATTGCGAATGGAAAAAGGAAAAACTACGTAGACCGCCGCAGGAAAAGAGAAAAAGACCCCGACGTAGCTAAATCCTCTAGAGACGACTAGTAGAGAATTTGGACTTCGACAAAATCCCATAGCCTAGAAAAATCCGTATAAAAAGCCGCCTGTTTTCCCCAGACCTTTGTACGATACGCAAAACCCCGATCAACAACAGAGCTTTCTACTTCTCTACTCCCGACGACTTCTTTCACTTTCAGATAGACTTCAAGGTGCGCTCATAGACCCGGAGAGCATAGACAAGACGACCCCGAGTGTCGCGACTTGTACTTTGCTGACGTCGCCGAGGACTTGATAGTTCAGGAATCTCGTAAGAAGAACTGAGAGTGAGATTGGATAACCCCGTTGTTTTGTTTTGTAGTCAAACCCGCAGATATTTCCGATTTCGTATTTCGTACCCGTACCCGGAATTCCCAACAATGTATTAGAAGAAGGACTCCTTTCAAGCACCTGGATATTAAGGTGGCAAGACGACGCTCTCGCTTGAGATCTCTTCTTGTGCTATTGAGAGACCGGCAGCTTATTTTTCCCGACACCCGACCGTACCCCTCGATTCGACAGACCCTCGCTTCTGCCGGCCACCACCACACCGTCCTTTGGTCACGTCAAGCACGATGGACCCGGTGTCGACGGGCTGCAAACCGGCCCTGCTGACCACGAGTACTACCACCAGCCCACCTCGCAAGTCATCAATGTTGCACCGACACCCACTGGCAGGATGATACCAGAGGGTTATTACTACGACCCGTACACCTACGCACATCTGACGGAGATGATGGCATCGGTCGCTGCCGTCGCTTCCATCCCACATCCTCACCCTCACGCCCACCCACAACCGCACCACTACCAGCAGCCAATGTACTATGAGGTTGACCCGTCCCACGATCCGAACATGAGCATGCCGTGCCCAATCCCACCGCACATGGCGGGCATACCGCACGGACAGTATCCAACCGAAGTGTACGAGGCGTACTACCGACAACAACCATACCACCCGCAGCCATCATTGACTCGACAGCCATCATTGGAGGAACTGTATTACTCCGCAGCAGACGATGAAAGCGATAGCAATAGAGGTCATTAGCCTATTAGATCTAGAGTAATTCATTCGTAGGTGCAATAGTGATCCATTGGAATATTGCTCCTGTGTATCATAGAGAGCGCGTATTGAGCCGAACACAATCAACGATTTTGGGACTGCTTGTCGTACATGCATCAAATAGAGCGCCCCGATGTCGGAGGTTGCGAGTAGGAATACGAGCGGCGGTGATAACTCGGCGGATGCGGAGGGGAAGCTGAGTGTTTGGAGGGTTGCGAGTGGGGGTTGGCGGAGGAGTGTAATGGGAGGGAGAGGGTCATTACGTACGCCACCCACGCGCTGCCGAGCGAGCCACGCGCGATTCCCATTTCTCATCTCATCCAATCCAATCCAATCGGCCCCCCAAGCCAGGGAGTCTAACTTGCTTGGACAGTTGCGCGTGCCAAGCCTCCCTCCCTCGCTCCCTCGTTCGCTTCCCTTCCAACTTTCCCACGCGCTCACATAAAGCCCACCCCATCAACTCCCCAACTCACAATCCACTCTGCCTACACTGTGCACAAACCATAATTCACACCCTCGCTCGCTCATCCCGCGAAAACCCTTCATCCGCCTTCCATCCTCAGCCCGCCCGCCCGCGCAAAAATGAACACAATAAACAACCACGTCCCGGCCGTCTCCAAAGTCGGTCGCGCGACCATCCACTCGCCCATGCCAGATAACCTCACCGCCGATATCGTTAAAGCCACATCCATACTCGAGCATTTCATAAAGGGGACGAACCAGATGGATGCCGCGATGATTCCGTCCAAGGTTATTGCTAATGCTAAGGGGTAGGTTGATGAGGAGGGGCGAGGGTGGGGATGGAAGATGGGGAGGTGGAGGAAGAGGGAGGGAGGGAGGGATCGCGTGCCATGCGAGCGATAGCGAGGCCCAGAATCCGTATTCGATCTTCTTCTTCGCGAGCGATAGCGAGCGTGGGTGTTCCTTTTTTTTTTTCGGAATGTCTGAGGTGGAAGTATTCCGTCCCTTTCGAGACTCGCAGGCAGTGTTCTTTTTGGTTGTTTTTTTTCAAAGACACCGTGGCGATAATCTTTAGCCGCCGACACTAACAAGAGTGGTTTTTCTTGATCCCCCAACAGAATAGCAGTAATAACAATCCTAAAAGCCGGTTTCCTCTGGTCAGGGCGGGCCGGGTCCGGGATCGTCGTCGCCAAATTACCCGACGGCCGCTGGTCAGCACCCTCCGCGATCGCAGCGGGCGGGGCCGGTTTCGGCGCGCAAATCGGGGCACAGTTGACGGATTGCGTCTTCATCTTGAATAATGAGGCGGCGGTTAAGGCGTTCAGTCACGGCGGGAATTTGACGTTTGGAGGGAATATGAGTGTTGCGGCGGGTCCGAAAGGGAGGTCGGCTGAGGCTGCTGGATGTAAGGGTCGCGTGTTTCATGCTTTCGACGATAATCATCATAACTAACCCCACCACATCCACCCACATCTCTTAGCGGTGGTAAACCTCGCTCCAATCTTCTCCTACTCCAAATCCAAAGGCCTCTTCGCCGGCGTCTCCCTCGAAGGCTCGGTCATCGTCACCCGCTCCGACGCCAACCGCGCGTGCTACGGCCGCAAAGTCAGCCCCAAAGAGATCCTCTCGGGCGAAGTCGCCCGCCCCGTCGAGGCCGAGGGGCTGTACCGGGTCTTGGACTACAAATTCGGGAACATGGGCTCAGGCGTGGTGGTCAATCAGCCGTACACGGACCGCATGAACGCGAAACGAGCGGCCAGTGCACCCGTGTTGAAGAAGGGTGGGGTGGGGAATAAAGTGGGCGCGAGCGTGGGGAGTTTGAAACGGCCGCCGGGTCCGCCTACCACCGCCCTATCCCCAGCAGCGGCTGCGGGATCCATCTCGACACCGGGCCTCTCCCCCTCCGGCAGCATCTCCAAACGCCCGCCACCGCCACCCCCCAAACCCGCGGGTACCGCCGGTGCGAAAACAGCAACGGCGCTGTTTGATTTCCTGGGCGAGCGACCGACGGATCTGAGTTTCAGGAAGGGGGATCGGATTGAGATCGTGAAGAGCGGCGGGGAGGGGGATTGGTGGGTGGGGAGGCTAGGGGGGCGGGAGGGGGATTTTCCTGGTAAGTTTCGTAACTGTTATTGTAATTGGAGTATGGAGTATGGGTATTGACGGGGATTTCTCGATTTTTTAATTTCCGTTTTGCAGGAAACTATGTCCAACAATAAACATCCGCCCGCAAAATTTTGGGACCCCCACGATCTCTTTCCTCTCCACGCATATCCCCTTTCGCTTCACTCATTCTACCGCATATGCCTTTCCGTTCACCGCCGTCATGTTTTGTAAACCCTCGTTCATAAGAAACGAAGACAGTATTTTAAACACCATGAGAGTTGATTCTGAACGGGAGGCTGGACGTCTCGCAGATGAGAAGGATACGGGGGGGGTGGGGAGGAGACGCGCAGGCCCGATGAAACGAATGAAAGGGTTGGTGCGGAAATGGGAGGTTTACAGCTCCTGCGGGCAACAGGGACTTGCCTCGAAAGCTCCTATTTGTAGGTGGGGGCCTACTTGTTTGGAAGGGGAATATGGACGGCGGGTGCAGAGATGGAGCATAGCCCGTCGGTTGCACCGTGCATCTTTCCCACGTCGGCTTTCATATTTTTTATATGTTCTCTCTGCTCACTGCGATGAAGACAATGCTGTCTGGCGTCCTCCAATCGCTGAAGAGTGGAGAGACGCTTCCGTTGGTCATATATCGCGCGGTCGACGTTGTGTTTAGACGCAGGAGCACACACTTTCATCCCGAGTATGCTCTGATCTCCCGTCTTCCCAAGAGAGGATTTGCAAGCTGTATACTGGATATCGGTCGAGAGATTTACATTATAACATTGTTTTGCGTACAGAATTACAGCTCACAAGGGTGTGTGTGAAAATACAACGATGAGGGTCACAGCTTGCCAAAATGGTTGTGCTTCATCAAAAAAAAAACCGCAAGGCGAGCTACGCAAGCAGAGACAGGGGTTCACAGCAGGATGACCCGTCCACAATCAATTGATGAAGTGGTCCAACCACCGCCTCCCCAACCGTTTCGCACTCGCCGAAGCGGCGTGCAAAGGTCTCGCTACACTCGCAATACTCCTGACCCACCGCAGGTCATCTGCCTCCGTCGCGCCAGGCACCTCGACCTCAAAATCGACCTCCTTCAGTACCTCCTCCAACCACCGCAGCCTGTGCATCTTCTTCACATACTTTGGTCGAAACCTCTTGAACAAGACGGTGGTGGTATCCCCCGCGGCGTACTTGCCCACAAACTCCATCAGCTTGCCGATTCCCGCCGGCAAGCTCGTTCCAAGGACGGTCAGGTTGGTGTTCCGGCCGAGTGTGAGGTGGGTTGTGGGGGGCAGGACGAAATCCATGACGCGGGTGCCGTCGTAGAACATGGAGAACTGGAGGGAGAAGGGTTGTGGGGCGTAGGAGACGACGGTGGGATTGTCGAAGGAGGCGTGGATGTTGATTTTGTAGACGGAGAGGGATTCCATGGTGACGTTGTATGTTACGGAGGCGTTTAGCTTGGATGTGTCGGGGGTGGACACGTTGTCTGTAGGAGAGTAGATAAGAGGAATATTAGCAAGCAGTGGATGGAACAGCGAGCGAGCACACTCGAAACCATACTTTTGTCGAACACAATCGCATTCTGCATGGGAACAATCCACGATCCCAACCCATGCAAAGTCATCATCGGGCTAGCCTGCATAACAAACATCTGCACCGGCGCAACATCGGCGCTCTTATTCAACGCCGCCCGTATCAACTCGCGCAAAACGGGAACATTCAAATGATCCACCGAGCTCACAAACTCGATAGGCACCTCCGGACTGCCCTTTGCCACTTCCAACCCGGGGAACTGCATTGAGCCAACTATGTGGCTCTCGTGGGACTCCTGCGTGTTGTCCACCTTCAGCAACGAGAACAGCGTCGGTTGCATGGTCACGTCGACAGGCGGGATTTCGTCGTTGTGCGCTACGGCGTTCATCGAGAGAACAACGCCATCCGGGTTGAGGGAGACGATATGCACCCCGCGAACATCAGCATCGTTGCCCGCCAATGCGTCACGGAGCTTATGCGGGATGTAGATAAAATACACACATAGAAATGCGACGGAGGTCGCAAAGGTTAGGACGAGAAGGCCCAGGCACAGCCATTGTTTCCAGCTGTTCTTGGTGGCCTTTATGAGGAGGTCGGAGTGGTCTGGGTATGTTCCGTTGGCGGCCTGTTGTTGTGTCTCCCCTCTTAGGAGAGGAGTGTCTTCTGTTTGGAGGTGCTGGTCGTCGTCGTCGTCGACTTGGACTGCTGCCGAAGGGTCGGCTGGTTGCACGGTGGTAGCCATGATCCTGACTGCTTTGTCGCTGTGAGTAGATAGTACTATACTACTCTTATCTCTTTCCAGTCATGAATATGAGGTACGTTGTCGGTTGGATTGTCAGTTGGCTGTGTGTCGTTCTTCGGTGGTTGGTTTGTGGAGGAAAGAGAGGAAAGGCGAGTGCGGAGACGCCAGCCCACACCCTGGCCCACACCACACCTCCCGGCTTCAAATTCAGGTTCATCCAGTCTCCAGCCCCGACAAGTTACAACCCTTCAGCAGCTGTCTATACGAAATCATACCCCCATATACGTCCCACGGAGCCTCCGCTTGCTTCATATCGGCTGCTGCCAACCACCCTCGTCCTTCATCCCACTCACATATCCACACCACTCTCACTGCCATCCCTCACGATGCCCTCCCCCTTCGACCTCGACGACTACGCCGAAGAAACGCTCCGCTCGCCAGACAAACTTTCCACGCTATGTCTGCACCGTATCTCCCGGAGCTCTCATGGTACGCCCATCTACCCTTATAACTCCTTTGAATGTATGTATGAAGGCACTGCATGGTGCTGATACGTATATCGGGTGTAGCCCTGAAGTCGCTAGGTCGCGTACCGTACCATCTGGTCAAGGAGGTGTTGGAGAAATGCAATGCGAGCCAGTTGGAGATGTTTGAGGAGAATAGTTTGGTATGTCATCTTCCTGTGTATGGCGTCCTATTATCGTTTCGTTTGTGACGTCTCATACGACCCTTCCCTCCTAGAACATCCTACCAGATTCATGTGGTGCGTCTCATCTACCGGCCAGCCTACTCGCCTAAAAGTCAGTATTGACACCCTTGATTCGCGCTTTCGCAGAGCTTTGGAAAGGACATGTTTTGTCGGATTTTGCGGATTTGAGGGAGGATTATAAAGCCGGAGTTTTGGGGGAGCCTGAGAATTGGCGGGATTTGTATATGGTGAGGGCTTGAGACCTGCTAGAGGGTGCGATGGTGGTGATGGAGTTGGGTGTGCGATTCTCAGATATGTGGATTTCCAGGATAAACGAGCAGAGAACGACGACAAAGTCCGCCGCATGCGAGCCAAACTGCGACGAGCGCGTGACGAGGCTGCTGCTTTGAAGGACGCAAAGAAGATCAAGATTGTTGATCCGTTCATCTTGCCGGGCCGTGGGACTGGGAACCCTTTCCTGCCGAAGAATAAACGGGCGGAAAGCAGTATTCTCAGCAAAGCGCGCAAGGATGCTAAGAAAGTGTAAGTAGGCGCTCCGTCCCTGTCTTGTCATCTCCCCATCCAACCCTCTGCTCACACTCCGACACCCCTGACATCCCCAGATCCCGCCACTTCGACGTAATCGCCTCCGCCGCCCCATCAGCGACCTCGCGAGGCCCGCATCCAGGCCGTGCAGCGACATCCGGCCTCCCATCGTCATCACTGAAACGACCCGCCCCGTCATCTTCGTCGAATGCGAGCGGGAATGTGGCTCAGCTGCCTCCTGCAAAGAGACCAAAGAATGGAGGGTTCACAAGCAAGGCTATGTCTTCTCTTGTGAGTTGTTATCTCCTGGGGGGATTGATTCCGGGGGACAGTGTGAACTGATGCATTCTGGCTAGGCTCGTAAGCTGCGCTGAGTTCAGCCTTCGCGATTTTTTTATTTTTGGACCGCCCCACTTTTCATTTTTTGGATACTTTATCGGACCGACTCGTCTCGCGAGATGACACGGCGTCTTGACATACTCGATTCACAGCATATTTGGTAGCGCATATTCATGAGAAAGGGCCGGTGTTTGTGTGTCTTGGGACTTTTCTCAACGCGGACACTTCTCGACTCACTCCCGACTTGCTCCCAAGAACCACAACACCTTTCATTTTAGGCATTGTTCTGGCACTCGCATAGTAAATGTAGTCGGGGAATAGAAAAAGAATAACATAGGAAATCGCTCGGGGCACCCCCCAAAACTCTTCGGGGCACCCCCTTTAGTGCTTTTAACAGGGACGTCCCTGCGTCAACCCAGCGTGCACTGTTGGCCTTCGAGCATGAGGAAAGAGCTCTTGCCAAGGCCAGTGGCCTGCGGAAGTGCTCCTCATGCAAACAGTAATGACAGGATGTCAAACACAATGGTTCAACCTGCGCTTTGATGATTGGTGGACTCTGTATATATATAGTACTCTGCTCTGTGCTTAGTTTTGTTGGATTCTCCTTCTTCCGATGGTCCTTTCATGTGTGTATTAGCCATTTAACCCTGGGGGAAAGGCAAAAGGATAATCTTCAAAGTGAGAGGTGAACGTGAAAATGACAGCATTGCTGTCAAAACGACGCCAAAGAGGGTGGCTAGAACAATTATGGTTGGGGGTGCCCGGATCCATTCCCATAACATAAATCATATAAGGGCCCCCATCCTCTCCTGCACTACGCCCCTAACCCTTGCACCATCAAACATCATCCGGCAGGTACGGTCTAACCAACCTCGTAAAAGAACTATTCCTCGTCCTAATCCCCTTCACCGACAGATTCCAAAGATACTTCTTCCCCGTATTATAAACATGACTAGCATATTGGTAATCATTGTAGAAATTCCACTCGTCCTCCAAGTGCACAAACGCCTGATGATTGGGCCAATACCCGGGCCAAAAAAAACTCGTCGGGGGTAACACGCAGATCTCACCCTCTGGTGCAGTCAACGACATATTGTACGGCAACACCACGGAGTGGTCGGACCAGGCCGCGTCGTTGAAGGTGGTGTACGCGGCGTACCAACGGTGCAGGAAGGCGGAGGAGGGCGAGGCGAGAATGACGGCGTTGCAGAGGCCGATATAAGGGGCGGTGTGGCCTTCGAGGCCCATGACGAGGGGGTGGTGGAGGAGGGGGTCGAGGGGTTTTGTGACGATTACGTCTAACGCGGAGAAGAGGGAGTGGACGTACAAGTGTCAGTCGATGTGTGTCCGCCTTCCCATTATGTGACAACAACCTGGCATGCCAAAAACAAACGTACCCATATCCAAATAGATCCCCCCCCACTTCATCAATGCCCTCAACCGCACCACGTCAGCCTTATGCGCCCCCTTCTCGACCACATTCCCAAACACAGCCCCGAAATCATCCGTATACACCAGATCCGTGATCATCCCCCTCGCACGCTCCCACCACTCGTTGTCGGTGGAGGGTAGCGCGCGGTGGTGGTAGAAGATGCGGATGGGGCGGATGTTTACGTGTGCGGCGCGGATGACGAGGTATTCGAGGAGCCCGAATGAGGCGTCGGTGTCGTGGAGGCGGACAAAGTGCACGAATTTGGGGATGAGGGGTGGTGGGGTGGTTGAGGGGTTTTGTTGGTGGTCGCCATCGTGAGATGAGGCCGGTGGGAAGGAACATGTATCGGGGTAATCAGCGGGATTGATCCGCTCCATCTTCGTGCGTTTATACGGGCCCCATTTTCCCGTACGTTCATACGGCCCAAACTCGGGCGTGGATGATGACGAGTGCTCGGACGATGAGGGTGAGAATGGGGCTGTGGAATCGGTGTGCTGCTGCTGAGAAGAGGGCCAGAAGGATTGGCAGGTTGTGCCTAGGCAGTGTGCGTTGCGCCAGCTTGAGTAGACATTGGCGGTGATGATGAGGACGCCAATTAGGGCGAGGAATGTGAGGCGGGTGGAGGAGGTGCCTGGCATTCTAGGTGGTGGGTCGGTAATCAGCGAAATCTGTCGCCCATTGCATGCAAGCTTCGTGCCTTACCCACCTTGAGGCGCCCATCCTGGGAACAAAGGTTTACGATGTACAGTGATACGCTCCGTAGTCCTCAAACACTTTTGTACGAAGGAAGGTAAGGACCGTACAGTTTCAAGAGAAAAGAAAAGGCAGCATGCAAGTCGGCAAGACTGAGCGGAGACGTAAACCACATCTTCAATCGATCTTTGCCCTCGACTCTGGGACGCATGCGGCTGGCGATACATTGCGACATGGTTTGGCTGACCTGAGCCTTATCATCTACGTATCAAGACACCCAGCCAGACTGAACGCTCTTTGGAGATCTGTGAGAAAAACGGGGATGTGGGCGGAGGGAAGGATTGACGGGAACGCGTGTTCTTCTCGGCTTATGTGAGCGGAATTTGGAACAATCGAAAGGACCCCAGCGTGCGACGGAAGGGGGATGCAGCTCCCGGCCGAGCATGTGCTGATGATGCAAGGTGAATCAAGTCCCATCTCCTGCCATGCCAAGAACAGGTCGCAGAGACTTTTCTCCCTTGCGTTCAAAGTGCCACGCGAGGAAGGAAGGACTACACGAATTTTCCTAAGGCCCCTGCTGTGAATCCAGGTCCTGCCGTCGGGAATCCGTGTATCGTCGTGAGAGTTGGCTAGCCGGTCGCTAGTAACCGGTGTAGTATTGTGGAATAAGCGAGAATGGGTGCGACATCTCACCTCAGCGAAATCAGGCCGCCAGATACCATACCATACCATACCATGTGCTTCGCCAACCCCCACAAGCCGGCAGCACGGAATGTCACGGGAAGCAGCACACCAACGTCAGTCAGGCAGCTTAGCGACGGTATCAACTATGATTTTGTAACTACTTAATTGTTACTACCCAGATTAGACACTGTGGATGACATTTACATCCCTTGAACGTATTTCCCTTCGGCCGGCTACTACTTCCGATATCTACCCAATAGCCCCGCCAAACTTCGGAGACGAACTTGTTGCATTCTTCGCGCTACTAGGACTACTTTTACTCCCCATCATCTGCAATGCCACCTCCGTCGAATTCGTTGACCTTCCAAACCCGCCCTTCTTGGCCCACATCACATCCAACACCACGATATTCACCACACATAGGCACATCACAATCACAAACACGCACAACCACGCCCGAAAATTCCGCCGAAGTCGCTCATATTCCTCCCCGTTTGTTTGTGAGGGCAGGCTGTCGGCACCATAGCGGCCCAGCCCATCTGCAGCGGGGTTGGGGTTACCAGCGAGGGGGTTTAGCGTGCTGTAGTTGTGGTGGTGGTGGATGGTAGTGGAAGAGGGGGCTGGTTGCTGGGTTGTTTCGGGATGTGAGCGGGAGAAGAAGGAGTCTGTGCCTGTGGACCGCCGCTTAGGGCCTAGCACTCTAAGCATGAGTCGTGGGACCCATAGTAGATTTGACATGTTGATGTCGTAGGTATTTGAGAGGGAAATCAAGGATGGAAGAGGCGTCTATGGGCGTCGATGGGCGGATTGGAGGATGCAATATTGTGCTTTGTTCGATGTTGGTTTGGGTGTTGCTTCTACGTAGCGCTTCTACATAGTGGTGGAGAATGATGCTGCTTATATGTCCCCAAGAAAAAGGTTCTGAGGACTGTACTCGAGGAGGGTATTCGTAGTTTTCTGAGCTGAGACGCCGGCGCCGCACGGAACTCATCGCTTATGCACTTTTTACAAGCCTTCATCGCATGTGCGTTGGTTTGGGCGACAAGAAAGGGTGACCGATTACTATTTTGCGGGGTAAAATGGGGCACATGGGGGAAAAGGTGGAAGAGGCAACAATGTCAGTTTTGGCCGCTTTGTCAGTGATGGAAATTTGACAGCTTCCTTTTCGTGAGGTGAGGCGCTGTTTTGGTGGCCGCCAACGCCCTGCCGCCAACGCACAACTCCATCCATGCGCACAACTCCATGCGCACAACTCGGACCACCCAGTGGCACCCACAGCCAACCGTCACCTTTGCATCAGTTCTGTGAGTTGCCAGTTTCATGTTCCATCCACTTCCAAAAGGGGAGGCTCGCTCCGGGGATCCAATATGACTTCAACTTCATCAACTGTTCACATGTGCTGTACAGTACTCACCGCGCAGCCATATGTACAGTACGCTCCTCCGAAAACGACTCGGTCAGAAGTTCGACGTGGATTAGAATAAAAGCCACGGGGGGACTGTTGCAGCCGCAGGTGTCGTCGTGGGAATTCTCACTCTCTCATACACAACACATCACGACCCAAGATGCTCGGAACAAACAACAACGCCCAAGAGAAAATCAAGCAGCAGCAGACCAACGAGGGAGGTGTCGCAGCGACCCTGTCCTCTTGGGTTGGCGGCTTGTTCGGCGGCGGCGGCGATGAGAACGACAAGAAGTCGAACAACGATGATGACCTTCCCAACGCTATGGGCCGCTTGGACGTGAACGCCCCTGTTCCTTCGAACCCGTACGCTAGCCGCCCTAACGAGAGTTACTCCACCAACAAGAGATACGAGGACCAGGCCGTCTCCTACGAGGGTCAGCAGCAATATGGTAACAAATACGGCCAACACTCTCAGCAACACGTCTCTGCCCCATCGGCCATCCCTGCCTCCCTTTTCAAAGCCCCTCTCGAGTTCGTTGGCCCACTTCTCCGCTTCCACGACATCGACCAGGAACGACGGCAGTGGTCCGGCTCAGTCCTCATCGTGTGCCGCAAACGCCCCGAGGAAACTCCAGTCCTCATGTATGGTGACGGCAAGTCTGACCCTAGAAAGGCGCCGATGAGAGAGTTGTTCACTATCAACGGCAACGTGTTCTACCGCTTTGATCTCGTCGTGCCACTGGGCTCGGGAGGCGACAAGGCCGTGACGTATATCATCAACAGCGGCTCGCCGTACGTTTTCTATGTGCCTGCTGCGGGTGCGAACGCCCGTGCCATGGGAATGTCATGCAATGGTTTCTCCTCGGATGTCACCAACCCCGAAGAAGCGGGTGGTATCGCTCCCCTCTGGAAGGATGTTTTGCGTCGTCACAAGGAACAGCCATTCCACGTGATGCTTGGTGGAGGTGATCAACTCTACATGGATCCCATCTTCACCAGCAACGATGAGATTCTCGCATGGTTAAAGATTGAAGGGCGAGAAGCAAAGAAGACGGCCCCTTTCCACCCGGCAATCCAGCACAGTGTTGAGAACTTTTACTTCAACCAGTACATGAAGTGCTTCTCGGAGGACCACATGAAGGAGGCCTTTGCTACTATCCCTTACATCTTCCAGGTCAGTCAGTGAGAGCCCATCTTTATTGCGCGTGGTATAGCGAAGCGTAGCCTAGAACCTTTATTGACGTGGTCTTTCCTTCAGTGGGATGACCATGACATCTTCGACGGCTGGGGCAGTTACAACGACTGGCTCGCGGAGTGCCCCACCTTTCAAGGAATCTACACCACCGCACGACACTACTACCTCCTCTTCCAGCAGCACACCACCGACGCCAACCGCCGCAACGACGAGCCCCACGTCTTTGGAGTCAATGGGAGCTACAGCTTCGTCAAGCAGCTCGGTCCTAGTCTGGCTGTGTTGGGCGTCGACACGCGTAGCGAGCGCACGTTGAACACTATCGCGTCGCAGAAGTCGTGGGACCAGGCATTTGCGGCGTTGCAGAAGGTTGCTACACCGAGGCTGAAGCATCTTATCGTTATGGCTGCCATTCCGGTGGTCTGGCCCCGGCTGAGCACTGCAGATGTGAGTTTTCCACATGAGTATTTTTCCATCTTTCTTCCGCCTACTCACCCCGCTCAACGTTACCCGCATCTAGACCGCTGTTGAAGGCCTGGGCAACTTCCTAGCCTTCGCAAGTGACAAGATCAACGTCTTTGGCGAGTTTGCCTCGCCCGGTTCCGCCATCGCTGGTATCGGCGAGGCTGTCGGAAAGACCGGTCTTTACAAAAGCATCATGGGCGTGGTACGTACCCTCAGGCCTCGTGCGTGCTTAATCAGCACATACTGAAACCGACCGCGCAATCAGTTTGGCGAGCCGGAACTAGCCGACGACCTCTGCGACCACTGGACAAACGACAACCACGCCGAAGAGCGCAAACAAATGGTGCTCAGGCTGCAACAATACGCCCGCGAACACAGCGTCCGCGTCACGTTCCTCTCGGGAGACGTGCACTGCTGCGGTATCGGGTGGTTCAGGAGCAAACAGCAGGCTGCGGATCCCTCCACTGATCCTAATGTCATGTGGCAGATCATTTCTAGCGCCATCGGTAGGTTTATCCAACTTTCTCCTGAGACGCCAGACACGTTCCAATGCCTCTTTCCAATTTCCATCCCTTTCCCCACAGTCAACATCCCACCCCCACCCGTCGTCATCAAAATGCTCCACAACAACGCCGGCCCCTACGACCTCACCGACACCGTCGTCGACGAGATGATCCCCATTTTTGCCGAGGATGTCAACGGCACTCCGCTCGGCGACAGCCAGAACAAGATCCTCCCCCGACGGAACTACTCCACTTTCTATGTTGATCAGCGTGAGGATCTGCAGTTTGCCCTGCATGTCGAGCGCGAGGATAGGACCGCGGATGCGAAGGAGTATCCGGTCAAGGTTGTTGCCTTGAGGTCCAGGGGGTATTAAGAGCGGACTGTGGTAGACCGCTTTTGGGAGGGAGATTTCATTTTTTTTTGTTTTGTGAGACGGCGTAGCATTGTAGGTTTTAGGGTTTAGGCAGACAATTTGTCCTTGTAGGTAGATACCATCATATATACTCATCGAATATACTCATTTTGCTCTGTGTTGTGTTATTTCGAGTGAGGGGATGGCCGAGGAGGATTTGGTTTTCGGAGGGGACGAGAAGGGGAGGCGCCTGACAGTTTTTTCCTGACAGGATGCCCTCCGCGCCAAACCGTGTGAGATCACACCCATTCCCCACAACGGGGATTGCCCTTCCGCGATCTGGAGCAATTGTCAATCAGGAAACCATAGACAACCAGGCCTTCAGAAACGGAAAACTGTAGGAGACAGTGGCGCCATGCCATCCACACCCGTCCGAAAAAGTACAGCCAAACCCGAAGCAGAAGCGACCGCGGCACCTGCGTCCACCCCCAACCCCGCTCGCCCCAAACGCAAACGCAACCCCAAATCGCCCAGCCGGACCACCCGCCTCACTCGCCGCCGCTTCTGCGACCGCTGCCGCGCCAACACCACCACCAGCACCCCCAACACCATCTGCACCGGCACCCTCCCCTGCACGCGCTGCACCTCCCTCGCCCTCCCCTGCCACTACTCCCACTACATTGACCGCCGGCATGATCACCCGCGCGGACGCGCATGGGTCTCCAAGCGGCGGGTTGCGGTGTATGCGACGCCGGGGGTGTATCGCACCGAGGCCCTGGGGCCGTTGAGGAAGGTGGGGAGGGTGGGGTTGAAGAATACGATGGGGGTTGGGACTGGGGGCTGGGGAAGCCGGGCGTTTGCAAAGATGGTGGGGGATTGGGGGAAGCTGCCGAAGGCGAGGGGAATGCGGTTGCCGGGGGTGGGTGGCCAGGTGGGTGGGGATGAGGAGCGGAGGACAGTTTTGGAGGGTGAGTTCACTCGGGGATGTGGATGGCTATCTCGGGAGGTCTGTGTATTGCCGTGCGGCCAACTGTGGACTCACGATTGCTTTTATCTTGCAGCAAGCGCCAGATTGGTCCCGCCATCCCCCGACCTCCTCGACGCCCTGCACCAATACGCCGCACACACCTTCGACCCCGCCGCACCCTCCGCCCCAACCCCGCTCACCGACGCCACAATGCTCTACTCACTCGACCGCTCCGCCCTCCTCGCCCTAGGGGTGCTTACCCAAGAATATCTCCGCAGCCTCGTCCCAGGCTCCACACCCCTATCACCCGATGACGCAGCGCACGGGCCAACGTTCGCGGACGTGGCGGGGCCGGAGAGCGTCCGGCTGGACGAGATGGATAAGGAGAAAGGAAGACGCGGGTTTGCGTATGAGTATCATAAGGACAAGATGAAGTATAGGTGGTTGGGGGCGGACGAGGAGGCGGGGAGTGGTGGGGAGGATGCGGACTGGGAGGAGGTTGGGGCGGGAGACGAGATGGAAGGAGGGGATTTTACGGAAGTTGATATGGACGGGTAGAATGAGAGGCGGGGGCTCTCTGAGCAGCGTCCAGCTTGCAGGGGAGTCAACGGGACGACTTCGGCGCCCCCCGCCCCCCCCCCCCCCCCCCCCCGCCACTACCATCCTCCGCGCGCTTCTTGAAGAGCTGTGTTGTTGTTGTTGTTTGTCGCTGTCGCAAACGGAGCGTCTTTTCTCAAAATTTGGCGCACGATTGCCACACCTTTTGCAAATTTTGGAAAACTGTTCTCGCCGGGCCTTGGCGATGCCGATTTGGTTGACTATGCCGTAGGGGCAATGTGTAGGGGGATATGGGCTCGTGCGGCTCGTACAAAGCGTCCTCGCGCTCAACACGCCAAAATCAACCCAATGGAATCACCATCAACCACCACAAGAGCCCAGGGCAAAGAAGCTCACCAGCTGAAACTAACTCATAACAAGACCAAATAACTTCTATTGAGATCTAGCTCTCCCTCATCTACACACAAAACGCCCTGTACGACGTGAACGGCTTGTTTCCTCCTTTTGCCTCCAACGTCACCTCCGTCCCCGCGGCAATGAACAGCACATATCCCGTTTTCGCCTCCTGGCTGCCGCCACCCGGATACTTCACGCTCCCCTCGCCCTCCGTAACTATCAGGATACTTGGGCCGTCGATAGCCGGCACAGTCTCCTTCTCGCCTTGCGAGTCGAGTTTCGTTCGGAGGATGGAGAATTCGTCGATGGGTGGGTCGTAAAGGGTGGTGTGTTTTGTGGATTTGTAGGGGTCGCCACGGAGAATCTGGGCGTCGGCGGGGCCGTAGTTGTAGGTGAGGCAGTTGACGAGGGTGTCGACGTCTTTGAATTTCGGGGTCAGCCCTGACCGGATGACGTTGTCAGAGGCGGCCATGCATTCTACGCAGTCTGTGATGGAGTTGATTGCTTGTGAGAGGATGGGAGTTGTATGAATGCAGCAAAAATAAACATACCTCCAGATAGATACGCGTGTGGCTCGTTCGCTGCCAAAAAGATAGACTCTCCGGGGTTCAGGGTGACGTAGTTAAGCAGGAACGCACAAAAGACGCCCATGTCATCTGGAAACTGGTCGTTGAGCCTCACAACAAGCTCATATAGACCATCCTTCTTCCCTTCCGCCTTGATGCGCTTGATCAGCGCTTGGAGATGGTTCGCGATAATGCTCTGATCGCTCTCCATGAGCTGCTTGAAAAGAGCCTTGAGGGCGGCTTTGTTGTCGGCGACGTTTTCCGGCGATTTGGACACCTGAGACTCGAAGTGGGAGGCGACTTTGTCGCCGATGAGTGCCCGAAACTCGGGGAACTCTGTCAAATGCTTTTTTATGTCGGCAAGCGGTCGGAAGTTGATGAAGGCCTCAAAGGGTGTGACGGCTACCGCCTATAAGAGATTCCGCAAATAGTGAGCATGGATCACTCTTCCTTGAACAAAGGCCGCATCACCCCGCTCCCCAGATGTTCCCTACCATCTCAGGTTTATGATTGGGATCCTTATAAACGTCCGGGAACCGCTTATGCAAGTCCGCCGCCAGCGTCTTATCCGGGTGAGCCTGGATTGAAAGCGCTTTCCTGATCGACAGCACCTTGAACAGGAAAGGCAGGTCGCCGTTGTACTCCTTGTGGAGCTTTGCGCCGAGGTTTGATTCGTTCAGTAGCGATTTGAGTGGAGTGTTGCTGTCGACGGAGGCCGAGGCGCCGTTGGGGTGGGTTCCCATCCAGAACTACGATGCGGAGCACGTAGGTCAATAAACGAGTCTTTCGCAGGTCTGCATGTACGATGGGAAACATACCTCGGCATACGGCGTATCGTTCTTCACCTCGAATCCCGGGGTCGCGGACGCAAGCTTAGCGACGGTGCTCTCTGACCCGAGCTTGCCCCAGTCGTAGGACTGGCTTTTGCATGCAAGGCGGACGACGGGCTGTTGGGCGGACATGGCGCGCGAGGGTGTTTGCGTGGCTGGTTTCGAAAGGCTGAGAGATGGGGGGAGAGCGTAGGCGGCAGGCAGGAACGAGAGTTGGGTCGTTGCTGGGGTTGTTTATACCGACCGTATGGTGGTTGTGGTGGTGGTGGTGGTGGGATGCCGTGGGAACTTTCCAAAGGCGAGGCTTGAGGTGCCGCTCGTCATTGCCCTCCGTCCCCTCCGTCCGACTTCCCTTTGCCACGCGTTCTCCATTCAATTATTTCGTCATCACCTGTGTACTGTACAAAGACTAAACCCATGCATGATGCCACCCATAGGGCTTGCTTTTGAGGGTGCTTCGTTTCGAGACGTTGTGCCGTTCCGTCTCGTTTGCCTTGACTTGAATCAAGCAAGGGTTGTCGAACCATCCCGCCCCCGCATGTTCTGTTGTAACGGCCAACATCCAAAAACGAAACGGAATCAGGTCCACTGGAAATACCAACACTGGGACAATATGAGACGCAGGTCAGAAGGACATAATTATGAACATGGTAGGGAGGTGTGTCTATACATGCGGATTTTGAATGGTTCGTCGGTGGGCGGAAAGAGGGAGGATGCGCGGGTGGGTGAGCGATGAGGGGATCGTCTTTTTGGTTGCCTTTCATCCTGATATTTGTGCCAGATTATCCGCATCCGGTCCGGTGCTTGGGCATGCCGAGCACTGCAGAGCGCAGCTCAATTTCGCTCATTTCTCAGTATTCCCTGGGGTCCTTCTCTTGCCCCCCGCTCCCATTCCCTACCCCTACCCCAGTCCCCCCTCATCACATTACGACCATTCATCTACTTCTTCGGCTTCGGCCCACCCACCGGCTGCCCAATATCCTTCCCCCTCAGCTTAACACCCAGCACGCGCTCCATCTTGCCGAGGATCTGCTGGTTGGGGTTGGCCGCGCGGCCGGTCTCGTACTCGTTGATGATGGTGGCTTTCTCGTTGATCTTTGTGGCCAGGTCCTTTTGCGTGAGGTTCTTGGCTTGGCGTGCTTGTTGGATCGCTTTGGCGAGGCCGAGGCCCACGCGTTCTACTGTGAAGTCCTGGAGAGAAGAGGGAGAGTGGTTGATTAGAAACTTTGACGAAGAAGTGGATATGGAGGCGACACCGAGTCTCTCCGGCATTCATGGCTTGCGCCGTAATCCTGAAGCAATCTCCTGACTCCAGGACCCATCCCTCGACCACTCCTTAAGCACCGGTCTCGCTACCGCTCGATAAAAGTTCGCCGCACCCGCACATGGCGATCGCCCGCAACCCCCACCCTCAACCTTCAGATCATTCGGCTCACAAATCCCCCACCCAACCACCCTCTTCTCGAACCCTTACCTCAGTCTCGTTATCAATCTTCGCAGCCTTTCCAGCATCAATGCCCGCCTTATTCAAGTTGACCGGTGTGCCCTTCTTTTCCGAAGTAACGGTCCCGCCTGTTCGCAGGGCGGAGTTGACGGCGGAGGTGGATTTGAGGGCCTTGGAGGTTTCTGGCCGCTTGCGGATCACGGTGACGTCGTCCCAGGAGCTCATTTTTGTGGTGAAAAGGTTTGGGGGTGAGTTGAAAGAGAGTGGGGTGTTTGTTGTGTCTGCGAGGGGGTGGATAGAGCGATGATCTATGCTGTGTTTGTGTGTGCAAGTTGCGGTGATGCCTGGTTGCGAGGCTGCGAAATAGATTACGGATGCCCGTGGAATGCGCAAAACACCGCGGTAACCCTAACACCTCGCAGCAGAATATCTGGCCAATCAACGCGCCTCCATGCAGACAGCACATCTAGCCAGCCAGCCAATCACACCCCTCTGAGTGAAATGCAGTTCCAAGTTTCTGGCCAGCCAATCACGTACAGTACAGCAACGTCTGACATAACTGCTGATGATCAGAGTTTTTGGAACCCGGTACACCCACGTCTCGGTTCTCGGCTTGCGGTCCACCGATCTGCCCGACGAGCCCCTGTGAAGCCATTTCGACTTTTTCTGCTGTGGAACCTTTGGAAACTCGCAAAATTTGCCACCTGTCCTCAGCTTTTTTGTGTCGGCGCTGTCCGGGAACTGGCAACCACCAGCGGATAGATATCACGGTCCTGCGGGTGCCGGGCCGGTGCAGGATCTCGGCTTTTTGCTTTGACGAGGTGAGCTCTGTCGTCTGCTCAGGTCCTCCCCATTCCACTCCATTCGCTCTCCATCCCCCTGTCGCGGACATATATATATATAGATAGATAGCAGCGTGAGTCCCACGCTTGCTGGGGTCCCTCCATAGAGCTTGAAATAATCCGGCGTCCATATTTACGACCAACCGGCGCCCTCTTTCGTTCGTCTTTCATTCGTTTTCTCGCCACTTCACACCTCCTGGCACACCTACGCAGAAAGATCATTGACATTATGTGTGGCATAGGAAAGCACGCTCACGGCCATAGCCCCGAGCCCCATTCCCACGGGCATAACCACCACGGCCACCACCATCACCACCAGGACCCACACGACATGACAGGCTCCAACGAAACCGCTTTACAAGGCGTCCTTCTCGACGCCCTGACACCTTACCTCCCGCCCTACATCCTCACCCTCCTCTCCGACAAATACATCCTCGCCTTCACCATCTCGCTGATCGCATCCATGGGCACCTTTCTCGGCGGCATCATCGTATGTGTCCTCGCCAAAGCGACAGGCGCGGACCCGCGGTCGAAAGCGACGGCGAAATTGATGGGTGTGCTGGAGGCGTTCAGTGCCGGTGTGATGATGTATATCACCTGCTTTGATCTGATACCTGAGGCGGTGGAGAGTATTGGGAGTCGGGAGGCGATGTTCTGGTTTTTTGGGGGGGTCGCGGTGTTTGGGGTCCTGGAGGAGGTTATCATGCCTTCGCATGACCATGATGAGGAGGATGGACATGATCATGAGCATGAGAAGACGGTGAAGGGTTCGCCGAAGGGGAAGAAAGGTGGGAAGAACAACGTCAACAGCAAGGGCGAGAAAACCGACTCTTCAACAACGACAACAACCGCAGAACCAGCTCTATCAGCAAAAGAGCGCCGCGACCTCCTCCGTTCCTCCCTCATCACCTTTGTCGCGCTCGCCATGCACAACCTCCCCGAAGGCCTCGGCGTCTACCTCGCGGCCCTCTCCGACCTCCGCCTCGGCACCCAACTCGCAGTCGCGATCCTCATTCACAACATTCCGGAAGGCATGGCCGTCGCCGTGCCCCTCTACGCCGCAACAGGCAACACCACCTCCGTGCTGTGGTGGACGTTGCTCAACGGGCTGGCGGAACCGTTGGGCGTTGTGGCGGGGGGTTGGTTGTTGCATGGTTACTTGTCCCCTCAGCTGCTGAGTAGGTGTTTGGCGGGAGTGGGCGGGATCATGGCGTGTATATCGATTCATGAGCTGCAGCCGACGGCGATTAGGTATTCGGGGAAAACGATTGCGACTAGCGCGTTCTTTGGAGGCATGGTGGTGTGCTTTGGGGCGTTGGAGGCGGTTAACGAGTGGTTTGGCGGGCATGCGCATTGATTCGGTATCTGCCGTTCGATCGATACCTTCCGATTTGATATAGACACTCTCTCTTCACACCTTTTTGTACAATATACACGTTTTGAATGGATTATTTTGAGACTAAATACACCACTGAGGAATGCATGCAATGGAACGGCTAGGTTTACGGCAAATGCAGAATGTACTGTATTATCAAAGAGACAGACGCATGGAGAAATCAAGTACAGATGACGACTGGACAGCAATATACACCCGCTCAAGTGTACGCGTACTTGGGACCACCTCCACCCTCCGGAACTGTTTGCAACCGAAAAGGCTGGTGAGGTTTCCATTCCAAACATAATTCACAAACGACGCAGAGCAGAACGAACCTGTCCAATCAATGTTCTGGCTTGGATCCTTGATATCGCACGTCTTGCAGTGGATGCAGTTCTGGGCGTTGATCTGGAACCGTTTCTGGCCGGGGTTGGCTTCGTCGTCTAGGTATTCGTACACTCCAGCTGGAGAACGGATCAAGCATTTGTCAGCTGCTAGACTCGGCTATATCAACGCAGTGGCAAATAAACCCGCATACCTGGACAGAACTTCTGTTCAGGCCCCCCAAACACCGGATAATTCTTCTCCAACTGATCCGCAGGCCCCCGCTGCAACCTCAGATGCACCGGCTGGTTCTCCTCATGGTTCGTCCCGGTCCTGCTCACGCTCTCCAGCAGGTCAAAGCTAATCACGCCGTCCGGTTTCGGGTACTCGATGGGCTTCACATCCTTCAACGGCTTCAGGGTCGCCCAGTCCGGTTTCGGGTGGTTGAACGTCCAGGGCGTACGGCCTTTGAGGATGAGGGTGTCGAGGCCGGAGTATGCGATTCCGCCCCAGAGACCTAGGGGGTTGTGGAAGGAGGGGCGGACGTTGCGGACTTCTTTAAGTTCTTTGTAAACCCAGGAGTTTTGGATGGAGGTTTCGTAGGAGTCGAGGGTGAGTGGGCCGGGCTTTTCTTCGGAGAGGGCTTCGAAGGCGGCGTCTGCGGCGAGCATGCCTGATGGGGTTGAATGCGAGTTAGAGGCGTTGTTCCACCATGCATCGCGTTGCGAATCGAGTAAGAACATACCACTCTTCATAGCAGTGTGCGTCCCCTTGATTTTGGGCACGTTCAAGAACCCAGCGGTACATCCAATCAAAGCACCACCAGGGAAGACGAGCTTCGGTATACTCTGTAGCCCTCCCTCATTCAACGCACGTGCACCGTAACTGAGCACCTTCCCACCCTCGAGGTACTTTCGAATTGCCGGGTGCTGCTTATACCGCTGGAACTCCTTGTATGGGCTCAGAGTTGGGTTCTCGTAGTCGAGAGCGACAACGAGGCCGAGGGCAATTTTGTTGTCCTCGAAGTGGTAGAGGAAGGAACCCCCGTAGGTTTTGTAGTCCATGGGCCAGCCGAGGGTGTGGACAATAAGGCCGGGTTCGAACTTTTCGTCGGGTACTTCCCAGACCTAGTGAGAGGTATTCGCGTCAGTCTTCGATTGATGCCATCTTTGACAGAAACACACGCGCGCGCAACACACCTCCTTAACACCCAACGCATACGTCTGTGGCTGAGAGTTCTTGCGCAGATCAAACTTCTTTGCCACCTTCTTTGTCAAATGTCCATGGCAACCCTCCGCGAACAATGTGACCTTTGCGTGGATCTCCATTCCACGCTCAAAGTTGTCCTTTGGCCGACCGTCCTTGCCAATACCAACATCGTTCGTCGCGATTCCTTTCACTGAGCCGTCTTCGTTGTACAGGACCTGCGCAGAACGGAGAAAGATATCAACTTGTGTGATCTTTATGATGTCAATGCATTTCAGTCGGTCCCTACCTCGCTAGCAGCAAAGCTCGGGTAAACATCCACGCCCAACTCCTCAGCCTGTTCGCCCAGCCACCTCGTGAAATTCGACAGCGATACAATATAGTTCCCCTTATTGTTCATCTGCGGCGGATGCGGAATCGGAATCGAGTTGTTCTCGGTCAAAAACAGCATCCGGTCCTTCTTCGCCTCCGTAATCAACGGGGCGCCTTTCTCCTTCCAATCTGGGATCAGCTCATTCAGCGCCCGGGGTTCAATCACTGCGCCAGAAAGGATATGCGACCCGATTTCGCTGCCCTTTTCGACTAACAGCACGTTCAGTTCTTTGCCTTCAGCGGCTGCGCGCTGCTTTAGGCGGATGGCGGCGCTGAGACCCGCGGGCCCGCCACCGACGATGCATACATCAACTTCTTCGGCTACTCGTTCGGCATTGAGGACGGCGAGGGTTTCGTCGTCGAGAGCGGAGGCGCGGCGGGGGCGGAGGGTGCCGGAGAATGAGCGGGCGACGACGGGATATTGTGGGGAGAAGCGGACGGGGATGAAGAAGGCCTGCCTGCTCATCAGGCGTGGCCGGGCGGAGCAGAGGCGTGCGAGGACCATGGTGTAAGGGAGCGTGGGCTAGGGCGTGTGCTATGGGGTATGTGGGGGTGATGCCAAGGGGTTTTTGCACGAAAAGTCGTGGGAAAACAAGGCACGCACTGCCAAGATCCCTGGGGTTATTCCGGTACTAAGATGGCGGAAGTATTCAGAGTCTGAGGAGCTCAGTCAGTACGCTCCAAGGAGGGAGTAACAACAGCCTCGTGAGGAAAAGCGGAAACAGGGCACACTGGCAAGCGGGGCGCAGAACCGAGAGTTTGCAAGCTTGCACGCACTGTACCTGCTGACCCTGTAACTTGTCCTTCGTCCGCGAGCGAGGTCTGAGCGAGGTTGCTATCTGACCACTCTGACCAGGGGAAGAACACCGCGACTCGGGACAACCCGGCGCGCATCTTAGGGTTAGGGTTACGGTGATGAACACTCCTCATCACGGCAACCACCAACTTACATACAATGGTCAACCTTGCCCTAAAACCCGAGCCGTCCAGCGGCGACGGTTGGGTTCTCGACGCAGCACTCGCAGCGGCACTCGGAGGCGCAACAACGCAGCTTCCAACGGGTCCTCGAACGGGAACGGCGGCGGCGGCGGGAGTGGGAGTGGCAATGGCGGGGAGAATGGCGACCGCGGCGACGATGGCGGCGGCGACGGCGGGGAGAGTGGCGCAAACGGCGACGGCGACGGCGATGGCGAGGATGGCAACGGTGGCGGCGAGAGTGGCAACGGCGGGAATGGCAACAACGGCGGCTCGAACTTCAGAGTCGGCGGTTGCATCAAAATGTCCATCTCCACCTCCAACACCGAATATGTCGACGAAGACCATATCCGAAACCGTCTTCGCCCACATCGAGACCGAGTTCAGTATATGAAGGAGGTAGAAGTCCACCTCGACCTCGATCTTGAAGAAGGCGACTTTGAGTACGGCTATGAAGGCGGCAATGACAACGACAACGACGGCGACTACGAAGACGACGACGAAGGCGTTGGTGGGAAAAGGCAAAGGGGGAACGTAAAGGAAAAAGAAAAGACTTCGAAGCGCAGGAAGATCCCCTCGGGCCCCGCTATCCCAGAGATGGAAGCCAGTGTTCTCTTTTCCCGTAAAATGCGTGAATACCTCTGCAACAAGGTAGTACGTGCCGATGAGAACAACGTTTGGATCTTCGACGACGTAGCATTGTGCGAGCTGGCTGCTAAGAAGACGAATGCTGACTGCACAAACTCGAGCATTGAGGGTTTGGACGACATTGAAAGTGGGAGGGAGCCGTCAATTGGAGTGGACATGGAAGGGAAGCCGTTGTTCATGTCCCTCCCTGGAATCACTGGGCTGGGGTGGCAGGCGGACTTCGTGAAGGCGGCCAGGAAGGTGGTGAAGAATAGGAAGGAGGAGGATTTCGAGAAGCTGTCAAAGGATGTTTGACATCACCAGCAGCCAACGGATGCCATCGATGTCACCAGCAAAAAAGCCACCATGCACCTCGGTGTGTGGCAGACTATGTCTGGGGACATTATGACTGCACACGAATGCACCGAAACCGGCCCTGCCCAGTGCAACACCTACCACTCCCTCCGCGATCCCGGCGTCGGACGCATCAACTGGCTCCTAGGTGAGGCTCTTCGCCTTACTGACCCCATTGCCCATTACCGTCCCACGCAAACGATGACCCACCTTCGGCCGGATTTGAAGCACTTCTGGGCCGGTACGCGGGCCCCCCCAAGTGAATATTCGCCATGAATGTTCTGGTAGCCAACCACCAAATTGCACCCCATCATGACAAATGCGACATTCCTTACGGCTGGGCAACCATGAGCTGCTTTGGGACTTGGGACGAAAGGTGGAAGATTTTGCCTTCCCGATCTCGGTATCATGCTGCCACATGGCCCTGGAGATATTTTGCTCATTCGCACTCAGGCTCTTGAGCACTTTGTGGAGACGTGGGCGACAGACCCTGCCGACACACAGTAAGCATTCTTGCAGTTTACTCATCAAAAGGTGTTTGAGCTCGGGTTGGAAGGTTTCAAGAACTTTCACAACAACCAGGAGTTGGACGGAAAGCTCGCTGAGAAGATGGTCAGCATTCGTTTGCCACACGTCTCTCCGTGTGCAAAGGGAATGGTCATCATATAAAGGTGGACGATAAGGATGTGGAGTTGGAGAAGAAGGAGGGCAAGAAGTGGTTGGCGGATAAGGAAAGGAAGCGCCGGAAGATGAAGCTGGAGGTGAAGACGGAGGAGGACATGAAGATGGAGGACACGATGAAGATGGAGGAGGACATGAAGACGGAGGAGATGATGAAGATGGAGGAGATGATGAAGATGGAGGTTGACCGAGGTTGAACCGTAACGTGTTTGACATACTGCTAATACTCGTTGCATGAGGAGTACTTCTGCAGGCCACGAACGTCGATGTTGTGCGGTAGACGCGAACCGTAACGTGTTTGACATACTGCTAATACTCGTTGCATGAGGAGTACTTCCGCAGGCCACGAACGTCGATGTTGTGCGGTAGACGCGAACCGTAACGTGTTTGACATACTGCTAATACTCGTTGCATGAGGAGTACTTCCGCAGGCCACGAACGTCGATGTTGTGCGGCAGACGCGAGCTCCTAGTCGCGACGGGTTAGGGTTGTGATTGGTTGGGGTTGCGTGCGAGTCATGCGCCTCAGAGTAGAAAAGACCAGCGACGGCGCCCCCATTCTCCTTACCTTTTTCTATGGACAACGTTGTATAGACGGCGTCGTATCCTCATCTTCTGACATCATCCCCGCGGTGGTGATATCGGCCCCTGTGACCCCAGGCAACGGTCGTCGGCGGTTGGTGACCGTTTTGAAGAACGATCGTGCGCAGGGGACGGATTGATTGTGTCGTCGCTCGTCCGCTTTGCTCTGATATACTCTAAATATATAGCGAAGGGAGAGAAAAGCCGCCATGCATCAGTGGTTCGTCAAAGTAAGAATTTGTCGTCAGCGATTACTCACCCATAACAGAAAAACCCAAAAATAGCTGTCAGCATCGTAGGCATGCAGAAGATCCAGGAGCCCCCCACCAGCACCGAGTACGGGAGGAAGCTTTGTATCTCGACTCGAAACAAACCAAACGCGCAAAGAACGATGCCGTACACGATTGCCAGTGAAAATAAGGTCGATAGCGTTATCATGGCCTGGATAGTGCGAGCTAGAGATTAGTGGAAACCTAGGAACCAGCAGGGGTTGGTGATTCTTACACTGGTGATAGCCCTCCGGAACTCTGCCTCGGACACACTCTTGGGACTCTCCGGGTGCATATCGGCCATGGAGCTCATATCTTTCGCCGTCTCTCTCAGCGCCTTCACAAGATGCCATCCAAAATACGCCAAAGCGGTGGCCGTGAGAACACAGCATATCGTCCATGTCCAGAAATGCGCGCTATGCAGTGCTCGCGAGAGGTCGGGACGGAGGATGTCGCGTGCGTACCCGTCGAGAGTCGCGAAAACGGGAATGAGGATGGTGGGGAGGGCGACGAGAACGATAAGTATGTAGTTGAGCACCCGCGGCGAAGGGAGGTGCACTAGGACGGTGGTGCTGCCGACGAGGCGTTGACGAGGCGTTGCGTAAACACTGGAATTCCCGAGAGCGAGAAAGCCTGTCAGGACGTTTCCGAGGGTGCAGGAGTTTTCCCAAGCACTGCATACGTACACACCAACCGCCCAGATTACTCCGCTATCCAGTATCAGAACGAAAGGAAAAACTTGCTGCAAACAAAGACACACGATTAGCGAGTTCCCTCTGCGCAGCCCTATGCAAGCTAATAAACTTACGAAAAACTCATTCGCCGCCTCGCTCCCGAACCCCCGTCCCCGTGCCGCCAAAATGACCGTCGTATAAATCCCCCTTCCCAACATCCCCAACGTCGCAAACGCCAGAAACCCCTCCCCAGCCCGCGGCCGTAGCACACCCTCCTCAATCTCGAATATCCGGTGTCCGCGCGCCCACACAGGCAGGACTTTGCCATACAGCGCGAAGAGGCCCATGGCGACGAGGGTGAAGCCCCAAATGGAGTGAAAGATGTAGAAGGTTTGCCATATTCGTTCCCCAGAACAGTCGTGGATGTGGAAGCGCCAGTCACACCAGTTGGGGTTGAACCACTGTTGGGATGACCGGTTAACTTCGCCGTTGCGACCTTGGCAATTCGACCTGCCACATGACTTACCCCGTCGATAATTTCCGCCCGTCGTTGAGCCAACGAGTCCTCCATGGGTGGTGTCTTTGTTTCCACGTAGTCGGCTGTAGACTTTACTTCCGCAAGGCGTTGAACAAACCGTCCCGCAGACACACGGAGTTTCCTAAGCTCAGGTACCTCCGGAAGCGGGCCTCCTTATATTGTCCCCGCTCCCTCATATTGTTGGCCACTCCAACCAACTCGTGAATAAGGCCATAGAAACCAAGTTGGCGGGTAGGGTAAGCAGAATCGGACCTCCTTATATTGTCCCCGGTTCCTGACGGAGGTCCCTGACCTCCTATTGTTGGTCACCTCAACCCGCTCACAACGGCCTGAATAGGGCAGTGGTCGGGTGATGCGGGTGTCGCTAATTTCGGATACAGGAGTACGAGGGCTTGTCGACTATGGGACAGACATGCCGCGACCTTTGCAATAGGCGTGCAACAATAGGGCCTAGAAGCAGGGCCCTCATTTCTATGGATGATATCTATGGATGAACTCCGTGCCTCAGTGTTGAACGCAACATAGGCAACATGATGGTGGATTATAGTCCATACTTAGCGGGAACTTTTCCAAAGAAGCTATCGTACGAGCCAAATGCCGTAGCCCAGAGGTTTTCAATTGGGTTGAGATCGGGGCTCTGCGCTGGCCACGGCATGATGTTGATGCCATGCTCCGCAAAGAATTGGCGCGTTTCGGCAGGAGTGTGGATAGGGCCGTTGTCCTGCATGAAAAGGAGGTTGGGAACAAAAATCTCAAGGTTTTGCCACATTGGCAAAAGATGAGCGGTTAAATGCTGAACGTAAGCAGTGGAATTGATACCCCTACCGCGAACTTGGCCCTCACGCTGAACCGGCTGGACCTGCGTCAACGGACCAACAGCGTTTCCAATAAATGCTCCCCAATACATAAATGTTTTGCGTCCGCTACGTCGAGTGCCTCTGATACAGTCAGGGTGAAAACGTTCAGTTCGCAGACGCCAACATCGCATTTTGGGAACCCAGCCAATATCAAAAGACGTCTCATCCGTCCACACAACCCGTGACCAATCCGCAACTGTCCAGTGCTGATGTTCCAACGCAAACGCAAGGCGTGCTGCTTTGTGCTCGTCAGACAAAAACGGCTTGTGGATTTTGAAGCGGGAGGCAAATGGAGGAGTTTGTGAAGGTAACGACGCACTGTCTTTTCGCATGCCGTGATACCTGTAAGAGTGATGAATTCCAACCGAATTTGTTTTAGTGTCTTTTCTCGTGTCTGACTATCTGAGAGAACAAGTCTGCGGAACTCCTCCAAGTCACCGTCCTCTGGTTGATACTTAGCTGGTCTTCCCGGTGGCTTTTTTGACTGATAGGACGTTGGGCTGTCCGCAGATTCAGCAGCAAACTTCTTGATAGTATACTGAACAGTCCTGAGTGCAACCCCCTCCTGTGCAGCTATTTGTCGCTTGTTCTTGCCTGACCTGTGCAGCGCCACTATGGCAGCCCTCTTCTGAGGGGAGAGTGGTTTGCCCATAGCAGGGGATGAAGATGGAGGTCGCAATTGCGGGCATGTCGGTAAGATCCTGGCTTGTCCGGCTGGAGGTTGGCTTGTCCGGAGGCAGGCTGGATGGAACGCGCATCCGCTTGTGAAACGGTCATTGAATTCACTTAGAGGGGGTGCACAGGTTTATGTCCGTTGGCTGTACGTGTCCACCATGAGGTGATCTTGGTGTGACCGGTGTTGCCATGGCAACGGTCCAAGGAGCTGCCCCTATAAATATCAGAAAGACTTCCTGGACTACCATGTACGAAGCCGACTCCTCGCCATGTTCTCCTATTTGGTCCGCTGCTTGTCCACCCTCTCTTTGACCGCCTTCTCCTTCGCCGACCACAGCGTTTTGAAACACTCTTCGAACAGATCAAAGTTCTCCACCACCATGCACTCAAATGAAACGTCTTTCGCACTCCGGGAAATGCTTCCACCAGCCGATGAGCTTGTGCAGCACGCCTGGTCAAAATCTCAACGGTGCGCGCGTGTACATGCTCAACGTTTCGATGCTTGATTGTGACGTCACAATGCTCGAGAAACGCAGACAACTCGTCATCCGTGTCAGGGACCGATGACAAGACGTGACCTTCGCCCTTGCTGCGACGCCGTTGAAGCTTTCCATGCAATTTTTGAAAGGCCGTCGCGTAAGAACCTTGCAGCTTCTTCAAAGTGCGTTGGGACGGGAAATGCGTGGGTTGTTTATCTGCGCTCCACTGAAGGATTTCGGAAGCAATAACCAGAATGTTTTCAGGCGCAAGCGCCTCTCCAAGCGTGTTGAACTTCTCCGAAGCTGACCGGCAATCGGCGGGCTGCTGGCAAACCAATTTCTTGAATACCAGCTTCAAAGCAGGATCACTTATGGCGTCAATATCACCCATAGAAATGTCATCACCAGTACTACGGCGGGGGGGTGAGGGAAGTTCTGGTGCCGGTGCGGGTCGGTGACCGCTATCTTTTCCAGTGCTTGTTGAGGGGTTCTGTTTGAGGCTGCTAGTTCGTTTTACCATTTCTTTGACTTCTGTTATCTAGTAAACCGAGAAGATTTAAAACCAATGCACGAGCTTGAGGAGGAAGAGTGCACCCCCTACCGTTGGTCTTTTGTAGTTCGCGGCCCGCTGTTTGCTTGTGCGAGGCTTCTTGTCCATGGCAGGGTACGAGGGATGGACTTGTTCAGTCTTCGAAGGACGTAGGTGGTTTTGAGGGGGGCGGGTCAGGCCAGGCGGGAAGTTTCTTAAGTACACACAGTACGCAGCTCCCACTTGTATACGTATTCGCCTCCTCCCTACTTCAGATAGACTGGTCGGAAAGCATATTCTAAGGAAGAGAAAACAGAAGGGAACAGAACAGCAGCCACTACCTTGTGTGTTTCGGATGTGAACTGCGCCACGGGGTCGTGACTCATATTCATACGGATCTGCTCCCCTATAATCTCATGGTCCTGGAGATCTTGACATCACGTGACTGGGTTGCCATGGCAATGGTCCAAGGAGCTGCCCCTATAGATATCACCAAGTCCTTTCAACGACTGTATCAAGGGCTTCTAGTCGGCAAACGCTAACGGGTTGGTGATAACCCCCACACCAGAGAAACCAAGGTTTCCTGTAGCAGCTCCTTGAGATGTTCCAGAGGCTGAGGTTATAGATCTAAACCCAGGGTTCCCATATCATCATACCTCTGTTGCCCACTTTATCGAGTACAATTGTTAATGGAAAAAATACAATTACACGAGGGAATTACAGGTACCGAGGTCTATATTCCACTTGAACACGGCCCATCCTCACCATGTTCAGGTTCAATGGGTCACATACATGGTTTTGAGACCGGTTTCACCATCCAACAGGGCCAGTTGGCTTCAAGTACGGATGGCGCGTTCCATGATGGGTACGGTGGGGATCCGATCTACTGAACCTTTGAGAGCTTCGATAGCATTATCCAAGCCAGATATGAGACCCTCATCGTTTTCCTCGTCTTTGCCGCCCTTTATCGTCTCCTCCACCATCAATACCTTCCCGTTTTTGTCCTTTCGTACTAGAACAGTGTACTGCGGGCCTTCATGCTGACGACGGTCTGTCGGGGCGTCTGTATTCGACTCTGACACGGCCCAAGTCCCCTATCAGCAGAGTCTCCGGTTTAGTGAAAGAGGTTGTGAGGCCGGTTTTACTATCCGTCGGAGCCATTAGGCTTACAGTATTGACGGCCCCCTTCATGAGAGCGATAGTGACGGGATCATCTGCCTTTCCTCCCAAGGCTGGGATGACCTCGTCCAAGCCGGCTATGACGATGCCTTCGCGCACGTCATCAAAGTCCGCCACCGTCTCCTCCACCACCAACACCTTCCCCGCATCGTCGTCCTTTCGTACCGAAACGGTATATTGTGGGGTCCTCGGTACGATCCTGCCCTTGCGCAGACGACGACCTTCCAGCAAGATCTTATCGTCCTCTGGCGGCGGTTTTGACGTTCAAGCCTTTCTGACCAGGACGCCGAAGGCATCAATGAGCCACTTGTATTTCTCCTCCACATCTTCCAGGACGTCTCCTACTGAAGCGCCCTTCTCAAGCTTCTCATAACCGTCCTCACAAAGTCTCTTCAACACCTCCACGTCACTCGTGAGACGTGTACGTGGGTCCGACCTGGCATCCACGTCTGCGGCAAGGTATCGCTTAAAGATGTCTTTGGCGATATACAGTCACCTCGCAAAACTCTGTACCCCCCCCCCCTGAAATAAATCAGCGACTGCCGCGACGCCAAATTCACGTGAGTGACCAATATTGATCTCAATTAGGGGGGGGGTACAGAGTTTTGCGAGGTGACTGTACATAGCGTCCAAAGTTCTCGTGGAGACTGGCCCGAACAACTTCGCGGTGCATATGAGCTCCTCGCAACCTTCGATGACCGCTTCCAGATCACCAGTATCTCGTGCGTACAGTTGCCGCTTGTCAAAATCCGTGGGCTCTGCTGGTTTCGATATTTTCGAACCCTCGATGGCCTGAGCGGTGGCGTCCCAGTCGATCTCGAACCGCAGGTACGGACCATCGAAAGCGCGGGTAATGTCGTTGTCGTCGCTGTCGTCGTCGACGATAGTAGCGCTCTTGCAGACATACCCCTGCTCCTCCAATACCTTTTCGCCGAACTGTTTCAGAGCATGTGGGTCAATACAAGACTTCGTACTGTGCGTCACGGAGTCGAGCTCAACGTATTGCTCTCCCCATGTGATGGACAGGAAGGCCACGGCAAGTTCCCTGCGCAAGCCTCGAGTATAGTCTGGAGTGATGAACTCGTCGTATTTGGCTTTGGCCGAGAAGGCAGGGAAGGTTGTCGCTCGTTCTGCCCTTTTTGTGGTTTGTCGTTCGGAGGGGGGCGGGCGAAGGCCATCCTCCTTTATATGGGGACCAACAGCGGCTGTGACATATCTGGCATGTTTGACACGTCATCGGTCATCAAAGGTGGCCAAGTCAATGTCAGGGCGCCATTAGTGTACAGCTTTTGTACCCTGTACCCTTTTTCTTCCATACCCCTTACAGTGTTGTCCACGGCCTCCTCATTAGGATCGCTCCCCACAGACCAGCTCCATCACGAGTACCCAAGTTTCATGACGCGTGATATCAAACCATCTAGTTTCTCACTCGTCCGACGGCCTCTGCGCGTGTCTTTGTCAAGGTCTCGTATATATATGTCCGGTCTTGGTATTGTGAGACTACTTCCCATCTCTAGTCCTAACGTGTACTCCTTTTGCACGGCTTCTGCTTATTTACTACCCATGAAACGCACCCTCACCTACCGTACCGTCACCGTACACTGGAGGAACGTGGCGACCGTCGCCGTCCTTCTCACTGCCCTGCTGATCGCCATCGGCGGAGGTTTCCTTACCAAGTCGCTGAGCGAACGCACCTACAACACCTGTACGCACGTTTACAAAGATGTGACCTATTACGACAACAATCTCGTACCGGGCGTCTGCATCGGTATTATCATAAACATCCTCGGTCTCTTGTGGGGCATCTTAGTCGCTCTCGTTCTTGCGAACGGTGAAAACGAGTCGAGACTGGAATGTGGATGCTTACTCGGTTCCCTTGAAGACGGCAAAAATTTGGTTTCGGTTGTGGGTGTTATGCTGCCCACCCACTCGTAGTCCTACGCCTGCAGCCCGTACCCTCGTGGACTTGCGCGAAGCCTTTGCGTGATAACTTCAACGGTACAGTGCTTGGGAATTCTCTGGGTGCAAGAGCCGTACCAAAAGGGTAAGGTGTCCCGCTTGATATCTTTATCGGACGGCGCGCCGCAGCTGTGATTCTTCACCGCATCTTCTTCGTTCCCTTCTGCCTAACTTTCTTCCCAACGCAATTGCGAGCAGCTCTGTACAGTACAGTACTACGTATGTACATACGCCGACCACCACCAGGTAACAACAGCAATCCGTCACCGTTCTCAGCTTCATTACCACAGCACTGACACGAGTTTTTTACACAAAGCTATCACGGCAATCAAACAACCCCTGTACTGATCTTGGCTGTGCTGGAGTGGGCAATCTGACCTCGACGCCTTCACCGTGTTGAATCAGGTTGTTCTGTTAGAGTGGTCTACAACAGACATAATCTCTAGCAGGCGCACAAAGGCACACGCCCAGTCATTCGCTTGAGGCAGCCTGCATTGGGGCGGCCTCGGGATTTAGTCGTCACCATGGTGAGAAAACCATGCAACCGAGTTGGAGATGCCTACTTCGGTGCAGCTGCTTTGAACCGGGGAGGAGGTGGGGGAGGAGGAGGTGGGGAGTAGGCGGGGGACCCAGCACGAGCGGGGATAGGAGGATAGGAAGCTCACACACTGGACGCAGCAGTTTACGCACAATCGGTGGCCGGCGCACCACTTCTGCTGTTCGCCAAGCGCTGAGACGGGCAAGCGCAGAGCTGAGGCAGAGACTTATGACAGCGCTGGCGGGAACGATGTGGAGAATGACAGCGACAACTCCATGAACACTGCAACCCGCAGGCCCGCTTTCATCCCGACATATGAGGAGTACGACACCGAACCTGAGGTGGAGTTTGCTCGCCAGAAACGCAAATCGTTCGAGAAGGAGATTGAAAAAGCCTTTGCCAATAAGAAGTGACATCCTGTGCTCCTCCGAGATCTCGTTCGAATCTCGAAGCGGGGGAAAATGAAGGCGAACCCAACAAACTTTGATACCACTGGCCTGAAGCTTCTCGCTCGCAAACCCACCCTGGGCATCGATCAGGAGGACAATCCACTGTACATGTACCTTCCTGGCGTCGTTGGGCCATATGGCAGGGGGAGGTGGTGGAGGCCATCATCATAGAGGAGCCAATGGATGGAATGGCCTGGCATGTCGGCGGGAAGCATCCGGTGGTAGATGCGGCCGTTGAGAGCCAATGCTTTAGGTCCTGTGTGGAACCGTTTGAAGGATCCATCTGCTACACCAATGGCGGAAAAGGCAAACAGGTAGTTGAGGCGGCGAGACAGGTTTCCCAGGTTTCTCTGGTGAGCCTGGAAGGCATTCTCCAGAGCTGGTGGGTACGGGGGAAGGCGTCCGATGAGGAGTTGTCCGTTCTGGCAGCATGGTGACTCCCGCTCGTTTTCCATGAGGTGTGCCCCACAAATGGGGCATGCTTGATCTCTCCAGGTGAGGATGAGTGGAGAGACTGAGTGCGTGAGGGGAAAGGCGGTATGTCACCAAGGGGAGGGGTTGGTAGGAGGAGAGTGGGTGGGTGGGCTGCCGTCGCAAGCTGTACTTTTTTTGTTGAACCTCCTCTTCGTAGCTCGTTGCTGTTCCAAGTAATCTCCAGTCGCAGGAGGGGTGCTCAAGGAAGCAGCAGCATCGGTGGCCATGCGCATGGATCGCACCTTGTCCTCCAAGCGTTTCCTTTGTGCTCGCTGTTGGGCTTGCCGGGAGGACATGCTGACTTGTGGCGGTGGTTGCTCACTGTGGTGATTGTCGCTACTCATTCAGGTATAATCGCTCAGCTCCCTCCACAACCTCCAGACTTCGTCACAACCTATATGCTTTTCGCCAGATGATAGTGGTTTTCGTGTGGCACAAGCGGTTTGCGTGTGGCACAGTTGCTGGCCTTTGCAGCCAGAGCGGCATCCCGCCTACGGCGGCTCTCGTCTCTCTCGTGTCGAGATGGCCGAAGTTCCGCGTGGACAACCAAATTCTGTCCCCCGTCCCAATTCTCCATCAAAGAGATCAAAAGTCTCATACGTTATGAAGGTCTGATTTTCATTCCAGTCTTGCGAAAAAGGTCACAGAAACAAAAAGGATGAGGGATCAAAAGAGGTAGGTCATAGAAACCATCGAAATGCAAAGAAACTAATACAAGAAACAAAAGGACCGAACGAGAACGAACGGGAGACGAAAGTAACGCGGCAATTAAAAGAGGTGGGTGTGCTGTGCGGCTCGCCGTGTGCGGCAATGTCTGTCCCGGCGGTGCGGGGTTTGTTCTATTAAACGATTTGAGGGATCCTACGTAATACGGTGTCAAGGCAGAGTACGCGGGGCCGCACGCGACGACACGGGCTGTAGCGTAAGAGTAGGAATGAGAGCGAGGAGTGTCAAAGTTGTTTAGACACCTCCACCGCTACGTTCGGTGGATCGAACTTTGACGGATTCGTGGTTGGAGATCCGGTGCGAGAATTTGGAGCGGTTTTTCATTTCTTTCACGACTCCGAGGATCTGTGTATGTGAAGGGGCGAGATGGAGTTAGATATGCATGAAGAAACGCGAAAACAAGGATATGCATGTATCGCAAGTCGGGGGTTTGAATAAGACGGACAATCATATCATACCTCCAAGAACTCGTTGAACTCAATCGAATCAACCATCCTCAGCTCCACATGCGTCAACACTGTCTCCAGATCCGCCTTGGTGATATCCTGGCCCAAAGTCTTCATAACCGTCTTCAAATCCGACTGGTTGATATGTCCATCCTTATCCGCGTCGAGCTTACTGAACTCCGCCTGTGCTTTGGTGAGCTCCTCCGGCCTGAAATGCGACCGCTCAAAGAAACTGGCGTCGGAGGATGTGGAGGGGTCACGCAGACCCATGTAGACGAGGAATTCCTTTCCTTTTGCGAGCTCTTCCTGCTTGCGCGATTTGGACCAGTTGAGCTCCTCAGCCATAATCTCGATGACGCGAGGCAGGGCTTCCAGGGCAGCCTGGGCGTTCAGGAAGGCGAGACGGGTCCGGCGGGCGATGACGTCCACGGCAGTACAAGCGTACTCGCGGCGCACGGCATAGCGCACCTCGGCTTCGATGTACGGGTAGCCTGGTGCGATGTGCTTGCCGAAAACGGGCCAGCGGGAGCCCGTGAGGGAGGCCATGGCGGCGACTCCCCAGGCGCGGTCACCGTAGGCTTCGGAGAGGTGCTGTGCAACCTCAACTTCGATACCGAAGTGTTGGACGAGCTTGACGTACATGTTTTTGTCCCAGTGGTGCGAGCCGACAAGGAGGACGTGTTCGGTGTTGGAAGGGCCGGATGCTTTAAGGTCTGAAAGGGGGAAAAGAATACCAGGTAAGAATGAAAACGTTTCGCGGTACGAAGTAGAGTCATACGGTTTACTTACCAAAGACCTCAATAGCCTTATCGATTGTCTCAGCGGCCATCTCTCTGTACGTCGTCCACTTCCCCCCCGCAATAGTCAACAAGCCGTTTGCGCTGACATTGATCATGTGATTCCTCACAAGCGCTGCGGTGTTCTTGGCATGCGGGTCGCGAACCAAGGGCCTGATTCCAGACCATGCGGCGAGGACGTCACCTCGGCGGACCTTAATGTCTGGGGAGAGGTAGTTTTCGATTTCGCTTAGAATCCACGCGATCTCCTTTTCGGTGGGGATGGGGTTTTGCGTCACTTCCGTCGGTGCGTCTGGAAAAGGAAAGGTGTCAATCATTTTTTCCGTTCGAAGGATGTGCTGATGCAAAGCGAGAGGGACATGGAAACTGACCGGTAGTGCCAGCAATGGTGCTTCCTTGCCACGGCAGGAAGAAAATAACGCGTCCGTCGCTGGTAGCAGGGTCAATGAGACCCATATCCCGCGGGCTGTAATAGCTAGGCAGAACGATATGCGTGCCGGAACTTGGTGCGACGATTTCGGCGGTCGTCACTCCAGAGTCCAGCTTCCGCAGACCATCGGTGAAGGGTCCAGTTGCGTTGATGACACCCTTCGCCCTGACCTCCCATTCTTCGCCGGTCATGTGGTCACGGACGATCGCTCCGTAGATTTCCTCGGGGCCAAGGTTGTAGAGGCCGAGATGCGTGGTGCGCTTCTTCTTCAAGAGGCGGACGACTTCGGTGTGGTTGGCGACAACGGCACCATGGGCTACGGCTGTAAGCGCCAGAGCAACGTTCATTCGAGCGTCGTTGTGGGCACCTGGAATGCGAAGTTACAGTTAGACTTTATCCCCGGTACCATCGGGAACCACCTGCGCATATGCATTTACCATCGTAGTACACCAAAGCAGCAACCAGGTCGGTTTGCTTCAACATGGGGAAGGCCTCAAGTGCCTTCTGCTTGCTGAGGAAGTAACTGTTCGACAGCGCGTCTCCGCTAAACCACGCAAGTGCGTCGTACGCTTTGCAACCCGCCCAGTAATATGGCAGCTTCCACATTCTGCAGGAAAAACACGTCAGCACTTGTGTCAGCTGTACTGAGCGTAAGAAAGATTAATGGCTCACTTGTAAAGTGGAATCATCGTAGGCAGCTGATACGAGAGGAAAGGCGCAATTTTCAGGAAAACACCACGCTCGTGAAGCGCCTCCTTCACCAGCTTGTATTGCTCGTAGTCCAGTTCCCAGAAAGCCTTTTCCAGGTATCGTACACCGCCGTGAACCAACTTTGTACTTCTCGAACTTGTTCCTGTGATCAAGTGGGTGAGTATGATGAGCAGTGAGGCATATTGATCGATGGGATGAGCGAGAAGTGAAGCGGCGGATAATTGAACGATACCCTGCTCGCTCCGCTAGCGACAAGGAACTTGAGCTGATGGGCTAAGCTCGCTTCGCTCGCCGATGGTCGCTAAGAACAGTAGCAAGGGGAATATTGCGCCCTCGGCGCAATGGGAACTGGCTCCGCTCGCGATGGCGTTTGCGATGGTCGCCCTTGGTATCGGTCGGGCTCCTGTCGCAAACCGCCCGCACTCACTACCGCTCGGGCTCCCTACCGCACACCAGCCGCAAACCCTCGCTACGCTCGGACTCGCCACACTCGGACTCGCCACGCTCTGACTCGCCACACTCACGTACCTGAAGCAAAATCGTCTCTCTCCACAAGGGCCACCCTCAACCCTCTCGTCGCGGCATCAACCGCACACCCCGTCCCCGTCGCTCCACCGCCCACAATCAACAAATCGAACTCCCCACCAGGCCCCTTAGCACCCTCCTTGGTCTCCTTCGGCAACCCCTTCAACTCATTCACCATCTCCCTGCGCGATGGCGGGGTCCATAGCGAGTGCGGGGTCTTGTCCTTTGCGGTGATAGGCTGACCCTGGGCCTCGGCGTGGAGCGGGTGGCGGAGCAGGAAGCTGGGGGTGTAAGCTTCGACTAGCCGGTGGGCGTTTGTGGAGTCTTTGCGGTCTGACAGCGCGTAATAGGCGGCGCCGACTCCGCCGAGGGAGGCGGTTGCCGTGGCAAACTTCAATGGTCTACGCCACATCTTGGGCGATAGTTGGATTCGGGGTTATTCCCGCCTTTGTGCGATGTGGTGGGAATCGTTTTGGCGGTCAAGTCAACGTCCGTTGTGATGGCTATTGGCGTGGGAGAATCAGCGAGATTGCCACCTGGCAGAGATACGAGACCTCACTGCGCAGTGCGTGATGCCCACTTCTGTGTACGAGTAAAGGGTTCTTACCTTTCTGTCTCCTCTGATTACAGTACTAGGTGGAGCGTTGTGAGGCGATGGGGCTCCCGGGGGCGGATGTAGTCGATGTGGGTTGTGGTTGTCAAGCCCCGAGAACGCCTCGAGTCAGTTCTGTGAGAGCGAAAACGCACATGGGAGCACCTGCAGCTAGCGTGCATCCATGAGCGGATCGATTGATCTTTTGCGCGGCCCCCCTTTCCCCTCTTTCCGCTGCTAAATTACTTACAGGGTTCAGGGTTAGCGTATTACCGCTTGATGTCATCACTTGGCACCGGAAGAGCAAAGCAACCAAAGGCACGCGCTTGTGCCCACCCATGGTACAGTAACCCTACTTGCGGGGGGTACTGTACGTAATATAAAGGGCTTCTCATGTATTGTACAGTAGCATCACCAGAGCATCACCTCTCTCTCTCAACTGGCGGCGAGGAAAATAATCAAGAGGTGCAATGTATTGAGCGTTGTTGAGGATGATAGAATGCTGGTAATATTAGGTTTATGCGTACTAATTACACAGATATGGGAAGGGAAAAGAGGGGTTATGAAAGACGTGGAAAAATGATGAACGCAATATAGAAGAGTTCAAGGATGACATGGAATAGGCTTATCTATGGGAGTAGCCCACGGCCGTTTCCAACAAAAACGCCGGTTCGACATATGAGAACGTTTCGTTCGCTAATTTACCCGCGTGCCCAGAGACTGCGTCGACACATTAGCCGCAAACGGATGTGGGCCGTCCGCTTTCGCATCCGCTTGGTCCGCTTTCGCCTCTGCATCGCGATTCGGCCACGCGTTGGGCTGTTGTCGCGTTAATGGAACGCCAGGGAGAGCGTCGCCTTTGCTGACATATCCGTTCAAATTCGTATTCGCTGCAGCATCGGTGCTGTTGGGCGTCGTGGTAGTATCCGTCCCCGACGTGCCGAAACTGCTCTGCGTGCCGTTCGACTCGGGCTTCTGCACGTGGGCGGCGGTCGTCAATGATTTCAGCGGCAGCATGTGGTGGTTCTGTTCCTTCTGTTTCAGTTTCTCCACAGTCTCAGGGTCAAAGATCGTTTCGGGATTAGGCTGTGCATACTGTGCGTCCGTGTCGTTGCCAGCGGGGGCCCCCGTGGTATGGTCGTCATCGTGCAGCTCAGGCACTTTAGTCTTTTTGTTTGCCTGCTCGCTGTTCTCGCCCGACAAGTTGGTCTGCGACGGCTCACGCTCATCGAGTTCCGAGACACCCACGCCTAGCTCGTGACGCGATTCGGCCATCTTGACGAGTTCCGGATGTTGCTTCTCGCGCTGGTGGCCGACGACGAGACGCGGGACGGAGACGTGGTAAACACCGATGGGGATTTTGAGGGTGTTGCGCGGCGGTTCGAAACGGAGACGGAAGATGGCGACTTCGGGGGTGGAGGTGACGCTTTGTTGAGCGTTCTCTTCCACGACGCGGGCGGCGTCCGCGTTGGCAATTGGCTTCGTGGGATCCTCAATGTGATGCCGGGAGACAATCTCATCCACCTCGCACCAATTCCTCCTCGCCATGATCTTCCTGTGTCCCTTCTTGTTTCTCTTGCCATCCACATCGTGTTGGAAGACATGCACCAAACCCTCGGTGGTGTTCTTAACGTTCTTGACCGGGCGACGCGACGACGACCATTGGAACAGTTTCAGCACGACCTTGGGGGGCGGCTGGTTGCCAATAGCCGAAGAGACGATGTTGTACATGAGGCGATAATCTTGGAGTGGTGGCACTTCGTAGGTGTGTTTGGTCTCCTTGTTGAACTCTCCCTGAGTCCTAAGCTGAGCGACCGCCGCGCAGTGAACGTCACCGGCAATCATGGTGACACGGATGGAGCGCTCCTGAGAGAACTTTTGGAACCGCTCAATGAGCTCGTTACGTTCGTCAATATGGAAGTCAGAGTTCCAGTGGTCGACGAGGTCGTCGAGGTTACTGGGCTCGCCGAACGCAAGACCCAGTTTCTTGTACATGCCGCTGAACCGGAACAGCTTGCGGAACCCGGACCAGCGACGGATGGTCGACATGAACTGCATCACTTTCTCCGTCACGCCCAGAACGGGGAAACTGACGGGTACACCGGAGGCAAAGATCAAGTGCTCGACCGTATCGGGTAGCTTGGCTAGGTGCTCGTTGAACAGAAGATCCCAGCTCTTTGGGTCGTTGACACGCTGCTTGGTTCGCTCAAAACGACCGTCCTGACCAAAAATGGCCGTGCGCGGTCCAAACTGACGCACGAAGTTGTAACCCGACGATCCACCCCAGAACCCATCGTCGCAGGCCCGCTCAGTCGTAGTGTGGTGCTGGAAGAGCAGGTAGAAGCGGAGTCCGATGGCACCGATGCCTCGGAACACGGGGCAGCTTTGCAGGGCGTCCGGGTACGATCCGAATCCGTCAAAGATATCGTGGTCGTCGACGATGTTGATTCCGGGAATGATGGCCATGGCGTCGCCCAGGACGGGCTGCGAGAAGTGGGCCATGTAGTGCATCAGGTAGTACCTCTCGACCTCGATCTTCATTGCTGCGGAGAACTCGTAGCTTTCACGTTCATATGCATCGAAAATGTCGAGCCACTGTCTCAGTGATTGGCAGTGGAAGAACAGATCGTCTTGATAAATTTGATCACCTCCGCCGACCCTGCAATTGATAGTAGTGAGATCGGTGACTCCTTCATTCAAATCACGAATGATTCGTTACTTACATCACATGCAACGGACGCTTGGCGTTTACTTGGAGCATATCGCGCCACATGGGCCGGATTCCGTCGAACCTCTCCTCTGGCTCCTTACAATCGGTACCAAACCCATTGCAACTGTAGAACGACCAGTGCCAAGGCTCATCACGTGCAGCGACATGGAAATTGAAGGTCTTAGTGCCTTCGGTGCTCCAGTCCAAACGCTTGGCGCCGGTGCCAGCCGCCGTGTCGAACTTCTCAGGATCAAGCACATATGTGACTTCCTGAGAGAAACCGGGAGACACGGCCGGTGAACCCGTATCCATATGGTGCACACGGGCGTATTGCGCTTGCGGGTCATCAGCGTCGGCGGCGTCGATGAGCGCGTTAGTGGGCTTTTCGTGCAGACTAACGGTAATGTCATATCTCACGGCGGTGTATCCAGTTGAGCAAACGTTCTTGTCCAAGACTGTTGGTTCCAGCCAACGGGAGCCATCGAGTTCATTGTGGATGCGAATCTTTGGCATCTCACGAGACTCGTGGTACATGACGAGGATGTTGCCTAACCAAGCGTTCTTCTCCAAGTCTGTGTTGACGAAGTTGAGCCACGGGCCGTACAGTTGCTTGAGAGGTTCAGCGGGTAGGGAGAGAGAAGCCGGGCGCTGACCAGCGGCGGCGGGCTTCGCAGAGGCGGCGACGGCGGCAGCAGCAGCATCGGTAGAGGTTCCAGCCTCCTGCAGCTTCTCAGGCGAGAGTTGATGCTCAGACGTATCGGCGTCAACCTTATCCAAGTGGAACGCAATCACGTTATTCTCGTCGCCGCCAACGTCAGCTCGAGCTTCAGGCAACGCGGCAAGCATATCGTGGGCCAGCCGCACACCGTAGGACCCGCCCTTGTTGAGACGCTTGCGCCGGTGGCCGACATTGCGCTGACGGACGTGGTCGACGACTCCCCCGCGCTTGGAGGAGCCTGTGTGGCCCAGACCGACGTGTTTGAGAGAAGGCGTCTCTTTGCCGCCTGTGGGACTTGTCCCGTCGGACGGGGAGGGGACCGCGGGCATTGCGTTGAGTCGTGGGGTGTGTCCTGCAAGTGAGTCGGATGTGCAGCTCTTCGTCGTAGATCACACTTGTGGGGCGAGGGAAACCTGGCTTGCCGCTGTGGATCGAACCTCCGCTTCTCTCTCACTCCACGCGACGGCCGTCTCGGATCTTAGGCTACAAGGGTTAGGGTTAGGGTTCAAGAAATATCAACATGGGCTTGTATAGGGTTTTGGGTGGCGGGGGGGGGTTAGGGTTAGGGTTAGGGTGAGGGTTTCCACCTGATGGAACTTTCATCCGCCAACCTGTCGACATAACTGCATGTGCGCATGCCGTAGCCGAATCTTCGTTAGAGTTTTTATGCTCTGTCTATAGCACGAACTCCAGCCCTGCACGTCGCGCCTTATGTAATCGAGCGGAGATTGTTTGACAGTACTTTGACATTAGGTTGCTCGAGGGCCCACACCGAGCCCGTCCGTAGGATTAAAAGCCTACTCAAGTGTGCGGGCGGCCACCGCCGTGCACTGGCAAACGGACGAGCACAGGGATTGCTACAAGGACGCGATCGACGCATACGGCAAGAAAGAACTGACACCACTATGGTGTCTGAAAACGAAAGATCCGTCCTACATTTATGCGAAGGATTCGAACGCGCTCTGGGACGAATACATACATGACATGCGAAAAGTTTTCGACGCCCTCAAAGAGTCCACTGCATACTACCACCTGGCAGAGGATGAAGAAGACGATGCGGCCGTGTTGGCGTACCAAGACTCGAGGCGGCTACGGAATGGTTTTGACAGGTTTCTGCTGGTAAGAATATCATATGTATTCCAAGATATTCCAAAGGCGCCGTCGGGCTGGCAGCAACTCGCGAACTCGTGTTATTGTAACCGGGAGCGCGAGGGATGGGTTCTATGCGTATCTAAACCCGCTGCCAGTGCCGATAGTCTATGGCAGCACCCCGCGGTATCGTGTTATAGCAACCGGGAACGCGGGGGATGGGTTCTATGCTTATCTAAACCCGCTGGCCATAGATGGCGGTTGCTCTTGGACGTTAACTATGAAGACCACTCATAATCCGTCCTTCTGTAGGGCCAGAGCCAGGAGGCTGGGCGGAGCGAGTTTGTTGCGGCGCATGACCGCTTTCGCCTCCTGTACAAACAACCACTTAATTTTGAACCATGTGTCCCGGAAGGGGTAGAACTTGCGAAGGGCAAGCGGCCGGCCGAGCGCGAGATTCAGAGCCCTCCGGAGAAACGGAGTCGCCTGGAAGGCAAGGTGGATACCAATTCCAAACCGAGTGAGATGACCCTCTTGGTGACGCCAGAGACACTAGCAACAGTTCTGTCCACCTTCTTTGACCAAACGGTCGAAAGGCACGTCGACACAGCGAAGGAGGACGTCATAGCGGCCCAAACCGCAGCAATTATTGCGAAGGACCAGACGATCAGAGCGAAGGATGAACTGTTGAAGGCAACAAAAAGGCACGCGAGGCAATACGAAGCCGCAATGCTCCGTCAGAATCTCCTGGGAGAGCGAACGGCTAGAACAAGTGGCGCCGAGGGTTAGGGTTATAGAAGCCCTCAGGGTTGACTCCAAGGACGTTTTGCAGCTTGTACGGGGATGTGGAGTCGAACCCTGAGGGGTTCCCGGTTGGTTCATCGCCGAGCACTGTCAGATACTGCAGCGCGGGACAGTGTTGTGAGATCGTTTCCAGCAATGAAAGGGCGAGTGATCTGAGTTTTTCGCCGAACTGTGCGATGTCGATCTGAAATCTATTTTATCGCACCGGTCCCAGCCGGAGTGTGAGATTTCTGAGAGGTGCAAAGTAATGTAGAAGGTTTACGCATAGATGGTGTGTGTCGGTCAATATCTGATCTGTAGGCGGTGTAGCATGCTAGACTTGTCGGCGTCTCTTCAAACACCTGGGTGTCTGGTACGATCAGCGTTCTCAAGTTGGTGTATCGAGGAGTCTTCTTCGGATGATGCCTACCGAGATCAACATGTTGGAGGGAGTTGCCGAAGATAGGCAGAAATGGATCACACAATTCGGGTAAGAATGAGGGGTCCCCTCTTGGCTACCCGAAACGATACAAGGCGCGGGAATGCCAAGGACAACGAATTTGAAGGCTGCTTCTTCAGATCGTGCCGGAAAAAATCCTCCTTCTGGCAAGGACCGAGAGTTAAGGCACGCAGGTGCTTGCAGCTTGCGAGGATGCTGAGGAGGCTTTTGCCGCGAAATTCTCCCACAAGTTCAAGGTGTTACAATATGTATTGTCTTGGAGATATAATTTCTCTGAAAATGTTTGCCTTTGCAGTCGGACGGCTGCGAGAGGTGTACTAAACGACTGCCGCCAGGCATGTTGGTGACATTACACCTCCGTTCCAGTTTTCAAAACGTCTTTCGATCTCGGCGAACCCCCACGCAAGGCGTGGTCCTTGTTCATCTGAGGGTCTTTCGCTCCGCTGCCGGTTGGGGAGGTCGTCTTTGAGCGGCTGACCGCCGCGGCTTTCTCCAAAAGACTGTGCCAATGAGCCTGCTCGGCGTGGCTACTGAAAGACATCCTGACGGTCGTTTTCGGCTTCCCCGGCTGCTTGAATGCCAGAATGAGGTCCGCTCCATTCCCTGCTTGTTTTCGGCCGCTGTCAGCGTTTGTGCCTCCATCGTCTGGATGACCACCACTACCATCGCCACCCGGTTCCGCTTCCGTGGCCGCATCCTGGGTACAGTCTGCTTTTATGCTCACGTTGCTCAGTCGGTACATGAGCGCTCTCCCTCCATCATCCTGTGGTGTACGGGGCGTGGCGGAGAAGAATATATCAACGAAGAGCAAACCAGAAGGACCGCTAGAATCTCCCGCCGGAGTCAAGCTCGCACTCACATCCACGAGGTATAGGTGATGCATGCTGGGAAAGAGCAATACTCGAAAGATCTCCCACCGGTTCAACCACGTTCTTATGCCGCCCTCTATCATTACCGGCACGACAACCTGCATAATGAAGGAGGGAGGTGGGGAGAGCAACATGTCATCAGTAACAGTTAAGTCAAGGATGACCGCAGATGTTTGACACAGATGTTTGAGTGCGTAAAGTCAGCAGGGATCCCTTGAACCCCGCCCCTTCCACGCAGGCTTTACTAACCGAATTCGAAACGAGCGACGAGGACAGAGCGGAATCTGAAACCCCGGTCATGGCGGAAGCTGTGAAGGTCATCCGCATGAACTTATTCGCTTCATTCAAGTCGACCTCATTCGCTCTGATACCGGCGATCTGCAACACTGCCGGTCCAAATAACATCATGAGCGTGAACGTCGTCATAAGCAGGAAGAGAACGTGGCGCATGATGAACTGATAGCTGTACAGGGCTGGAAGGTACACCAGCGGCAGACCGATGGCCAACAACGCGACAAAGTTCCATGAAGCCGCTGCAATGCGCGACGTTTCGTTGTAGCTCGAATCGATGGCGCGGTTTTTCCAGGTGAGAAACAGCACAAAAGCCATCAACATGCCATTGGTCCCGTAAAGCGATGCCTCAAAAGCATGCTGCACGGAGCTGCTTGAAGAACGGCAGAGCCAAATCTTCTCAGTCGTGGATATATTGATGCTAATTGGATGCGGGGCATCGTAAACCGCCCAAGTTATTAAAATAACCTTGCGGAACCAAAAAGATCAAAATCAGATGGCTGACATCACAACCAAATGGAATGCTTATTGCTTACTGCTTGGATAGCCAGCTGTATGGTGACGTAAAGAAGCAATTCCGGAGTTTTCACTGTCAAATTCTTTGAGAGGAATGGATGGTTGAAGATCCTGTTACATTTTCAAGCAGCGCGGGGGACAGATGATTGCCAGTGAGAAAGAGTAACGGAATCCGATGAAGACCACATTACAATAGATGGCCTCTTGCTTCTCTCCAAAAGCTTTTCGTCCACTTACTTGTAGAGCCGCCAAGACTTTACTACACAAGCCGGAAGAGAGCCACATGGTAGATCGAGAGGGTGAGAATGAAGCTTCCAGCTGGAAGAATGAAACGAAAATTTGCAATTATGAAGACCAACCGGCAATGCTTCCGTAAACCAAACTGAAGGCCACAGGCGGCAACCATGTCTGCGTCACACACGCTTTCGAATCCGGAATGCCGATATACGGAAAGATGGTACAGTATCCCACGATAATGCCTAAAAGCGTGAGCTGCGCAGACGATTGTACCGATCAATAAAACTCGCCCAATAGAGCAGGTAATATGTGCTTACGTTGTCGCACTTGACGTTCTCACCATTGAAAAAGCTGGACTGGCTCTTTTTACGACAGGATGTCGTCTATTCATCCATATCGTCCCCGTAGTGACTAATGTCACAATGATCCCTAGGACGCTGACCACCAGGAAGGTGACCGCATCGTTGCTTCCCCAAGTGGAATTTACGACGACTCTTTCCAGAGCTGTCCGCGGCACAGCACTGGATCCATCTCTGAATATGGGTGCCTGGTTAGGAGTGTAGTCGATTTGATCGGATCTTCCGACAACCATCATATCTGTGCCGTTGAAATTGTAGATCTGGTAGAAGCTTTTGGAATCGCAAGCGAGTAAGTGAAGCAGCAAGTATCGGCAAGCTTGGCTCAATGGGACACTCACGCGGGGACCATATCTCCATGTTCGTCAAAAGTGAGGTATCCAACCGGGCTATCGGCCCCCGTATTCCATACATCGGGCGTAAAATTGGCGTTGAAGGTCCCACTAGCGAGGTTCTCCAAAGTCACTGTGGGATCACCTTTTGCCGCGCCATCCGCCAAGAACTAGCATTTGCGAAAAGGGAGCCCGATAGCGATAGGATGTTAAAGCGAGTGTTAAAGTGCTCGTTCACAGGTGGCCAGACCAGCTTTGGTGTTGGAAAGGTTGGTGAGCGTACCTTCCCCCAGCCAGCAGCGAGCGCCTGGACGCAAGCGTACGACACACTTATACGAAGATCATGATTAATACATCGCAGTTGCGAAGCAACTCCTTGGCATAATCAGAGGTAAAGATAACTCACTCCAAGTTGCTGACACCCGGAAGCCCAAGGTCAGGATACAACGTGGTGTCCAGCTTTGGAAGCCTTTCTAAAAATTGTTCGCTGGCAGGGGTATTTGCGGCACCAGCGGTGCCAAAGAAAGATCCACGCATAATCTTCTGAGTCAAGGCTGTGTCCCTTGTAGCAATATCGAGCTCCTCTGAAACATCCTTTTTGTAAAATTTGGGATGCAACATGTAAACCAAGAGTGCGCAGCTATGTACAACGTAAAACAGCATACATCTAGTAAATCTCTCACCTGGGTAGTCAACCAAACCATATCGTCACGCATAAGCCCAGCTTTGTAAGCGAACAACAACATGGCGGCCATCCAATCCATATTCCCAGCCAAGAACAAGACACGAGTTCCATCGGCAAATGCGCGTGTCATTTGATCAACGGCAATGGCAATGTCCGTGCCTGTGGGGAAACGACAAGTAGCAAGCCCAGGGGAGAGAGGGAGGGGTATCCATCTTTTAGTTAGAGCAAGAACACTTGGCATTAGCCGATCACGAAAACCATTGATATGGTAATGCGCCAACGTACTGTCGGAACCAAGCCATACGCCGTTTGTGAATTTGCTCGTAATCTGCCACCGAGCGTCAGTTATCACGAGATCCGTCAACGCCGTTTGGTCTAAAACGCGGAATAGAACGAATGTCAAGTTTAAAAAGTTACACATCCTGCGGGTGTCACGTAATTCGATTAGCTTGCTTACATGCATTCCCGAGCGCCGAATCGCAATAGATGAAGGAAAATTGGGTCCAGCCAAAGTATTTCATGACGGGCAGAAGGTAGGAGATGTCGTCCGAGGCACCACTCAACGTCCGGAAAAAGTAAGGGAACGAGATCTTGCTTGATAAAGCATCATCACCGGCCCACGGAGAGCACTGGGGTATTTGCAAGCGGCCCATGGTTTGCGCGACGGCCTTGGTGGACTCACTGCCGTCGGTGCCGAGTATCGCAATGGCCCCATCGTAGTAAGCATTCAATGCGGCGAGCATGGCGGCCCCGTTATAGCTGCCGGTGATGTCACGGAGATCATGCATGTCCTGAATGCAGAGAGATTCAGGGACCTGGGTGCATGCGCGAAACAGTCGACCACACGGTTTCAAGATTGATGAACCGTTAATCGTACCAGCCAGATTCTTGCATTTGCGGGGAGCCCAAAGGCGGTGGGATCAGCATTGATGTCCTCCTGCGCTAGAATGTACGCCTGCCATGTGGCTCTCAAAGTCGAATTCCATGATTCCTCCTAGTTATGTGGAAAAGGCGCAATGTCAGCTTGAATGATATTCAGAGTCGACAGTGCAGACTTGCGTCTTACCACTTGGTCGCCATTGGACGAAACCACCTATCGTTGATGCAGAGAGGAAAGTGAGAACACAGGAACTCAAACAAGATCCGTGACATAACCAATAGAGAGGCCTCGCATAGGGACCTCTTTCCCGTGTCCTTCGAAAACGCAACCTTTCATGGATCGTGCGCCATACACATGATTTACGCGATGCTACGCAATCCCAAGCAATCCCAGTGCTGATGCTAATCCATCCGTCCTCGCTCGCTTCTCTTGCGCTCCTTTCATTTTTGTACACGCTCGCTTCGTTCTCGGTACTTACGCCTTTGGGCGTTTATGTCCCCTCACTTCGCTCGGTCTTCGTTCGCGCTCGGATGTATATATATCAAGGTTTTTGGGCGAGTCCTTACTCACCCCTATTCTCAAATACACCAAGTGGGAAGGGTCGCTGCTGTTTGACAGTGTCGATATCGGTGGCGATGCCAAAGGATTGTCCCTCTTGGCTAGAACGGGAGCGACGGTGCTGCTGCCGAGAATAGCGGGGCGAGGCTGCGGCCGTTCGCGATTGACCCTCCCCGGTGGTCTTGTTCCGGCCGCGGCGCCTTCGAGGAACACGGCAAATAGCAGCAGCAGCCAGGACACGACTCGCGGTGCGGTCGCCGGCGACATGTCGGTCCAAGTGTTACGTTTGCTCGTCAGTTTTGCGAAGGCGTTATTCGTGTCGGGTTCGCGTTCATGCATGTATGGAGCGGAATGGCCGCCCTATCTGGCCTCAGCCTGCCTGCGTACAGTACTGTACTGTACGTGGGTGGAGCTAAGGGCGGGCGGTGGAGCTGTGGCGGGTGGCAACGCTTGTAAATATCGGAGTTGTTCAATTGATCGGTTTCCTATCGCTCATCCCGACGGAACTTGAGATGAACCGCCCCTTTACCCCATGACGCCGCATGAGAAGGAAGGAAAGGGGCATGTCGATCAGTGCCTTACTACTATCTTCCTCAAAGCTGGGTCGTTTACCAAGGCCATGCCGTGCAAGGTATGCGTCCGGTGGTCTCGAAAAGGGAACCTATCCATGGTCGTGGGTTTTGCCCTCGCCCGATAATCATACTACGAGAGTGGGTGGCGCGTCCTTGCGCCCGGTATATCCGACTTCCAGGACGAAACGCATGGTATTCAACGGGTGTAAGACCAACTTTGAATTCAGCTTTCAGCTTTCTCTGGGAAAATTCGTTGGAGGGAGGAACAGATCAGCGTGGACAGCACAGTCGCACTCACGACTCACGAGGACGCACGTGGAAACATTAAAAGGCCGCAATCAGAGTTGCGAGTAGGAAGTGTGAATTTGAACAGTTTTCGGACCGAGGTGTCGGAGGGCACACACACTAACACATCTTTTACGGACAAGACACGACCTATGTACAGATAGCACACGACTGGGATCTAAGAGACAGAAAGCAGCTACTTATGTACATGTAATGTGGTGAGGGAGAGAAATATAAAATGGGGATGAAGGGGTTCTTTAGGGGATATCAATGATTACCCATTAGATAGTTGGAGGAACACTTCGACTACGCACGAACTATGAGTTAGAGACGCCATGGTTTGGCAATCCCGTGTACGCGAATGTTGTTGAATGATGGGCGGGACCAAGCCGAGGCTTTTCCTTGTCCCCGGAGGCGAGCGAGTGATATTGTTTGAGATGGTTTTACGGGGTGACAGTTTAGTAACCGCCGTTGTAACCGCCCTGCTGCTGGTAACCACCGTTGTAGCCACCCTGCTGGCCACTATTGAAAGAAAAGAAAAACGAGATCAGTCAGCAACCGAACTGTGAAGAAATAGATGCCGACAGGCAAAAAAGAGTGAACACATACCCGTAGTTGTTGGAGCGGAAACCGCCACGGCCACCACGGAAACCACCACCGTTACCGCCAGCGGGCCTCTCGTTAGCGAGGTTGACGCGGATGTTACGGCCGTCGAGGTCCTGGTCGTTCATAGCCTGGATGGCGGACTGGGCCTGGTTCTCGTCAGCGAAGGTGACGAAACCGAAACCACGGGAGCGACCTGAGGAGGAGGAAAGAGAGCGTCCATAGATAAATATGAAAGGTCTTTCGAGAATGACATTGCGTGTGCATGATCTAAACTCACCGGTCTCACGGTCCTTGAGGACGAGGCAGTCAGAGATCTCGCCGTACTGGGAGAAAGCCTGGTGCAGGGACTCGTCCGTGGTTCCCCAGGAGAGGTTTCCGACGAAGACTTTAGCGGCCATTTTGAGAGATTGGGGGGGTTGTTGGAGGGAGGTTGGGGGGAGTTGGGTGAAGAAAACAGGAAGGGGATGCGAGAACGCAGCGGTATTTGAAGGAAATGCGGATCTATGCCGATCCGTCCTGCCCTCTGTGGCCACCTGAATTGGCAGAGGGATCGCCGCCCACTGGAGAAGAAAAGTGGAGGAATGCAGCAGCACGTGATTTGCAGGGCGTTTGTCACGTGCTTTAAATGGCTCGCTGCTGTCATCCAATCAGAAGCCATAGCCTGGCGTCATTCTCGCCATCCAATCAGAAGCCATAGCCTGGCGCCATTGGCTACGTAAGTCAGTCTCAAACAAAGTCTTTCGGCTTGAAGTCTCGCCATCCAATCAGAAGCCATGGCCTGGGAGATGCCGATGACAGTTCGAGTCAAATTCATCTAAATTTGTGCCTCGGTTCCGAGACGAATCTTGAAGCCAGTCCACTTGGCAATCGAATCTGGGTGTGCAACCATCATGGCATCACGGAAAGAACCGGTAGGTGGATCGCCCCCTCTGGGTGGCAGCGGCGGAAAGCGACTACCATCAGGCGCGACTTATATTCCTTCTCGTGAAACTCTCAAACAAAAAGGCCAAGATTCCGGCGTCGCATTCTTTAGCAGCAGGCGCAATAGCAGGGGCGGTCGAAGCGACTTTCACATATCCAACTGAATACGTCAAAACTCAGCTGCAACTGCAAAGTAAAACTAAGCCGGACCTCAAGCTCTTTGACGGACCATGGGACTGTGTCAGGAAGACTGTCAGGGAAAAGGGGTTCTTTGGGCTTTATAGGGGTGGGTATCATTTAAGATGAAGCAACGCCTGGGGAGATGCTTTCAGAGAGGGCGACAGCAGGGCGTGGCACTGAAGATTGGAGAACCGATGCGTCGCGAGCGGAAAGAGAGAAAGAGTGAGCCGTGGCCTCTCGCGACCGGAAAGAGGGAGACTGCAAAGAGCGTCCGTAGCAGAGCTCCTGCTCTCTAAAAATCCGGAGTCTCATCGAATTTGACCATGAATCCAGGACTTTCCGCCTTAGTCATTGGGACAGCAAGCAAAGCCGGTGTACGATTTCTCGCATTCGAGCAGTTCAAGAAGATGCTGGCGGACGAGAATGGGAAAGTGGCAGGGCAACGTATCATGTTGGGTGCGTAGTCGCGCATCCCGTCGGGAGAGATTGAGGCATACTCGATCTGACCTCTTGGGACTTTGGGACAGCCGGGTTAGGAGCAGGAGTAGCAGAAGCTATCATCGCAGTAACACCAACAGAAACGATAAAGTATAGCACCTTGAGCTTCTTTAGGCGACATCACCTTCGCGCCAAAAGTCTCGTTGCTAACATGTTACGTCCAGAACGAAGCTAATCCATGACCAAAACTCCCCAAACCCCAAATACCACGGCCTCATCCACGGCACACGCGCCATCATCCGCACCGAGGGGATAGCAGGCATCTATCGCGGGATGACGGCAGTGATTGCGCGGCAAGGCGCGAACTCGGCTGTGCGGTTGACGACGTATGGGCTTCTGAAGGACCGGGTGCAGGATCGGTATCCTGTGGATCCGGTGACGAGGAAGAATGTCGTGCCCTGGTATGTTAACTTTGCCAACGGTATGTATCTATCCTTCCTTGCTTGCCAACAACGGGGCCGTAGTCCGTCCGATCTTTACTCAATGGACCACAACAAAACAGGTGCGGTCGCAGGAATCGTCACAGTTTACACCACCATGCCCCTTGACGTCGTCAAGACGCGCATGCAAGCACTCAACGCCAAAGAACTGTATCATAACTCCGTCCATTGCTTGTATCGAATTACGACTGAGGAGGGTGTCAAGGCCCTATGGAAGGGCGCTACGCCCAGGTTGGGGAGGTTGATTGTAAGTCTTGAACGGATACATGATGACTGTGGGCTTGAGCGGTAGGGGCGTCCCTGGACGTCTCTGTCGTTTGACCTCCGCGCTAGATTCATGTAACCAGTAACTGACATCTCTACGGCTTTACAGTTCTCGGGCGGAATCGTATTTACAGTCTACGAGCAGATCGTCGCAATCCTGGCTAGAACTTCACGATAGAAAAGGCGTAGACATTATCCTCAGACGACAGTTGATAGACGCAGAGCGGGTCGCAGACACGAGCGTCCCTATTCTGCATCGCTTGCCCGTACGGCATCCGTTTCATTTCCACGTACATACTTCTTGCATACATTTCCACGTACATACTGCTACTCATCCCTGTACACACAGGGGAGGCCACGCGGGGACTATACCTGGTCCTTGTACTGTATATATGTACACGTAGAATAGGTGCCTTTTTGGTATGAGTCTACGCTCTCGCCCTCCCATGAAACTACGCCCGACTCAGCTCCCGACTCTCCGCACCTCCAACGCGGGGAAAGAAAAAACAACGGTTGGCTACGGGGACACGGCTTTAGAAAAAGCCTCATCGGTCTGGGGTGTGTTATCACTGTTGTGAGACCGTCGTCCTTCTGCTTGGAGGAAGTTGACACGCGCAGAGGTGTGAACTTTTCCGCCCTCTTCGTCGCTTTTCGCTTTTCGACCGAGACAGGACTCCATCACCACTCAGAACACTCCCTCAGTCACACCTCCGCCATGTCGATACCACAGGACCACGTCCTGACCGCAGCGACGGCGACGGAGATACATACCCAGGCGACGGATAGGCCTTTTCCGTACTTTCTGGCGGGACTCGGCGCAGTCACTGCGACCACTATCTCGTTCTATACTATGTTTTTGCACTTGAAGAATTATAGGAGGCCGGACTTGCAGGTGGGCGCCGGCTGAACGGAGTGAGGGTGAGCGAGGGGAGGACAGACGCTAGGAGTGACGAGCGAAGCGAGCGTTTGGAGATTGCTTGAGGTGCCGAGCGGTAGCGAGGAGAATGCTTGACGTTTCTCAGCGATAGCGAGGACAGTGCTTGAGGTACGCGCAGGAGGCGCGAGAATGCTCGGAGGCCAAGGGAGGCGAGGAGAAGGCAGGCGAGAGCGAGCCCAATTGCGCCGGAGGCGCAAGAATGCTTGAGAAAGGCACGCGTTAGTGAGCCGAAGTCGTTCTTGCATCGTTCGTTTCTCGCACAGCTTCCTTATCGCGAGCGGATTTGTTTGTTGATGAGTTGATGGATGGTCGATGTTTGGTGATGGTCTGATGATGTTTGATGGGTTGATGTGTTGACGGGTTGATGTGTTGATGGTGCTATCGACTTACATTTGAATCCCATTTGCAGCGCCTGACAATACGGATATTATGGATGGTCCCCATCTACGCCATCGCCTCGTTCATCAGTTTATGGTCCAGAGGTGAATCCGACTACATTGACACCTTCCGCGACATGTACGAAGTAAGGAGGGCTGATCATTTCGGAGTGTGCTTCGTTTGATGCGCTGGAGCCAACGGAAGGATCACGATATTCTAGGGCTTTGTCATCTACTCCTTCTTCCTTCTCTGCATCAACTATCTCGGCGGGGAGCGCGCGCTCCTCGCCATGCTCGACGAACGCATGCGCACCCACCATCTCTGGCCATTCAATCTCTGTTTCGCTCCAATGGACGTACGTAAACCCCACCCCCATTCACCCCATTACCTCTCCCCTCCCTGTCGCTCAACCATTCTCCCGTCAGATGAGCGACCCTGACACCTTCCTCTTCGTCCGGCGTGGCATCCTCCAATACGTGATCCTCAAACCCTTCATTTCCCTCGCCACCATGATCTTCCGCCTCACCGGACACTACCCGGAGGGATACATTGGGTGGGATAGCAGCTATCTGTGGCTGTCGCTACTGTATAATGTGTCCGTGTCGTGGTCGTTGTATTGTTTGGTGCTGTTTTACGTGCAGTGTTCGAAGGATTTGAGGCCGTATCGGTAGGTTGTGGGGCGGGAGGGGGCCTTCGTGGTTTGAGTGTGGCTAAACATGGGTGGTATTGACCAACTCTTCTCCTCTGCAGACCAATGCCTAAATTCATCTGCGTAAAATCCATCGTCTTCCTGACCTTCTACCAGGGTCTTGGAATTGCGTTCCTGGTCTGGGCAGGCTGGATTCACGATTGTAAGGGCGTGTCTTTGCACTACTCCTCCCTTGATCCCCTACTTATTATCAAGATCCCGATTCTCCCTTCCCCCACACAGCCGAAGAATACACCGTAAGCCGCCTCGCTCAGCTCCTCCAAGACTGTCTCGTCTGCCTCGAAATGCCCTTCCTCGCCGCTTTGCACTGGTACGCCTTTCCATGGACGGATTACAACGACGAACGGTACATCACATATTTCCCCTCAATCATTTCCCCTTCACCTGGGACCCGATCATAACCCAATGATTATTCTCAGATTATCCTCCCGCATCCCCCTCTACTACGCCCTCCGGGACACCCTCGGCATCCAAGATATCATACAGGATACATATCATACGTTCAAGGGCACCACGTTTCGAAGGACTCGTGCGCAGAACAGACGACAACAACGGCGGAGAAATGAGCAGAGAGAGGGCGGGGATGAGCTGGGGTTGGAGGTTGACCCGCTCGTTACGTACTCGAAGAAAAAGGCGCGAGCGGGAGGGAGAGGCAGTGGGGGTGCGAGCACTACTGCTGCAGGTGGGGGAGGCTACGGCGCATTTGCGACACCCTCTCAATCCAAGATCTCCATCGACGCCGACGATAATCAACAATATATTTCCGACACTGACTCGGACATTTCGGCGGATTCCACCTCCTCCTCCCAATACACCGACTTGGAATTCATAGATCCGGCAGAGGATGCGCAATTGGAACGGCAGTATGAGCAGAGTAGGTTGTTGCCGTATGGGGATTATAATTATCCGGTTGTGTTGGAGGATGAGCGGTTTAGATATCCGCCGGAGGTGGAACGGGGGTTGGAACGGTGGGAGAGGGCGTGGAGGGAGGGGAGGGGGGTCGAAGAGGATTAGGCGGCTGGCGGAACAGAAAAGGGACGTCATACTCGGTCTTTTCCGACCCACACGCTGTCAGACGAATCCCGACATCAAAACTCCCGCCTTCCGCGCGCCATCGGAACTCGATCGGAGTGCACTATCACGCAGCTTAGTTTTGATTTCCGGCCGGAACCATGGATTACGTAGCTGCTCGCCTTTTGCGCTCCCCAACTCGACGGTCCCATACTTGGATGAATCAGCGTATATCATCTCGCGACCGGCGCCACACCGTCGACCGCCGCCATTACCGTCTCGCTGGCCTGTGGATCATGTATACCCCAGAGGCCGGGCATCAAATGTCTTACGTAGAGGTAGCTAGACTCCCGGATTCCGGCTCGTCGGCGTGATCACACCACCCCTTTCTTGTCGTACTGGGTGGAAGAGACGATGCGGATAGGATACTGTAGCATTCGTCTGACGTTAGACGGAACATATGTACAGTATGTCACAGAGCGTACCTTGGATCTGGATGTGAAGTTGTTGAAGCATGTCGATTGTTTGTTGCCGTGACTGTCTGTCGATCGTTGGGGTTTATGGAGTGATCTCGGCCGTCGCTCAACAGCAAACTCCGCCACTCAGAAACTACTCCGATGCCTCTACACCCGGGGCCCCCTTGACGCCGGGCTATCCAATAGAGGTTGGCTATCATTCGGATTTGTGGTGTCGTTCATTATCCAGCCGTGCATATGTGTGGGCTCATCCGTTGAAAAGGTTCGGCTACGTGGCTGGCCGCACACGCTGTACGACGACGTCGGAGATCGCGCATTTGCACCCCTCACACTCATCCATATTTCCTTCTTTTTTGCTTTTTCGGCCAACCGAAGACTCTCCCACACACCCTTCTCGACGCGTCACATACTGTACGTATCCCTCCCTACCCCTCTCACCCCTGTCTCCGACCAATGCTCTCCAACACTTGCCCTAAGAGTTTGACTCGACACATCTCTTTTTCGGCTTTGGGTGCGCGTTTGTTCCCGTTGCGACTATCAGCCCAATCACATAGAGTGTGTGCAATGGAGGTACTGCGTAACAACCTAGAGGCCTTTCTGCCCAAGATTAAAGATGCCATTGAGGAGGCCGACTTCATTGCGATCGACGCGGAATTCACTGGTACGATTTACCGAGCACAGCTCACGTCCTGTTGGGCAATCTCACTGAGAAAGCGGGACAGGCCTTGGAATTGGATACCCAAACGAATACCTGGACACTGCGCAAGACCGGTACACCAAGTCGAAAAGATCCACTCAATCATACGTACCCATACAGTTTGGGCTCTCTACTTTCGCTTGGGATGCAGCCGCTAAGCAATATGTAGCTAAGCCCTTCAACTGCTACGTATTTCCGGCCGTGGGCAGCCGAGTTTTGGGTCTGGACCGCGAGTTTACCTGCCAGGCCGGCTCGCTAGTATTTCTGCGACAGTCCAAACTGGATTTTAACAAATGGATCTCGCAAGGTGAGCTTTGACCGGTTTGGCACATCCCAGTCCCAAAGCATCCAACCTAAGCTTGCGATTCCTTAGGGATCCCGTACCTCAACCTTGATGAGGAGGAGAGAGCAATGCACAAAATCGGCATGGCTCTGAGCGGCGAAGACATCGCAATAGATGGCCAAAACCAGGATTTTGTCGATACGACCATGTGAGAAGCACAGATGCGAAATCGCAGCCTCATAATAAGCCGCGATGCTCACCGATTTATTTTGTCCAGGGACGCTATACATACATGGCTGCAAACTTCGATTGAAAAGACTGTGACGGTTTCCGCACCAACTCGATATCATAGGCGACTTGTGCATCAGGAAGTTCGGAAAAAGTATGCTCCTTTGACCTCGCCAACACCTCGCACCTCGCACTCATTCTCGTAGGTATAAGGATTCGCTAAAAACGGATGGCGTTGAAAGTTTTGTGCATATTCGGAAGCTTACAGACGAGGAGAGGAGGGAAGGAACATCTGAGAGAAGTAAAATGCTCCATGTGAGTTATCTGAGCTTTAAGATCGTGCCAATGCAAATCATGATGCCCAACTCCCGAATAGGACGAACTTGCAGAGTTGGTGGGCTTTAGGAAGGTCCTGGACCTGATATCCAAGAGTCGGAAGCCCGTTGTCGGGCACAACATGATGCTCGGTATGCTCTCTCGCGTATTCGCATCTCTATCCCGTTTGACCGCCGCTAATGGAGGAACAGACCTTCTGCACACATTTCAGTCGTTTCACAAAAACCTCCCGGAGGACGTTGCGGACTTCCGAAAGGATCTCTCGGAACTGTTTCCGATGTACGTTGGCATGTTTCAGCCTCGCATGGGGTAGAGGTGTTCAAGTCTTTGCTTTTCATGCAGAATATACGATACCAAGCACTTAGCGCATTCAAATGAGAAGCTGCAGGTAAGTTCTGACCGCCCGCTTATCACCGCGTCTTCAAATGCCGATTCCTAAATCATGTCCTTTGATAAAGCCTTTGATCATGAGATCGTCCCTGAACGATGTCCTGCAACGAACGGCGCGCGTACCGTTTGAGCATCCACACATAGGTGATTTGGTATCAAGGATCTGCAACCTCACCGCAAGGCCCTTACAATGTACTTGTAGTGCCTCACCCGGAGTACGCTTCCTACGACACCGAGGGTGAAAACCTCCATGAGGCTGGGTACGACGCATATGTCACCGGGGTGATTTTTGGCAAACTACTAGGGGTGGCCACCGACTTACAAGCTGGCGAGCGCATATCGTGGGGTCATGAGAGTATTGCAGCAGCGGCCAACAAAGTCCACATGATGCGATCGGACATGCCATACTTTGATCTTGACGGGGAGCAAGGTAAGTGTCGCCATATCTGCCTCTTCGATGGCGAATCAGATCTGACTAGTAACCTCGGCGCTATCGCCCAAACCAGAGCCAGACCGCTCGAACGTGTTCCACATATCAGGCTTCACCCAAGCAGTATCCTTTCACGATGTGCAACAAGAGTTTGAGGATCTTGGTGATATCAGTGTGAATCAGCTGACAAAGGAGAGCTGCTATATCATTGTGAAGGACCGATCCAAGGTCCCGACGGTTTTGTCTGCATACGGAAGCTCAACATCAGACGGAGAACAGGGGCGGAAGAAGAACTTCACGTACAAACTGGCAACGTACGCCGATCATATCGCTCCGAAGCTCTCGAATGGGGTGTCGAAGGTCATTGATGCTATCAAAGCACCGATTCTCCAAGACAAGGGTGCATCAAATGGAGGAAATGGCACGCCTTCCACACCACAAGATGACGAAACACCGCGGAAACGGAAACGATATGTTGACGAGTTGGTGAACGTATCTGCGGAAGCGGAAGCTAGCCCTGCAAGTACTCGGGAATCGAAGAGACGTTCTAGACGCGCAGGTACATAACTTGCAGTCGTTCGGACAATATGAATGATCTGGCATCGTGCATGCATCGGGATTTCTTCGATGCATAAGTGTTGGATGCCCCGTTCTCATCCACTTTCTGTACGCGCTAAATTTTAAGATTGAGCAGTAGCTCCATCGACGGCGTAGCTCAACCGGATGTCCACAAGACTTGGTGTCCTTACCTCCACCCCCTCACCTGTCAACCTACGGCTTGGACAATTCGCATAGCAAGTCTTGCCTTAGAGTAGTCTCTCACCTGTATATACGCCTTTGTCTGGGGGCATGTAGGTTGTGGATATTTTGGAAACATCACGCATCTAGTGGCATGATCTTTGCTTTATCGTTGCGGGCCTTCGAAGCGATTAAGGGTATCAACAATATCTGCATCGATGTGTGATGAACAACGAGGATTTCATTTTTGGACGTCAAATGCTGTCACAATCCAAAGACGACCCTGCCGGACGGACTTGTAGCCAGACTTGTAGCCAAGATGATTGGGTTGGGACATGAGGCGATGGATGATTCGGCCTCATCCACCGTGAGCGCTGAGCATGGAGCGCGCTGCCACCTATTTCCGTGCAGGACTCGATCCCGAACAAAACGTTACGCCTCGTTTGCGTTCTCAACTGCGTCTCCCCATCAAACCGACTTTCCCCTTCCGCAATGCGTCCTCTGAATCCCCTTCGCCAGTTTCAGCTCCGACCGCCCACGACAAAAATCACCCGACCTCGCCTCCCAAGCCTCCCTCGGCACACCCTCCCACACCACCGCCCCCAATCAACCTCCTCAACCATCCCCGCCCTAATCTCATCCTACCCCCACCTCCCCAGCACCTCCCCCCCGCGCCTCGCCCCACCCACCCTTCTCTCCCGCCTCACAACCCCGTACTTCCGCACGCTCGCACTCGCCCGGCTCCGCAAACTCCTCCCGCAATACACCGCCCCCGGCGCCCTCGAAACGGATATCGCGGAATCAATTACCAAGTTTTACGCCAACCTGGGGGATGCGGATGTCGCGGGTGACGAGGAGGGGTTGAGGCGGGTGATGACGCGCACACTGGCGGGGCAGTATGCGGGTGCATTCCGCAGTTTACGATCCCACGGTCTACATGTAGCATACACGCTCCCCGGCCCAACAAAACACCTGAACGTGGAGGTCACATCCGTGCACTTCACCTACGGGCCGTACCCCCCGCCCTCGACACACACGACGCAGGATTGGTCGCGCGTGCTGCGGGTCGTTGTACCGCATGCGGATGGGGTGTTTACGACACATGCGAGGCAGAAGATGGTTTTGGAGGCTGCGATGCGCGCGGGGGTGTACATCCACGTTGACGTCGGGGTTACTGATCCTGTTGTCTTTGTTGTTGTTGATGGGGCCGGGAGGGAGGTGTTGAGGGATGCGAGACAGGGGGTGGGGGTCAGGGTTGTGAGTCCGTGGTTGAGGGGTGGGGAGGAGAAGGAAGGGGGGTGGAGGTGGAGGGTGGCGGATGTGGATGGGTTGGTGGAGACGGTTGTGAAGACGGGGGATGTGGGGGAGACGGTTGATGGGAAATTTTGGGAGGGGAGGGAGGTCTGAAGGGGAGAATTTGGGCGCATGAGAGATGTGCAGGGGGGTGGTGATAGAGTAGGTAGGTAGATAGAGCGGGCAGCTCTAGAAGCAAGACCGGCGTATAAATCAGACAGCAAACCCTCCCGTTTCTCTGAGACTCCCCAATGATGATCGCATTCGGAATACCGGACCTACGCCACAATGGTACTTTATGCTCTTAAATAATGATGATGATAGGATTATGCAAGCGTGGGTGTGTCTAGAATTGGAAACTAATCCTGACGCTACGCTGCTTTACACCTCCTTCAGTGCCCACCCCCTGCCCCCCCTCTACCCAACCCTTACTCAAAAACCCCCTCAGAAATCTCATCCCTCCCTACCCCCCTCAACAACTCCCTCTTGACCTCCTTCCTCTCCTCCGTCTCCCTCCTGCGTTTATACGTCTCGCTCAACTCCTGGCGTTTCGCCCTCCGCACGGCGTTGGGGGAGATGAACGTCTGCGACTCGTACAGGGTTGAACCACCGAAGGAGCCGTCGAAGATGCGGTTGATGGCGAGGACGAAGCGGGGGCCGATTTCGATGAGGGTTAGTTCGGGGGTCGATTTCTTTTTGGGGTTGTCGGAGGGTTTTTCAATTATCTAAAGGAGGGAGGGAGAGGGGTGGAGTTAAGGGGTATGATACGATGGACCAATGGTGGCGGAACGAACAGATATTTACCTGATAATTCCTAAACCAGATCTTATCATCCGCAATGGAGAAGCTGAGCACATGGTCGATGAACGGTTTGAGTTTGCGGGACGTGCGCGGGCTGCCAAAGATGTGGGTAAACATCTCCTTCAGTAGCTGGTGGTGCGGCTGCAGGTCAAAGTTCTTGTCGAACGAAAGGATTGGGCGCGAGCCTTTGAGGGCGTTGCCGGTCATGCGGAGTTCGTCCATTGTGTGCACTGTAGGGTTTTGAGGAGGTTAGCAAAGTGATGCTAGGCTATAGTAACAGATATTTGTTAGCGGCGCAGCACCTACCATTCTGCACATGAAACTTGACACTGGGCCCATTGGGCGTCTTGCTCATCCATAGATAGCAGTCGGTGTGTTTCCGAATCTCAAAGTAGATGCAGTTGTTACAGTTGTTGAGCTCCGCAAGCTCGTTGAGGACGTGAAGCTTGTGCTTGTTGTCCAGCTTGGCGTCCTTTTTCGAGTGCGGGAGGAGCGCGTGCAGGTCTGTCAGGAGGTGGCGGTGTCTGTGTGGGGAGACGGGTGCGTAAGTCAGGGTGTCCATGGGGCTTCCAGTCGTCGAACTTTACCCGAGCGGGGTCAGTAATAACTCCTCACCTGTGGGTAATACCCCTAGAACTCAGCAAAAGCACCCTCTGCTTATTCTTCTTCGGTGGCGCCGATCTCTTCGGCCCTTCCTCCTCCTCCTCCTCCTCTTCATGATCCTCCTCCTCAATAATCTCACCATCCAACTCCTCGCCCTCACCGTCCTCATCGTCATCCTCACTCTCCTCTTCACCCTCCGCACCCTCCAAATCCTCGTCGTCGTCGTCCTCGTCCTCGTCCTCCTCATCCTCATTCGCCATTTCAGCAGCCTGCGCCCTCAACAATAACCCCTTCCGTCCCATATTGCTCAACATGGCCATAACGCCCCCACTCTCGCCTTCACCCTCCCCTTCCTCGTCGTCCTCGTCCTCCTCATCCCCGCTCTCCTCGTCATCAAAATCATCCGAGTCGTCCTCAAAGTTATCCTCCCCTCCGTCGCCGCCGTGGTCGATGGAGACGATTTCGGGACGTTTCTTGGTGACCTGTCGATGGGAGTTGTTATCTTCGTCGTCGTCCTCGTCGTGCGGCCGTTTGCTGTTGCGGCGGTGGGAGGCTGCGGCGGAGTTTGCCGAGTGTTGGATCTGGGACTGGCGTTGGGCGCGGGTTGCGCCGCCTCGTGCCATGTTGGAGGCTGGGTTGTTGGTTCGGGGGTGTAAAGGGAGTTGTCTGCGAACTAGCCCACACAATTGCCCAGTTGAGAAACTGGAAGCCAACAGCGAGCGTTGAGACTCGGAGACGAAGGAAAGCAACACGGTTCTATTTACGTAAGCGGAAGGAGGGCACGCGCGCTCACGTGATGCACTCGCCGGTTTAAGTGGCGGTTTGCGCTTCCGTCCGCCAGGGAGTTCGCAGCCAGAAGCACCTCAAGAAAATCGTTGCGGGCATCCGCAAATCAGCAACAGAAGCCGGCCGAAACCCTTACGACGTCAAGATCTTCGCCCTCGCGGCTGCAGATATTTTTCGCGGTCAGCCGACAGGAAACGACAGAGGAGGACATCCTAAAGCAACGGGCGGAAGCGCTGCGGGCCCGTGGCTTTTACCCCCGGCAACATCGCCTCGAATCTCGTTAAAAAACCCGCTAGGACACTGCGCAGAAGCAAGTCTTGGGCCGCTAGTGCAATCGGCATTCCCGAAGGAAGTGTTCAAGGTTCGTTTTCGTTTTGGAACAGGGCAGGCTCCGACAGTTCCTTTACTAACAGCCCGCTCATAGGAATGTACCGTTGTTCCGCTCCCGACCATCACGATCTACACGCTCGCATTAAGCTTTGCCCCACACCGCTGCCCGAGAACGGAAGTCATCAAATGGCAGGATCCGTGCACAACCTGCCAGCTGGGCTTCGACAATTTGAAAAAACTGTACTCGATCCAGTATTCTTGGTTCAAGTCGATGGCAATACAGAATCTTCAGCAGTTATCGGCCTAGGTGACGTTCTCGCTGCAGTCAACGGAGGACTTCGAAAGTTGGACAACAGCCTATCTGGAGTACCGAGTCACACCACTATGGAAGAATTGATTTATGTCTGGGACCTGCTTACCGGGCCTATGCACGGATTTCATCTCCTCGCCATCCTGGCAGATTACCGAGCTGTGGATCCTTGGACTAAGATCGCGACACGGAACGCATTGTTCGTCGACGCTAAACTTGGTCTATTGCAGTACGTCGTTGATGTCAATCTGGTAACCGTCGTGTCGAGCGACCTAGACCCTCAGGAAATCGAGCGCCGGTTGGAATTTGGAGAAGAACTCTCGCTGGAGTCTGGAAGAATGATTAAGGACATCTTGATAGAGAGTCCTGTCCAGAAGGTGCATACCTCGGACTTCGTCGTAGATTGGGATGACTGAGGCGCTGTTCTACAGCTGGTTTTGGGCCCGCGTTCGGCGCATCTACCAAGCCATTCGAAAAAGGAAACCGCCTACGTTCATGCAGCGCCTGCACACATGTCCACATAGTAGTCTCCTTGAGAAGAATATATAATATAAGTGAGTCTATGGAAGGAAACGGTTCCTCATGTATCTTTGTTGATCCTTGCTCCTCATCTACTATCATCTAGTCAGGCAGAGGGCCCTTCAAGAGAAGGAGAAGGCACGCATGGAAGAATGGAAGAATGGAAGCCTTACCCTCGATGGGTTAGTGGCCCTCTACGGCGGCTGCGCGGGCGTCGACCTCTCCATGCTGGACGCAGATTGAGGAGACGGTCGACGGTGCAAACGCTATCCATGACGCAAACACTTTCCCACACCGCAGACACTACCTATGATGAAAAGCGGATATCACAGTTCGTCGAGCGACTGGCAAACACAGTCGACATGCTCCGCGGCCAGAGAGATGACTTGCAAGCTGAGCTCTTTTCCGTAAAGCAAGCTCTTGTCGCAGTACCCGTGCCCAAGTCCGCGAAACCCCTGCGCCCCCCCAAGCACGATAAGGGACCTAACGGCCCTGGTTCATTGTTAACCAGATGGAAAAACATATATCTCGTTTTATTTGACTCGAAGCCACGCCCAAACGACAAGGAGTATGTGGATGAGATGGCCAATATCGGCTCCATCTTGTGGAAGTGGTACATCACAGCCACCAGAATCCCCGTCAATCTCGAGCACACACTGAATAGCACGCCGAATATTGCTGCCCTTTTCACGCCTCGACAGACAGACGACCAGAACTGCGGTACATTTGTGTGCATGATGGCTGATGCCATTGCCCGTGGTGCTGTGGGTGAAGTAACCGAATTATGGGGGGATGATCCCCAGACCGCCGTCAATGCTCGCCATAACATCGCGCTAAGCATTGTATTGGCAACGTTTCTTAACGACGGGGATGATCATCAGTATACGAATGTCATGAAGTGCAAGCTCCCCCTGTTGCGCTCAGCCGATTGGAAAGCCGTGTGGGGAAAGCCGTGACCACGTCTCCCCTTCACGCCTCATACCACCACCACCATCACAGCCACTCCTCGCGCGTTGCCTTCACCCCGACAGAAAGCATATAGTAATCGGCATGCACATCTCCTCACGCAATGGCACCTATCCGACGTACGCAATCACGGCACTCAAGCCCAAACGCATCCGCAGCATGGAAAATTATATGCGGGGGGATTACGATGCAGATTAATACGCAGCTGAGGAGGATTGGTGAGGGGATTACGATGCAGATCAATACGCCATCAAGGGATGTGTATTTGTGTATATTTGTAAGATAAATACATGGGCTCGATAATGTATATGGTACACTTCTCCCTCATTTCCAACGAATGTCCGTGTCATGTTACTGCTTTCGGCCGGATGCTTCGTCAAATGACATTCGACAGCGGGCTCAAGTCTCCTCCCACCCCAACCGCTTGCACGGCGTAATGCACTTCCATCCCCGCCACGAAGGATGCATCCGCCCAGAGATATCCTCGTGTCACGACATCGCCTATCGAGACGTTATCAAGCACACCCATCGCAAGCGGTGTCTCCGTTCCGTTGAACGACGTGGAGTTCCCTCTGAATACCGTATATGAAGCCGCCCAAGCGCTCCCTCGCCACGTCAACTGCCCGTTGGTCACAGTCAAAAGGACAGGCGCGATGGGTGCGGGGTACGGGGTGGTGGAGGGCAAATTTTGAATGGCCAGAGCGTGCCTGCGCAGATCAGCAATGACCGTGGTTTCCTCCGGCCCGATCTTGTCGGGGATGTTTGGGGGCAGGCCTGGAACGTGGTAGGACACAATCTCGTATTCGTTCGATGTGCCGTTTTTGCCTTCTGAGTGGACGTTGAGACCGCCGCCGTTCGCATGTCCCCTGTGATTGTCCACAAATGACTCAGTGTTCCTCGCAATCGGGCTCCGCACCTCTGCAAAGGCGTATCTCACCTCAAACTCCAGATCAAGCTCCCCGTGATGTTCGGGTTGTTAATATTCTCATCCATATACGTATCATACACCACCGGATCCGTCAAACCATACTCCCCAATCACATGCACCTTTCCGTGCAGACTCGCAAACGCCGCATCCTCGCGCAGTGACTTGGTATCATTCGTTCCATATAGGTGCGAATCGTAGATGTCGATGGTGGGGACGTCGATGCCCTGCCACCGCCAGGAGCCGCCAATGGTGCCGTCCATGACGAGTGACTGGGAAAGTGATTTGATGTGGGTGGAGATGTCGAGGAGCCAGTCTGCGGGGGCGGGTGGCTTTTCCCATGAGCCGAGTTCGTTGCCTGTCTGCCAGGCGAGGATTGTTGGGTCGTCTGTGGTTTGAGAATAGATCAATTCCGGCTTCATTCCCACGGCATCTGATCATTCGCGTTACCTCCGTATCTAAGGAGAGGAGGGAAAACGTTTAGATCAGCTCACTGTGCCCACTGCCTATCCGTTGTATTTGCGTTTGGGACCTTACCTAATGCCAGTGACGGTGTTCACACGGTTTAGTACATAAGTGATGGTGTCTTTGAAATCGCTTCTCAGTGTGTCGTTGGTGTAGAAGACATCGGCCTCCAATCCCCGGAACGCGGCCAGATCTCTGTACGCTCCAATGAGAAACGTGTTCTCTTCTCCTGCGGAAAGCTGTTATGATTGTCCGACTTAGCAGTGAAAACTAGAATGATATCTTCCCCCCTTAGCGCCGCAACCCAAATGCACTCACATTCTCATTGATCAGCGGCACAATCAACCTCACGCCATTCCGCCCGGCCGCGGCGATCGCATTATCCATTCCCACAAATCCAGTCTCGTTGTATACCCCAGGTCCCACAATATGGTACGGCACGCCCAAAGTGTATGTCCTCGCAACTAGTCCACCAATCCCCGCGACAGATCTCATCAAGTCGTCTTGCTCGTACGGTGGGGGGACGACCCAACGGATGCCCGGCGTATCTTCGCTGATGAGCAGGCCGGGTGTGTTGGCACTGACGAAGCGGAACTGCTGATCACCATCGTAGAGCTTGTTGCCTCGGCGGGTTATGAAGTTTTGGAAGGCGAGGCTTGGTGTTGCGGATGGAGTTGCGGATGTGGTTTCTGATGGCGTTGATGTGGGGGTTTGGGTGGGAATGGGAAGAAGGGTGGGGGAGCCGGCGATTGGTGTAAGTATGACGGCCGATGGAGTTTCTGTGAAAGATGCTGTAAGTCCCACAATTCGATCGAGAATATAAGACACGTCAAGAACGTATCAAAATGGGATCTTACCAATAGCTGGAAACAGCCGACGATGCACCCCTCCCTTTGCAGCGTATAATGGCGATGCGCTTGCAAAGTGTACCGCAAGCTGATAGATCAAGAAGGCGTTCACCACCATGGAGCGAATAGTTATAGCAGCCATCTTCAGATCTCGCACTGGGTCTCAGGATTTTTTGCGACGGCACGAGGAACAAAAAAGGCTTTCGCGCCGGCGCAAACGTTTAGAGTTTCTAGCTTTATACTCTCGGAGCAGAACATCTGACTGTCTATTATTCCCGTACGATGTATTCTGTTCCCATTCACATGTGGCTCACCCCAATCCCGTTTTTGGTGGAGAGAGAAGGCCGCGTCGGCACGCCCGTCAAACGGCGTCGGAAACGCGTCAATGCGCTTACCTAAGACGTGCTTCTAGCTTCTGTGCACTCCGCTTTCGTGGAGAGCCCCTTGCATTTCCTTCTTTCGGGAACATAGCGGCATCCGTCCCTTGGGTCCGCCACATGTCGGCGCACGCTCAGTTCAAAAGAAAGGGACTACGTGCAGGAATAGGTCAGCTCCAGCGGGTGCCCCGGGACCGTATGTACATCTCTGAATTCTTGCCCTTTGCAGTAGACGTGGTGGGCACCCCATCTACTGAACCATGTTACCGCCCTGACCTGATTTGTGATGTCGAGGTGTCGAAGCGCAATCACTGATGTTCTCCAGATCTCCAGATTTCCAGGGAGGGGGGGGGGGGGGGGAAGTTGAGAAGAGACTACTTTTAGCGGCTACCTGTACATGTATGTATGTACAGTACGTATGGTGACCGAATCGATTAGAGCCCCAACCGCCTAGCTACTATAACCGCCGCGGCCCAACAAGACGAGGTCTGCCCTGCCACCGCTGCCAACCTCGAAAATTGAGAACTCAAACCGCTGTCATAAGTCTCTCCCACAGCTCTGCGCTTGCCCGTCCCAGCCCTGCGACGCACCCCCCGGCGACCGAGGTTTCCTCCCGTCTTCCCACAGCCACTTTCCTTGGGTGGATGTCCAGCTCTCGAACACATCTACCGCTGTACACGCTGAAACTCATTCCGAGGTCAGATGGACGGCCTGCTTTCCCGGTGGCTCTTTCAGTTGCTTGTGCAACCACGATCTCGTCGATACGTGCAGGAGAGCAGCAGTCTCGCATTGGCTTTGACTCGTCATGTCTCACCCTTGGCTATCCAGGGGCAAGTATCTCAGGAGCTATGCGCTGAGGGGCTATGCGTCAATCGAACGACAGACATCGTCCTCAAGAAGCCCGCGTAGGCGATGACCCCGCCCTGATCCCCTTCAAGACAACCTCGATGCTCTTCCGCTGCGCCTTTTCGGCCGGCGTGGATTTGGCGAAGAGGGATGAGTCGCCTTTCATCCTTCAAAAAAGCAAAGGCATCAATCCATTAGTCTCTTTATCACACACGGATGAACAAGGGGAGAGTTGTGAACGGTACTTTTCGAGCAAAATAGCCAACTTGTCGAGATTGATCCGGTTATACCTCCGATCGCGTATCCCGGCGTTCAAAATATCCTCGATATTCGCCGATTTCAGCAGTTGGACCGTCTAAGCAAAAAGCAAAAAAGCATTTGGGGGTCAATCACCAAGAGGTATCTGGTAGGAATGAAAACTGGGAAGTTTTTCGCAAACCGCACCTGCCGCAACTGCGCAAACGGCTCCCCCAGCGCACCCTCCCCCACCCCCGCGATGAACTTTTCGACGAACGCGACGTCCTTCTCGAGCGTGTCGATCGCGGGGAGGGTTACGCGTTTTACGGTCGGTGCTAGGACTAGGTTCTGTTTTGCATCGTGGCCGGGGATGGAAGGAGGAGTTTCATCAGCTACGTCATCAAACATCACGCAAGATCATAACGGCGAAGACAAACATGAGAATGATGTACGTACATGTATAGAGGTCGCGAGATGCTTGAACGCCCCTTGGTACACGCCGCTGCGCATATGCGAGGGCAGGTTGACGAGGGTGGAAGTGATGATGACGTTCATGAATGTTACAAGGTCTATGATGTATGAGATGATGTGAGTATTATGTGAGGCTGTGTAGTGTCAAGATGCAGGCAAAGGAGGACGTTTACCGTCGAGATATGGGCTGTAATCCGTCGCGGGTGTCGTCGCCGCCCTAACAAACCGCAAATGGTTCAATGCCAAACGCGAAGGTTGGCACGTGAGTGGGTTGGGGTGTGAGCACGTACCAATCATACTCCGCCATCTCCAAGAAATCGTCCATCTTCATGTACAGCAGCTCGAACATGCGCTTCTCGGCGATGGAGCGGGTCTCGCGGAAGGATTGGGTTGCGTGCAGGCGGACTGTGCCTAATTTGTTGGATGTTCTGGTTGCGTTGGATGGTTAGATGGTGGGGATCTCAGAAACACACACGCAGCTCAGGTTCCTCGTATTGATATGCACTTCATACCTCATCTCCCCCAAAAGCGCCTCAAACTCCGCACAAGCCCCCTCAAACCACTCCAGATTGACCAAAATCTGCACCACCTGACTTATATTATTCACCATCATCTTCCCCATCATGCAACCCAGCAGATCCTCGCTTAAAACATGCTCCAGGCTCTTCTTCAACAAATCATCCATCTCGTTGTACTGCTGCTCAAACCCTTCGGCAAAGCGGTAGAATCCCACGACGAACGCGCGTATGGACGCGCAGCAGCGGGGGAAGCCGCGGGAGAAGGGGAGGGTTTTGGGGAAGCGGAGTTGGTTGGTCCAGTCGGCGGGGATGTGTTTGGGGGTTGTGGTGGAGGATTTGGCGGATTTGGCGGAGGTGGTTGTGAGGCTGGCGCTGCTGATGTTGCCCGCTGCATCTTGTTTGAGCTTGGAGGCGGTGGAGATGGCGTCGTATTCGGATTGGGTGTTGACGATCATGGGGGCGTATTCGTCTTCTTCGATGATCTGAGTGGTGCGAGGGGGGAGGTCCATCAGCCATAGTGACCCCAAGAATAGCTAGAGTCTGCCCGATTTTGCAACATGGCTGCCTGCCCGCTCCGCTTTCGAATCCCGCGAAGAACGCCCCTCTGATTTTACCTGCACGAGTTCATCGACGCATCTGTTCTTCATCAGCTCCGCATACCGGTCAAGCAACGACAGCATCAGGTCCATCAAACTCGTTATCGCGAATCCATACGACTACATTTCAACACGTACGGGAGTTAGCGAACCAATGTCCCTCCTCCACGATCGAAGGAACCCACCTCCATGGTCTCAATAAAATGCACGACACACCGCTTGATGGCCAGAAACAACTTCGGATCCCCACACTCATTCAGGCTCTCCGAGATGACGTCGTTCATTTTTTCCATGGCGTTGGACCAGAGGCCTTCCACCTAAACAAACGAAATCAGCCGTCAGTCCACATCGTGGATGCGGGAGTCCATGAAAGCAGGAACGTTACGCACCGCACCCCTCGACCTAAAATTCTGCGTCGAGTTCATCACGATCGCCTCCACGATAAAGAACCCGACCACGTCGTACAGGTATTGCTGGAAACTGGCCAGATCGCCTTCGTCGAATGTAAATTTCTGCTCGAGGAGGACGCTCGCTTGGATCTATATGAGTGGATTGGTATCAGGCACAATGGCTTAGAACAACAGGATATGGATTGCGAGCCCATGGTGACACCCAGATCCTGCCAGGAAAGTTCGGCACTGCATACAGAACTTACTTTCCGCTTATCCCCAAAATAAGTCCTCAGCTCCGTCCGTTTGTTCAGCACCTCGTGAATGTGCAGACACTGGTACAGCGGTCGGAAGTTGATATCGACTCCCGCGTCGATATGGTCTGCCACCAAACAATAAAATCAGTCCACGTCTCCGCAACATCCACCCTCACGACATGTTTCACCCACCTTCCTCCTCACCCCCACCCATCATCCCGGCCCCGAGAGTCGGGCTACTAGCAGCAGCGGACACCCGCCTTCCCGCCGCAATGGTGTCGGCGTTTTGATGCTGGCGGGTGCGCGCGCGTTTGGCTTGGTTTTGCTCGATGGAGCGTTTACCGATTGTGCGGGTTCGTTCTTTTATGCTGTGAATGGCCGAGGATGAGATTTGCCTGCCCTCGGAGTTTGTTCGTGTTCGCCTTCACCCAAGGCAGAGGCAGAGGAAAGCCATGGCGAGACGAGATACGTACGTGGCGAGCCACTCTTGCAGCTCCAACAGCACCAGTTCGCGGATCTTATCCTGCATAATAGGGATGAACTCCTCTGCGGACAGGGACCCCCGGAACGTCATATTAGGACAGAAAAAATTTGGATGTAGCAGAGGTAATACTCACGCATGCTCTGCGCAAACGTATACTGCATCACCGGCCGCAGATGCGTCGTCTGCAGTTCTTCCAGCATCTAAACCGGAATCATCCAACAAAGCTGGGTCGTCAACGTTCCATTCAACAAAGGAACCGCACTCATTGATCCACACGCACCTTCAAAGCCGTGTAGTACTTATGCGTCTCTACACTAGTATTCACTTTATTCGCCATGTCGAGAACAAACAGACACGACTGCAGCGACTCGACCGCGAGCTCAATGTTGAGGAGCGTTTGGCGGTTCTCGATGATCTCGCGTTTCTACGAGACCGATGTGTCAAATGGTTTTCACAAAAGTGTGAGGACGGGGTTGTTCTTACCTTGGAGACCATCTTACGACCTGAGGATTGGATCTGGTCGTTCAGGTCGAGGATCTTGTCTTTCCAGGTGGATGCGCCTTGCCGTACCTTGAGGAGCTGGTCTACCGATTGCACGAATTCCTGAAATCACGAGGGGCCATTACCATTCACGTCAGTTAAATATTCTTATTTACGTATGGGAACCATGACATGGCCTTGATCCTCGGCCTAACCTGATAATGGAACGTACACATCTTCTCAATCTCCGCCTCCTTCTTCCCAATGAACACCGCCAACTGATCCGTGAAACTCCCTTCCTTTCCCGCCTGGAATATCTGTTTGATGATATACGCGATCTGGTCAAAGTTTTCCGCCGTCCCTCCTGTGGAATCTACGCCCGTGGTGGCGGCGGGTGGGTTGGAGGCGGCAGAGGTGGTGGTGATGGCCGTCGGGGCGGTGTCGGAAATGGCGAGCTCGCGGAGGAGCTGTTGGAAGTGCGCCGCGTCTTCCATGCGGGTCGAGGCGTCGGGGGACTTTGGGGTCGTGGGGGTGCGGAGGGATGTGGGCATGATGGGCAATTTGGTGCCCGCACCGTGGGACTTGGGAAGGTTTGAGAGAGGGTATGAGTTCTCTGTGCCCCCTTATGAAGACGGGACGGATTGACCGCTGTTTATTTACGCGCTTTTCGTAAACTTCTAGAACAGTGGGTCTATGTAGGTAGTTGCTAACGACGCTGCCCGTGTTTGCTATCCACGCTGCCCGTTTGTTGTCTTAAATGGGAGTGAATGGGCAAGAAAAAGGAGCTGTGGAAAAAGCGTCGGCGGAGTTCTCTGCGGAGTTGGCTGTCCTCGCGACGCGACTGCGCAGCCTTCTCCAACACCGCGCAGTGTCATCCGTAGTACTGCATTTTCCGTAGAAGGGCGTTGTTCACAGCAATACATGTTGGGGAGTAGTTGATGGTATAAGCAATCGATTTTCGCGCACCGGGACTGCACATATGCATGCATCATGCGGGAAGAGCCGTACTATGTACTGTACTTGTCTTGACCAAAACATGACATTCCCCCATTCTCATGAAATCGATCACAAATACCACGCCCGGGTGGGAAAAGGTCAAGATTTGGACATGCACAAACAATACCCTCCAAACGGTTTCATTTCCCGACGTTTACTCACAACTCCTTCAAACGCCTACACTACAAAACCCTTCCAGTTCCCTTCCATAACCACCACCCCTAGCGTCTCCCCTCAATACGCAGGCGGAGGCGGGGGAGGCGCCTGATCAGCCGGCGGCGGCGGCGGAGGTGGAGCCCACGCCGGCGCAGGGATATGCGGAGCAGGTGGAGCCATACCGGGTGGGCCACCCATACCACCGCCACCGCCGTAGTAGTCGCCGCCGCCGTACGGGGGCATGTAGGCGCCGGGGGGAGGTTGGTTCCAGGGAGCGGGTGACATGCCGGGGGCGCCTGGGGGTCCCATGTTGGGGGCTCCGGGGGGTCCCATGCCTGATGAGAGATGAGAAGGTGATGAGAGAAGATCTGAGATGAGTGCGTGGAGACGGGAAGTAATGAGGTGGGGTGGGGAAACCTACCAGGAGGACCGTATCCCGGGGGAGCAGGAGCGATAGGGTCTTGCTGCCATGGCGGTGGTGGGCCTGATGGAGGGCCGTTGTCTCGTCGTGCCCATGGTGGAGGGGCGCCGGCTCCTCCGGTCGATGGTCCGCGGTCGCCGCCGCCGCTAGCCCATGGGGGACGTCCGCCTGGTGCTGCGGAGGGTGGGCCGGAGGGACGGCCGGGTCCATAGTGGTTCTAACAATCGTTGGGTAAAGGTTGGGTTATTGACTGACGGTTGAGAGCTGAGTGACGAAAAGTAAACATACCGAACGCGCGACAGGTCCGGCCCCGGCGGCTCCCGCACTGGAGTCCCCTAGCTCAGCCATTAGGTTGGCATACTCGCTGTCGAGTTTCTGATCACGCTGCTCCGCCTCACGCAACGCTTCGGGATCGTTGCGCTGCATACAGTCTGTCGAATGTCGTGCGAATCAGTCTCTGAAGGGCTTAGATGGGGGAAAAAGTTGCACATACCTCTGGCAGCGTGACCGACACCGTTACAAATACGGCATACCAAATTGACAGTGAAATTCTTCTGCTCAGGACATTCGAAACGACGATGACCTAAAATGAAATTGCATCAGTTTCCCAAGTGGTATGCAAACATACACTTCACGAGTGTAAAACTCACCAACTCCACCGCAGTTGGGACAAGTCTGGTTCTCATCATCACGCAGCGTTCCATTAAGTTCAGCCAAATAACGCAACTGCATCCTCTTCAATTCGTTCTGCCCCTCCGGTACACTCGCGGCCTGTCAAAATGATCAGCAATCTGTCAGGAAAATCACCCAAAGACGCAACAATAACAACGCAACAATGCTTACCGTTTCAATCACTTTTTCAATAGCCTTGATGGCAATCTTAACCTTGTCCTCCGAATCGGCGGTGACCAGACAGTGCAAGTCCTCTTCTTCGCCAGGTGCGAGCGATCCGTCCGCGCGGGCTTTTCCTTCCTTGACGGAACCTTTTCCACGAATACTGATTTTCGCTCCAGAGTCGGATTCAATGCGTTTCAGGGTTGTTCCACGCGGACCTGTACAAATACAAATACATGAGCAAAGGTGTCCAAAGTAGAAAGCTTGAAGACGGATATACCAATCAACTGCCCGATGAAGTTGATCTCCGGATAATCCCTAACGGGGATGTAGATCTTGTCCGAAGTCTTGCTGGGACGCTTGTAGTCTGTAGGAGGCTTGAAACCAGGCAGCTTCCTCAGACCCTCTTCGACGAGCTTGTGGCGCTCGTCTTCCAGTTTCTTCCTGTATCTGTATTCGCGAGTGTTGATACGCTTACCATCTGCGCCGTAGATGGGTTCAGGTGATCGCGAACTAAAACAGGGAAAGTCAGTAAGACGGATTACAGGAGATGCTGATTCGAGCATTGCATACCGGTCCTTCTCAGGCGGCACATAATCCCCATTCCGCAACTTCACCGCGATTTCCTCAAGTCTCATGTGTATGACATAGGCGTCCAGCTGCTCAGGGGCAAGTCCAGCAGGCAAAACCGTTGGCATGCCCGGGATATTGATCTTCGTCTCTTCATTTCCCCATCGAGAACGGCGTTTCCTGGCTCGACCTTCCCTGCCTATTGTATCAGTAGCCAGTATGTGGGTTTTCGTCGGAGATCACGCGGTAGGTTAGCGGTATCATTTTCGGTGAGTAGGTATTGGTGAGATTGTGAGTTTTCGGTTAATCGCGTTAGAAATATAAGAAATTTTGAGAACGTTATCAGGTTAGTACCAGTCAGAGAATCATGAGGGGTTGGTTCGCTCTGTACACTCAGACTGGTCAGTAGAGCGGCTATACTCCATATGCGTCACGTTGGTTAACAACAGAGGAGAGGCGCAGGTTTGGGGTTGATACTGATATATTGAGTGCATAGAACAGAGCAAGAGTGTCGCCAATGCTATCTCCCCATATCAACGTCTTCCCACCCCAACAAGCTGCCCCACTCCAAGGGGGAGAACAAAGTGCAACGGGTGACCAGTCGAGGGAGCAATACCGAAAACATTACCTTCTTCTTTCACATCAGCGAGATCCGACTGTGCGCTGGCGGGAGGTGGAGGAGGCACGTTGTTATATCTGCGCTCTTCACCGCCGCCATATGAGTATTCTTGTTTGATCGGTGGGGGCGGGGGAGGAGCGTGATCGTCGTAATCGTCTCGCTTTCTGCGGGTGCCCAGGGGGATATTGTTTGTTCCGGTGATTTGCTGACGGTAACCGCCGCCGCCTCCGCCGCCGTACATGCTGTGCAAGTTCTTTTCGGTGGTCGTGAAAACGAGGTTTGTGTACGCGCGCAATCTCGCAAGGACGAACAGTCAGTCTATGGAGTCGGCTGGGGAGTCTCCGGTCAAGTCGAAGGGAAGCCGATGGTGCCCTGTGCCGATGGAACATGGCCAGAAGCTTTCCCAGACGAACTTCGGATTGTGTGTCCGACGAACGAGCCGTCACGTGATCTGGAACCCCTTTAAGTCCTCAACCTGGTCCTCAACAGTGCCCACACCAATTGCAAAGGGCAGCGAGATCCTTTTCACTTGCATCGAGCCAGTGAGCATTCTGAGCACCTCCAAAGCTCAAGCTTCTCACCTGTCTCAAGTCGCTTCCGTGGGAGCAACATCCTGTCACCATTTCGAAATGCCTTCGGAAGATGCCCGCGAGATTGCAGCCCAGCAGGCAGAGCACGCACAGAGAATGAAGGAGCTGAGAGCCCAGGCTGCGAGACCCAAGCGAGCCGCTGTCACGTTGTCCTCGTCTACGCCGAAAGCCCAGTCCACCCACCGCCGCCAGCCTGCGACAGCGTTCCACGAGCATTCCGTGCCCCCTACAAACAGCGGAAGGTGGTAGAGGTGGAGGAGGTGGAGAGTTGTCGTGGGAGCAGAAGGGGTAGTCAGCCACACTCAGCAGTGGAGTTGGTCATATTGTCGTTGGACAACGAGGGGCATGTAGAGGATGAGGGGATGGTGGAGGAGGAGGAACCCACGAAGGCGAAGGGGAAGCAACCTGTCGCTGTGGTGGACAACGGTGAAGACAAGGACTATAAGCCCCCTGGTGGACAAAAGAGAGGTGTGAAGCCCGCGCAGAGAACCTCCTGCCGCCCCGTGAGTGCCCAGAATCGCCCTCGGAACAGCAGAGGACAGTTCGCCAAAGATAGATATGAATGACCTGCACGCCAACCCTCTTGTCCACGATATCGCCGGCACCATCGGGTCGTTTCATCATTCAGTGCTTGTGAAGATGCGGCAGTTCCTTGTGAGCAGTTCTCGCAGCAAGGGCCATCTGCCTGAGCTGCGTGAGCCAGGGCCATCTGCGGTAAGCCGTCGGGTTGTGGGCTGTGGCGGCTGAACCGGTGGTGGTCAAATTTGGGGCACCTCGTATTGTGAAACCAGCGGAAGTCCCGTATGAGGCCTGTTCGAAACTTTGTGCATGCATGTCTCCAGTTGTTGGTGGTGGCGGCATCTCCATCCATGATTCCATATGGGTGGTGCACCAGCAATAAGCCTCCCGCGTAATGTTCCATATCATTCACTGTTTACGTAACAAGCGATGGTCGTCGGAGCAGCGGAGCCGCCGGTTGTTCCCAGAGCACTCCCGCTGCCCACAGGACGATGCCCGGGATACGCGGCGGATGTTGTATGCAATCATTGCAATGCCGCTTTTTAAACTGCTCCCACGTGATTGTTGTTTATTATCCACACCAGACACAGTTACGGACCTGTTTACTACCACCACAACGAGCAGGGCTGTCGGTGCCACTGAGTGGAGTCTGTCTGGTAAAGGCGCTCCAGCTCTGGTGGAAGGACCATGACCATCTCGCAGTGTGCTCTTGAGATCCAATTCCAATGTTCCCTGACAAAACTGAGTAGACATGAGTCAATCACCCTCGTTGGCGGGGCCCCACATTTTCCCTTCCGCTTCCTAAATGAATGCCCTGCTCGTTCAAACCAAACCCCTTCGCAAGCGAGCGGAGAGCGACAGCGAGCATCAGATTTTTGCTACTACGTAAAGGGAGCGCTCTCGCTGAGCGAGAGTTATTATCATCTCGTTGATGGTTGATGGGTTGATGGTGGGTGGTTGATGGTTCATGGTAAGTGGTTAATGGTTGATGGTTGGCTGTCGCTCACACGGTTGATGGTTCGCTTTCGTTCACACTCGCTCTACAACTCATTGTTGGAATGTGCCGAAAGTGGAGCCTATATCCGTCCGAATGCAATGCAATGCGTGTTAGGTATGAGCGACTTTGTCCAAGTGCAGTATGCAGCAGCCAAGCAGGGATGCGACGCCACGGCGCGAGTTGCCGCTGTGACTAAATTCGTGCCCTTCCTTCCATTCCTTCCCGCTTGGCCGTTGGACGTCGGCATTGCTTTCGTTTGAGTACTCTACTGTACAGCTCAACAACTCCCATCGTCGTCTTGCTTCGTCTTCCTTCCTTCGTTGTTCGACCCTCCTAGAAGGGGGTTATCAACTGCAAACCGGACCCGCCAACAAGGAGAGGGTTCAACCGGCACGACATTCTCACTCCTCAACACCACCCGGCGAGGATGACCTCCATGCTGCATTCCATCTCAATAGGCGGCGGTGGGCGAGACAACAACCTCCCTCTCTACAAAGGCCTACCCCAAACCGCCCACCACACTCATACCCATGGCCCCGCCTCCTACCTCTCCTCCTCGACAACCTTTGACAAGCACCGTAAACTCTCCCTCCTAACCCAGGCCAAACGCTACATCCGCGCCATCTCCACCGACGAAGCCACCCGCAAAGTCTTCTTCTTTCTCCTCCTCAACATCTCCTTCACGGGCGTCGAGTTCCTCTATGGGTGGTGGACCGGCTCACTCGGTCTCACCGCCGACGCCATCCACATGCTGTTCGACTCCACCGCCATCATCTTCTCCCTCGTTGCCTCCGTCATCGCCAAATGGGACTCCAACGAGCGCTTCACGTACGGCTATGGCCGCGTGGAAACGCTGACGGGATTCGTAAACGCCCTCGCCTTGCTGTTTGCGAGCTGGAATATCATCTGGGAGGCCGTGGAGAAGCTGTTTGCCCCGCAACCGATTGAGAAGACGGGGGAGTTGTTGGTGGTTTCTGTGCTGGGATTTCTGGTGAATTTGGTGGGCATTTTTGCGTTTGATCATGGAGGGATGGGACATGATCATGGACATGGGCATGGACATGGGCATGGCGGGCATGATCATCATGACCACGACCATGGACATGGACATGGACATTCGCATGATCATTCCCATGGGCATTCTCACGGTGGACATGGGCATAGTCATCTTATGGAGGGTAGGTTTGATGATTCTGGAGTGATTTGTGTAATCAAGTCGAACGAGCCACCGAACAGGTTCTGATGTTCCCTCCTTCCGGCAGGCATGTTCCTCCACGTCCTATCCGACACCCTCGGCTCCGTCGGCGTCATCATCTCCTCCATCCTCATCCAGCTCTACGGTAAGACCTCCAATCCCCCATTCACTTCATCACCTACCACAACCCATCCGCTAATCCCTCTCTTCACAACAGGCTGGCAATGGACAGACCCCCTCTGCTCCCTCTTCATCGCCCTCCTAACCATCGCCTCCCTCTGGCCGCTCCTAAAATCCTCCACATACACCCTACTGCAGAGGGTTCCCATCGCTCTCGAACGGGAGTTACCCGAAGCCTATCGGAAGGTACTTCCCCTCCCCCAATATCAAAAATCCACGGTTTGCATACGTCCTCACTCGATTGGTTTTTTTCTTCTGGTTCAGATCGCATCCCTCGAAAAGGTAACAGGCTACTCAACCCCCCATTTCTGGGAAATCTCCCCCGGCACAAACGTCGGGACCATCAAAGTGCAGACCCGTGATGTGGCGGATGTCGAGGGGTTGCGGATGCGCATTGGCGGGATTTTGAGGGATGTTGGCGTGCGGGATGTGTTGGTGCAGATGGAGGTTGGGGTGGGGAATGTGGGGATGGGGGCGGTGGGGGGTGGAGGGGGGTTTGCTCCGTCGCATGGGCACGACCATGCGCATTCGCATGACCATGGACATGATCATTCGCATCATGATCACTCGCACGGTCACCACCACGACCACTCGCATGGCGGCCACTCCCATGATCACTCGCACCACCACGCCCCAGCACCACCACTGTCACCACCACACCAATATCCACAACACCCGCAACAGCACAACACGCATACGCACCCGCACGTGCATATTGCGCCGCCGTTTGCGTCGCGGGGGGTGAATACTGGGCATGCGCATGGGCATTCGCATTCGAGCGTCCAAGGGGCGCAATTGGGTTCGATGACGACAGGAGGGGTCGCGGGTGGGGGGTTGGTTAATGGGTATCGGGGGTGAGATCTGGAAGGGAGTTAGTTGGGTGGACCGTTCCGGCGGGGGGCGGCGATGCATAGATAGATGGGAAGGCTGGGGACTAAGATTAGCAATGGAGTTTGATGGAGAGGCATGTGCCCCCCGCAACTCTGAACTCAAGACTTAGAGTAGGCTCGTGGGATGTCATAGTACCCTACTACTAGGTCTTTCGTAGTCGTTGTCTTTTGATGGATCTTGGCCCCTCATTTTTCTTACGTAGCTTAACTTATTGCTTTTCTGATACGTTATTTTCGGGAGCCTGTGGGCCACAGAAATTTGGAAATAGAGCGGGTGTCTTTGGGCGATATCTTGTAAGCGGTGCCTGGCGCTGAATGTGAACCCTTCATCGGGGCGCGCGCGTCTATTATAGACTCTAGAGTCTTTTCTGGAGGCCCAGCCTTGTTCAGAGCCTTGTTCCACTTCCAAACGGAAGTGCCCCTCCACAAGAGCCGGTGATCCGACTGCAACAACTCCCTACCACATACCCGCCACGACGTTCCCCCACCCCCCCGGTACACATCCCGCACAATGAACCCCGCCGTAAGTACATGGCTACTCAGCGGCCGCACCATCCTGCTGACATTCGTGTTTTCGGTGATCACTTGCACTCATACACTCACTTCCCGCTCTCTCGTACTCACAGATCACAAACCTCATTGTGGTCTTTGGGCTCATGCAAGTGGTGCGTTACGTTAGGAGAACTGGAGAGGTGTGGGTGTGATGGGATGGAAGGAGGGTGGACGGTCCAGGCTCGAGCATGGTTTCGCACGGCCGAGCCCGAGCGCTGCCTGGCGCGGACAGAGGAGCGAGAGCAAGGCCGAATGCGCCGTGTCCCCAACTCGCGCGGCTCTACTTTGCCGTTCGGTGTGAGGCGGTTGGTGGGGTGGAAGGCGGGTGGACGGTCCCGCGCTCGAGCATGATTCGCACGGCCGAGCCGAAGCGCTCCCTGGCGCGCACAGGGGAGCGAGTGCAACGCCGAATGTGCCGTGTCCCAACTCGCACGGCTCTACTTCTTCGCCGGAGGAGATTCGAGTAAAGCGACATGGTTGCGCCAAAGACGTAACACGTTATTACACAGCCGACCTATCCACATCGCTTGCCCAACACCGTTGTCCCAGAGGGCCATCGTTCGTCTGTCGCCAACTATTCATCGCCTCGCTTTCGCTCCGATTCCTCCATCGGCATGGCTTACTTACCTTTTCCATGACCCGCAGGCCAACAAGTTTGAGCTCGACAAGGAGGAGAACACCCCTTACCTCCGTGCTGCCTACCTCGGCATGCAGATCATCTCCGTCATTGTTTGGGGTCTCATTTACAGCAAGGTCGTCGCCGCTAATGGTGTGTACAGAGGGTTGAGGGGCGACGGGACAGACACGAGAGTGTTTGGTTGTGCGCGGCGGTCAAAGGTTGCGGTCAAAGAAAGCTGAAAGTCGTAACCCATACACACATCTCCACTCATCCTCCGCACACATCCCCATCCTCAAACAGACCAAACACCACTAGTCTACACGGAAGCTGCGAACGCTCTAGACCCCAGCAACACAACCACAATCCGCACCACCGTCAAAGACTACGACATCAAGAAGATCATCGAGCAGCTCCGCTCGCAGGCCATCGCCGCAGCCATCCTGGGTCTCATGCACTTCAAGTTTGGATACCTCCGCCCCCTTCTCTTGCAGTCCATCCTCGGCTTCAAGGCTCTCTACTCGACTCAGCTTGTTCAGATCCATCTATTGGGCAAGCAGCCTGTTGCGGAGCTGGTTAGGCCCTGGAAGGCCGCTAACCCTTTCGGGTATGTAGGCCGGGCGTAGAGAGCGCGATGGTGTCTATCATTCGGGGGGATCCTAACACCCATACCGACTCTCTTCAAACTCTTATAGGGAAACCGTCAAGCCAACAACCGAAAAGGAAATCAAGGCCAAGGAGAAGCGGGAAGCCAAGAAGAAGGCCAACCACCAGGACTAAACCTACTTTGCGAGAAAATACTTCTGCCCAACGATCACTAATATGACATGCATGGGTGGAGACCGCCGTGTGCGTGGCAACGACTCCCCCCTTTTGCTTCACTGTATCTTTTCACACACTCACCCATAACCAGATATTTATGTATAGCATTTTTGCGAAGCGGACATTATATGCGTTTCCGGCCGGATGCCGAGAGCTCAAAAGAGAAAAAAACTATTGCGATATTGCAAGGGGAAAGGGAAGAAAGTCATGTATGTAGTTACCGATCAGTTCGTAATGCGCAGGCCACCACCCGTAACAATCCAACACGCCGGAAAGGTACAGTAAATGACACACCGTCTTCCAGCCAGATATCCTGGTTACGAGGCCGCAAGCAAGGACACGTCGTTCTGGGCGCCGCTGTTGTTACAAAAGGCGGCCGGTGACTTCTGGGGTTGGGTGCCACAGGGAGGGGGGCTCTAACCCTAGCGAGAGGATATACAGTAGATATCTGGCAGGGAAGTCCGAAGCGCGCCTGATGAGGGATGGCCGCAGCCAATCAGAATGCACCAAGTTGCCGCTTGCACCTTCGGAGGGGGGGCGGATTCACGGCTTGGCAAGTTGGCACTCGGCGCTCGCGACAAAAGGCACACCGCTCGCTCCGGAATCAGAATACTACATAAACCCAACCCCCCCCCCCCCCCCCCCCCTCGCTCTCTCCAGACTCGCACGCAATACAATACAAATCAAAACACCTCCTTCGTCGTCTTGCAACTACTACGAGCTGCTAGCACTCTTGTCCGCAAAGCAGTATCAACACCAACGCCACGCACGCCCACGGAAGGAAGTCCGGTGCTACTCCGCCGTCCACTCGCTCAACAGCCGCCTAAGCCAAACAACTACACACCATGTCGCCTCCGTTCCCAGCGTCGGCCCACATCCGTCAACACCCGACGTGGGGTCTCGGCAGCCCAACGGACACGACGTCAAATTCATCCGGCCAAAGTCCTCCGCCGTCGTCCGTCTCTCCTGCGCTTTCGCCGGCCGCGTTCTCCCTATGGGGACAGGGCGTGGCGTTCCCTGATCTGGACGACTTTACCGCATTGCTGGGATCGGCCAACGCTGCGAACGCCGCCGCAGACCCATCGGCAGCGGCGGCGACACTCGCCAACTTCCCATCCCTGACCCTCCCATTGACACCCACGGCGATTGGTCAGGACAGCCTGCTCATGCCCGCTAGGAAAGAAGTGACGAACGCGGACCTGGAAGCCCTCTTTGCTGATCTCTACGATGATGGTTCGCAAGCGGCCTTGACGACACCACCGCTGAGCGGCGGCCTGTTTTCGCAAGACTTTGTGTTCGCTGATCTTCTCGCCGCCGAAGCGGCGTTGGCGCTACCGGCTCCAGCTTCAACACCGCAGCTGCTTGATCTCCCTACTCTCTCCCTACTTTCCCCGCCGAACTCGACCATCGACGACACCCTCCTTCAACAGATATCCCCTATCTCGACCACCACAAGTTCATCGACAGATCCGTTTCTGCAGCCTCCTATCCTCCTACCCAAGTCGACCGTCAAGCAATCCGCAGATTCCTCGCGGGCAAGCCACCCTCTCTCCCCGGCATCCACAACATTGGATGAATCCTCAGGCAACGAACAACCCACAGCACACAAAGCGGCCCCGGGAAAACGACGCAAACTAACCCCCGAAGAAAAAGAACAACGAGCAAAAGACCGAGCAATCCGCAATCGCCAAGCCGCCCAAGACTCCCGCGATAAGAAACGCAAATACATGGACGACCTCGAAGCCACCAACGCCGCGCTGCAGCAACACAACGCCAACCTCGCCAAACGCCTCGAAGTCACCGAACGCAGCAACTTCACCCTCATGTCCCGCCTCGAGGACCTCGCGTCTCAGTTCGCTTCCATCTCCAAACGATTTAAACTCACCAGCTCTACCGACTACGATTCCGCCGGCGCCACCATCGCCGGTAACGGGTTCGGATCCCTTGTCCCCGGCTCCGGTCTCGGCAACAACCACACCCACATCATCACCAACCCCACCTCTTCCACTCTCCCAACCACCACATACGACTTTTCCGATACCCTCACGCTTGGCGCCCTTTCTTCATCCGACCCTGCAGTGGTCAAGAGAAAGAACAGTCGTCACCTCAGCAGTGACGACGCCAATGACAACACTGACCCCCCCCCAAGTGTTGACATCCCGCACGGATGCAAACAGTCAAGCGCGAAAACAACGGTATCGGAAACATCAATGCCGCTTTCGAAAGTCTCCTCGACTTTGTCAACGACCCCTCCCTCTCCTTCAACGGAATCGAAATCAACACCCCCGACTCCCCACTCGTCAAACGCGAACCGGGATCGGACACCGTTGATTTCGACGATTTCGTCTGTTTCGACGACGACGGCGACGAAATCGAAAACGAGCAACAACCACAACGAGAAGGAGGAGGAGGAGGAACCGACATCGGACTCGATCAGTCCGACGAAAGCGGCGGCTCGCCCCTCACCAACACCATTTCCAACGCATACCCCGACCCAGGCTCGCCAACCCTTCACATCTCACAATAAAACACCTACCACCACTCCACCACTGACAACCCTCCTAGCAATGCACCTCTTCAACTCGGTGGCCTACCTCATCACGGGTGGGTCCAAGAGTCGCTTGGCATTTCCTACGAAGTCCGTCGATGGTGACGTGAAGAATGTGAATGTGGATGTGAAGTTTACGACCCTGGGATCCGGGTGTGTCAAGGGAAACGAGGGGAGTCATCATCGCGGTGGAATCCGTCACATCACCACCACAACACCACCAACCGCCGCCGACGACCCACCCACACCATCACAGAATGGGATTGTTGTACAACACCACCCCCAACAACAACAACCGAAGTGGATGACCAGTCTAGGCCTCCTCCCCGCCCTGTCCCGCCTCGACACCACCTACGTCGCCGTCGCCCCGTGTTCGCGCCTCGAACGCTGGCCCGTCATGAGGACCGTCTGGGCACCGGCTGTGAGCGCGGTCTCGGCTGTGTGAAAAAAAAAGAAATCCCCATTGGTCGCTGTTCCCCTTTCTTTGTATATACTTTTTCCACCACCCCCCTGAGCATGCGATAGCGAGTTGGTACATAAAATCTGTTGTGAATGGGGCGTTGGAGCAATATATACCTCATTTTGCTTTTGATCGACGGAGAAAGACGAGGTGAACATGACGACCGCGGTTGTGGGCAGGCGTCCCCCCGCTATGACCGCTACACGCAGATTCCGAACACACACGCGGGGTAGCCCCCCCCCCCCCCCCCAAACAAAAAACTCATCAGCGGACGTGCTACGATCCCATCCACGGCGTTACTATACCCGTCATGACCCGTCCCCCCCCCCCCCCCACCCGCTTTTCTACACCATGCGGGCTTACGATGGGGGTGGGGGTGGTTGTATTTTCCGCATTCATTTGGTTGTTTTTTTTGCGTTCTGGGTGGGAGGAAGGGGGGCGGATGCGTGGGAGAAATGGTGCCATGTTCTGTACAGGTTTCTATGAGACATGTGTGTGGGGGGGTGTGTAGAATAGATATCAAGAGGCTGATCAAGAGGTGGGGATATGCTGATACGCGTAACAGAGGGGTAGGAGCTCACTCACGCAAAACAAACAAAAAGACAAGCTGCGGGGCGTGTGATTTACGCCTCGTCCTGTTCCTTCCACGCCATCACGTCCCTGGCTTCCTCCATCCTCACCCACGCACTGACGGCCCCGCCGTTACACGGGAAATCCGCCGAGCCGTCCTCTCCAATCACCAGCACCTCCCTGCGTCCCCCGGCCACATCCACCCACCTCTCCCCGGCCTTGGCCTCGCCGACAAACATGTGCTTGTGGCCCTCGTCCCCGGCACACAGCACGACGGCACACCCCTGCGGGTGCTTCTCGTCGCCGCGGCGCACCCACCCGATGGTGTTGGGGTGGTCAAGGTACTCGTCCTGGTCGCCGTAAGCAAAGTGGGCGCGCACCTTCATGATGTTGGTGATGGCGGGGGCGGCCAGCGGTTCGACGGGCGCCGCTCCAGAGATCCCGTAGACGTCACCGTAGAACACGCAGGGGTACCCGTCGCGCCGGAGGAGGATCAGCGCGTACGCGTGCGGCTGGAACCAGTGTGGGATCCAGGACGCGAGGGATTCGCCGGGTTGCGTGTCGTGGTTGTTCTGCGGGGCATTTTTGTGCGCAAGGAAGGGGATGAATGATGATGATGATGAGTTACCAACGAGGGGGTTGGGAGAGATGTTTTTGTGTGTGTGTGTGTGTGTGTGTGTGTGTGTGTTTTTTTGGCTACTTACGACAAAGGTCACGGCCTGCATCGGATGCGCCTGCACCAACGACCCATCAAAGATCTTGGTCATGTCGTAATCCCTGCCCTTGGCAGCAGCCTCGGCAAAGTTGAAATGCAACGGCACGTCAAACAACGACAGCTTCCAGTCGTGCACGTCGAGGTAGTCCTCCAGATCGCTCATGCTGTTCTTCCAGTACTCGGCGACGGCAAACATGTTTTGGCCGAGCGACGTGTGGGACCGGCAGTGCTCGAGGAACTCGGCCATGAATTTGGCGTCGATGTGCTTGACCGCGTCCAGACGGAAGCCCGAGAGGTTGAGCTCGTTGATGACCCATACTCCCCATTTCTTCAGCTGTTGAGGTGCGGAGGGATGGGATGTGAGACGGGTGTATAGCGATGGAGATTGTTACATCTTCCCAGTGGTTGGTCCACATACCTCCTCGGCGACTTCGGGATGCGCCGTATCGAGATCAGCTCCGAGCAGGTAGTCGTAGTTTCCGTTCTCGTTATCCACATTGTCGGACTAAATCAAAACCATGAGTCGACAGATCAGTCCATCGGAAGAGAGAATCCACTCCCGCTTAGGGGGCGAGCACTCAACCTTTCAGCCACAGCTGGCAGCCCCACAAAAACCTACCCAGTATTTCCCGTCTCCTAAAATCCGATAAATGCCCTGCCTCTTATTGGCCGCATTGTAATCCACGCCCGTGAAATGGTTAAAGTTCCACTTGAACGACGAATACTTGTCGCCTCTCCCCGGAAACTCAAACTTTGTCCACCCCTTGATCTCCTGCTGGCCCGAGATATCGTGGGTCGTGTCGTCCCTCGCCACCTCGACGGCCCGGAACGTCTCGGTCTTGTCGGCGCCGAGCTTGTGGTTGAGCACGGCGTCGGCGTACACGTGGATGCCGTTCATGACGCACGCGTTGATGGCCTTTTTGAGGGATTCTTTTGTGCCGTACTTTGTCCCCACCGTGTTTTTTTGGTCGAATTCGCCGAGGTCCCAGAGATCGTAGATGGCGTAACCGACGCAGTCTTTGCTTGCTCTGGATGAGGACGATGCGAAAGTGATGAGCGATGCATGATGTGGGATGGACGATGTGTGAACCACGACCGTTCGCTGTCGCCCACCATCGACAAACAATACCCGAGGAGGACGTTGAGTTGCCGTGGGCAGGAGTGTGGCTCGCTTCGCTCGCTAAGGCTCGCCCAAGGCGCAATCCCCGGGGCTCCGCTCGCGTCTTCTCTCTCCACTCGGATCCCCCCGTCGCATCAAACCATATGCATACCCTTTCGTCGGAGGCGGGATCCAAACCGCCGTCACACCATTCTTCTTCAACTCTGCCGCGCGTTCCTGCAGCCTATCCCAGTGTTTCTGGTCTGACGGTACATGCCACCTTCAAATCCAAAAAAAAAAAAAGGAACACCCACACATAAGTAATCGCGCACTGATGAAATATAGCGCTGAAAGTGAAAATGGGTGGGCGAAAACATACTCAAAGAACTGCATCATGGTCCCGTTGAGCGGAACGGATTCATTGTGATGTGTCTGCGTCCTGCGCAGGCTGACTGGCGGTGGGGGCAGGTTGCGGCGGGACTGTTTGAGGAGGGGCTTTGACATGTTTGGAGTGGATGGATGGGGGGGGGGGGGGGGGAGGGGGGGAGCTGAGTGGGACTGACTGAGGAGAAGCGTGGGCGGGGGCGCGAGGGTTCGTTTGCAGCCTTTTATAGTATGAGGGTTGACGAGAGGAGTAGTACTGAAGCATGTGTGAAAAACTCGAGTGCTAGATCTAAGCCTCATAGGGAAGGAGTGACATCATCCCTAGTATCTAGGACGAGACGCGCCTTCCAAGCGAGGAAGGGTCCCCACGATCTGGTCGCAAGCCCTGCGCGCGTCATGCAGAAAATTCGCCCCCATCGCTGAGCCTGCCCTCCGATAGGTACTGTACATACTCTGTACATAGTAGGTACAGCAGAAGGGTCTGGACTGCAATCGGCCTCTCTCATCTCGTCGGTCCGATGGCATCGCTTGCAATTGGTATTATCTTTGTATCTTCGTAACGCGCAGACTCCTCCGCACGGCGACGTCGTCCGTCTCACGCACGACACAAGGAACCCAGCGCGCACGGAAAGAACCCGATCTTTGCGCAAGATGCAGTCTTTTTATTTAAGGCGGTGATGAGAGAACGGTGGGCATGCTATCCAATCCATCCGTCCCTGACTTTGTTCCCACCGCAGAGAGAGTAGCACAGGCTTTCGGAAATCATTGACAGCACGGGCAGATGTGGATGGATGTGCGGGTTAACCATAGGCCGGGGAGTCTATCCACATGGAGATCCCGACTTCCGGGGCTGAACCGCCACCCCTCCACTTGCATCCAGCGGTTTCATGAATGCCTTGCGTTATTGTGAGAGGCGAGACGCCGAGACTCCGGGCCGATCGTTATCTCCGGACCAGCTGATGAGACCCTCTTTTTGGCGATCTCTTGTGAATCCGCGTTGTTACAGACGGGAACAATAGGGTTAGGGTTACGATGGCCAGATTTAGTTCAGAAGGCAGTCCTCATGAGAGGCGCGCGCGAGTCACGGCGGGCGGCGGCTATGGGAAACCTGATGGGAAACAGTCACCCATCGCGTCCGTATTTTTAGCCCGCAGATTCACAGAACGGAACAGAACGCATATCACACAGGGAGATATTTACTGTACCCTCCCATATGATATCGCCCACCCTACATATACATAGACATATACGCACACACTCACTCACAATAGACTGCTTCCTTCCCCTTTACCGACCACTCTCCTTCTAGCGTGAAGCAGCTCCGCACCCGTTTATACAGTACCTGCACTCTTGGCGTAGCGCTTCTTCACATTCCTCCAGCCGCCGCCCACAAATCTCAGCGGCTTCCCCCCATTTTCCCACCCCACCCCCACCCTCACCAACAACGGCTCCCACCACCCTCCCCAACATGCCCGTAACAGCCGCCCTCCCCGCCGCCCCCGCCTCAACCTCCACCGACTCTCACATCCGCAAAGACAGGTCAGAGGACCCCATAGCGGACGGCGACGGTAACGGTGACGACGATACTTGCACTCAGCCGAGGAAGCGGAGAGGATCGATTCTTCAGTTGGGTGGGGATCCGCATCAGAGGTTGATTGATAGGCATTGCTGTTCGTTGTTTTCCGGGAGCAAGTTTACGGGCGAACAGAAGAGTGGGAAAAATAGTTATGAGGTGGCTGTGGATATTCAGGTATGTACACGCGAACCCGAGTGAGCGAGAGCGATAGCGAATGCGAGCAACGCGAGCCCATTGTAATACCGAGCGTTAGCGAGGACGAACGAAGCCCCTGTCTTCAACCGTGAGCGAAAGCGAACAATGGTATTTTTAGGCGAGCGAAGCGAGCCCCTGTCTTCAACCGTGAGCGATAGCGAACGGTCGTTTTTATGACATCGCGCCCAACCTCCTTGTCGCGAGCGAGCGAGCAGGCTATCGTTTAGCCAAGCGCGCATCCAACCAACCGATCTCTTCAAGCAACCATGATAATCTTACTAATCAATCTTTCTCCTATCAACAGCACGTAGATCTACGCAGCTCCTTTTTATGCGGATACCTAAGCATCAAAGGCCTGACGGACGACTGGCCAGATCTGTGCACGTTCTTTGAAGGGGAGATCATTGGGCCGAAATACAGCTTTCTGACGCGGAAATGGGAGGCGGATGAGCACATTGATCGGCAGCATTGGGTACGTGGTTGCAGAACGGGATGGGTCGAGTTTCGCTCCGTAGTGGTCATTCTCATTTGATTTCCTCGCAATTAGACAAAGTTTCCCGCCTTCAAAGAATACGAGAACATCTTTAACCGCGATGGCTTCGCATACGATTTCGAAAACAGCGATTTTATCTTCATGCGTTGGAAGGTACGTGCTCACAGTACCCTCTAGTTCCGAAACATCATCTCACACAACTCCCCCCCAATATTTATCCACAGGAACTCTTCCTAGTCCCCGACTACCGCATCAAAGCGATCAGCGGCGCCTCCTTCGCCGGTTTCTACTACATCGTGTACCAGAAATCGACGGGGCAGATTACCGGATTGTATTTCCATCACAATTCGGAGTGGTTCCAGCATTTGAGTTTGGAGCACGTGCCGAGTACCGCTTTTGGGGCTTTTGAGTTTCGGTAGGGGGTGTGTGGATGTGGGAGGTGGAGGACGCGGAACGAGTGACGCGGGCAAGCTGTGAACGACCACTCCGGCGTTTTCGCCGTTCGCCGCAATCGGCCATGGTCCCGGATGGCCCCCATGACAAGGGCTCCTCCGCAAATCATGTCACATCTCCTTTCGCAAACCCTCCCGTCGACCGACACACAACCCAACCCACGCCTCCTCGCCCATACGCATGCAAGCAAGCACTTTATATTCGATGAGCGGGCTGCTGCACGACACAAAACGCATGTCCTCACTCGAGGCAGAACGCATTCCGGCAGGTGATCGTCCCACTGCACCGCACACCCGAGTATACCACACACCAGCAGCCCATACGACCCCACCATCGTACCGGCCCCCCAGCCCCCACCCACTCCAAAAAAGACTCTCCTTCTGACATACATTTTACATCGTTGCTGTTCTTCCATCATAGAGAAAAATGTCCCTGTTGTTTTTTTTGTTACACCTCCCCCACAGCCCCCAAGAGGATGTTTTTGTTACGTCTTTTTCGTTTCTTTCGTGTATTTTTTGTTTTTGATATATTGTTTTTGTTAATCCTTGATGGTGGATATGGGCCTCGTACGATGTTGTGTGTGTGGTGCTATGTGGGATGGGGGTGATCAATAGATGGGTGTGTTGCTCTTACCTCGGCGGGAGTATGCGGTGTTTGTTTTCAATTCTACATGATTGGTAGACTCTCCTCCAGTCCTTTACGCCATCGTTCCCGGAGCGACGAGGAGCAACCGGAGCTACGCTATGCCTGCTCAAAGAAACAAACCCAGAGTCATTACTCACGATGAGGACGCCCGCCGGCCTCTTCGACCGGGCAGCCGCCCCGAGACGCTTCTTGCCGAACTTGCTTCCCGTTCCAGCTTTCGTTTCCTCGTCGATTGTTCAAAAGTGATGATAGCCGCCAAGAAGGAGGAACGATCCAAGCTTTCTCCCAAGCTGGATTTCTATTGGGTGACAAACGATTCGGGTCTCGCCCCTAATATTTCTGGTGGACGACTGTCGTTGGCCTTATGCAAATCGCAGATCAGGAAATCAGCCTCGGTGGGTGACATGGCCATCGGTCTTCACAATGACAAAGTTTCGGGTTCGAAATATCTCGTATATGTCGCATGCTGGAAGGAGGTGATAAGCTACGACGAATATTACCGAAAATGTCATGACGACGCCAACCAAGGAGGACCGCTCGGGTTCAAGATACCGCTACCCGGGTCCACATCGTACCATCATTATGTGGGGATTGTGGTTATCGTGAAGGCGTTTGGGTGAATGGAGAATGTCCTCATGAGCATCAAGCAGTGGACTTGAGGGGAAAGAATGTCCTTCTGGCGGACGACTTCGTCTATTTCGGAGATAATGCTCCTAGGGTTCCGGAAGGACTGCATGGACTGATTCATACTCTTTTTGGAAGGTCTGTGGTCCGTGAGGGCGAAGTTCTGAATATCATCAAATATTCTAACGTGTGCAATATGATAGAACCCATCACGGACACCGCAACAAACATCGTTTGACAGAGTGGAAGCTGTACGAGCCCTTCTTCACTTGGTTAGCCGGCTTGAAACTGAGATCGGGAATTTACGGTGTGCCACGACATATCAGAGGCGGTGCTGGTTGCCGCCGCCGTACCAGAACCACGCAGCACCAGCAGCAACAGGTAGTGGCTTCACAGAGAAGCCAAGTGGTCATCAACATCCAGAATTCGTGCGTTCACGTTGGGCGTAATCTCGTCGTTACCTGCAATGGAATAGGAGGCATAGCGAGTGGTAGCCAGATTGTTGTGTGATATTTCCGGGGGAAGCTGCATTTCCCCAACCCACGCCATTGATAGTCAGTGAGTTTATTTTTCAACGCCCTATGCAATTTGGCAGATGTAAAAGATGTAAACTGTAAATCATGGGATATTCTATCCGGTTCCTTCGCTGTCATCCTCATGGTAGAAGAGGACGACCTTGTCGTTGAATTTCTTTAGATCGACCACTTCTTGGTACAGCTCTTTTACATCTTGTTGCATCCCTTCCAATGACTTGTCCGTCACTTTCCTACTTTCCTCAAAGGCTTCGACAGCGTCCGTTAGTTGATCTGATTGTATAGCTATACCTGCGATGCTTTTCTCGCACTTCGATAAACCCGCGGCGTTCAGTGAGGTCTCCTCGGTCAAACTCTCCAGTCTGCGTGTCACCTGTGCAAGCTTGTCGTCAATGGCACACATCCTGGTATCCAAGGCCGGGAAAGCGTGATCCAAGCGTCGATGGGCAGCTTTAGCCTCTTTCATGATGGCGGCGAAATGACGTTCGCACTTCTTATCCAGCTCGTCCACCTTTTGCGACACGTCAACGAGACCCTCGCCCTCTTCTCCCAAACGGAAGTCGCGCGCCACGACGCACGCCAAATGCGCCTCCTTCCGCATGTTCCCGGCTTCTGAGATACACCCGGCTCTTGCCTTCGGCGGACGCCTTCGCTTGAAATACCACTTGATCGTTATGCTTCATTATTAAGTGTTGCCTCTCCTGCCTTTTAACAGCCTGAAAAAAAAGTATGTCTCATGTAACAATCAAACCGAAATCCGGCCTGGCATGGCAGTATCTCTTGGTCTTGCGCTCTTGGCCATATGTGCCATCCTTCTGGTGTGGTTCGCGTGTTCAAGGAAGGTATTCGAACAGTTCTCGGTCGTCCCTCCCGAGATCACTCTACAACAGTACATCCAAGATGTGCGCGTACTGGCTTCGTACGTAGGACCTTATATCAGGGAGATATATCTCTATTTGCGAGCGAAGTACGCTGACCCCGTCCACGGAACATCCATGCCGCCGTTCTACCAACCGGCACCTCGCATCTACACCCTCTTAACCTTCCCCTCCCTCCGCTCCCTCCCCGCGCCTCTACTCAAAGCAACAATAAAAGCCACCGGCACTACCACAAACGGCGCATAAGCGCCCACAGCCATCCACCGCTGGCCGGCCTTGAACGCGTGCGCCGGGTTGAGCAAAAGGTCGGCGGTCAGCAGGAGCGAGGTGGTCGCCGAGTGGGAGAGGTACACGAGGGTCAGGGGGTGTGCGGTGTAGGTCGAGGTGCTGGAGGTGGTGGCAGACGTCGGGGTGCGCCAGGCGAGAGCTATAAAATGTATTTGCCGATGGGGGTGATTTTCATTGTGAGTTTTGGCAGGATTGGCCACACATACTCTCGTCGGTAACAAAACGTACCGTCTTTTCCCTTCATCACCGCCCAAATCAGATACGGCGCGACGACGACACATTCGGTCACCAGCACGGTCTTCACCCACCCGACCTGCTGCTCGACGGGCACCAGGAACGGGTCGCCGGACAAGTCCGACCAGAACTGCAGGGATGACGCCACGAAGGGGGGGATGAGATGCGTGTAGGCGGCGGGGAGGAGCGTCTGCAGGGAGAGGAGGAGGGTGGTGGGGAGGTGCAGGCAGTGGAATAAGTGGAGGAGGGTCGGGAGCGTGGGCATGGCGGCGATGAGGCGGGGCGGGGCGGGGCGGGGCGATGGGTAGGTGGGGAGGTGGGATCCGGATGGGAAATGGGATGGGAGGGATGGGGGTCAAGCGAAACGTCAAAACCTAACCCTAATATCCCTGTCAGCACCACCGCTCTGAGAGAGGCTTCACCCGCCGAGACCGCCGTTTCGAAAGCGACAGAACACCTAGACATAAGCGATCTACACTACATACAGTATATACGACGCTGCACACAGAACAACTCTCCAGCCACTCTCGCCGCCTCGTAAGTCCATACTCCCCAGCTTTCGTCGGTGTCCATTCGCTCACCTTCAGTCCTCTTGCCAGAACAGTGAAAATCAGAAAACGAACAGGCCGTCCCCCAACGAAGACATGTACCCTGGACAATATGGGACGAACGGGCAGCAGCCCCGTCCCTCACCCTACGGCCCTCCCCAAAATCCTCCCTACCCTCCTCCCCAACAACAGCAGCAAGCCGGCTTCCCAACCCCCTACCCACCCCAGCACCAGCAGCAGTCCTACCCGCCACCGGGACCTCCACCTCCCTACCAGCAGCAGCAACAACAGGGCTTCCCTCCAACCCAGCAACAACAATACCAACCATACCAGCCGCCGCAAAACCAATATGGGGCCCCTGCTGGACCGCCCCCGCAAACACTCGTAAACGCCGCCCCGCCGCCGAATTACCCGCCGCCACACCAACCTCCACCACATCAGCCGGCTAACTATCAGTCTGTCCCGACACATCCGCCGCCAAATCCGCCCGCGGGATGGCCACAGCAGCAGCCGCATTGGCAGGGACCGCCACAGCAGTATATGCAGCAGACCGCACGTATGTTGGGACGCCGAGCGAAGGGGACGTGGGCGAAGCGACGGGCGAAGCGAGCCTTGATATTTGATGCGAGCGATGGCGGCGAGCGAAGCGAGCCCTGGTTTGCGCACTGCACCGAGCTTAGCGAGGCGCAGGGGATGCTTGAGGACGAACGAGGTGAACTGCGAGCGGAGCGAGTACCGCGCCGCAGGCGCAAGTCAAGCGAGCGAAGCGAGCATTGAATGTGAGAGCCAACGAACGCTCACCCATATTGTGTTCTCATTTCTTCTTCTGTCAACCTTTCCAGCATACCTTTCAAACTGTTCTGGCAACAAAAAGGCGTTGCTTGTCGGCGTCAACTACTTCAATACTCGATCCGAGCTGAAAGGATGCATAAACGACGTCCGAAACATGAAAAACTTCCTCTGCACCCAGTTTGGGTTCCGCGACGACCCGCAACACATGCTCTGTCTCACCGACGACAACACCAACTGGCACCTGCAACCCGCGCGGCAGAACATCCTGCAGGCAATGCAGTGGCTGGTCTCGGGTGCGAAAGCGGGTGATTCATTGTTTTTTCATTTCAGGTGAGGGGGTCCCTACCATAACTCATATGAAAGTGGAAGGACTGTGTTGCTCCCGCAGTTCGTTGTACATGGGTCACTGACGCGTTACAACATCGGACATTTGCAGTGGACACGGGTCGCAGCAGGCAGACAAGGACGGCGATGAAAGCGACGGAACGGACGAGACGATATGTCCCGTCGACTACGACAAGGCCGGGATGATCACCGACGACGTAAGTCGGGCTGGCATCTCCTTAAAAAAAAGGACATCCAACCTCCAACATTTCCCTCTCTCACTCCCTACAGACAATGAACCAAATTCTCGTCCGCCCGCTCCCCCCCGGCGTCCGCCTCACCTGCCTCTTCGACTGCTGCCACTCCGGCTCCTCCCTCGACCTCCCCTTCACCTACCTCCCCGACGGCCGCCTCAAAACCAAAACAGCCGCAACCCGTCTCGGCGGCGCAGCCATGTCCGTCGGCAAAGGCTTCCTCAAGGGCGGCGTCCTCGGCGCCGGAATGTCCCTCTTCGCCGCCGGCAAAACCCTCACATCCTCCGGCGCCTCCCACGAGCAGTTGGTCCAACAGAAGGGAAATATGTTTGCCGATGTGGTTATGTTGTCCGGATGTAAGGATAAACAGACGAGTGCGGATGCGAGGATCGAGGGACAGGATACGGGCGCGATGACGTATGGGTTTGTCAAAGCGCTGAGCATGTACCATGCGCCGTCCTATGGGCAGCTGTTGGGCGAGATCAGGAACTTGTTGGCGGGGAAGTACACGCAGAGGCCGCAGTTGTCGAGTGGGAGGTAGGTTTTGTTTTGGGCGTTTGTGCGTGTGTAGGAATGTTACTCGGTTTCGAGGTGGGGAGGCTGACTTTCTGGTGTTTTCATTTCAGAGCAATGGATATGAACCAGATTTTTATCATGTAAATTGGACGGCCAGCCCCCCACCTGTTGGCCTCGACGAGCCGTCCCACGCACTGTACATATGCCCCCACATCCAATCAATCTCAATATAAGAGCAATCCGAATGCGGATCCCGCTTTCAAACCTACACATGCGCTGTTCTCGCTATTGAGGTGCGGTGGAAATGAGAGCTCCAAGCTAATTGGCGTTTGTTTCTCTATGGAATACGTATATACGTGTATTCATGGGGTGCAGGGGGGCCTATCTAATGCTGAGGGGGCGTTGTTGCTTTACGAGATTCCGTCGGACTGCGCAGACTCCTCCGCACTGCGACGTCGTCCGTCTCAGCCACAGACAGACAGACAGACAGACAGACAGCACAACCCCTCAGCAGCAGCGTCATCACCACTGCTACTACAGACGAGCAAGCACTGAACCATTCCTTGCCAAGAACAGACTCACGTCTAGAAGCTCAACCCCACTCCATCGCCCGAATCCAACTCAACTCAACTCATCTCACCATCTCACCATCTCCCAACCGCTTCGCACCACAACAATGCCCACCGCCCGCATCCTAACCCTCAACTTCTTCCTCCGCCCCCCCGGCATCTCCGAACCCTCCTCCAAAGGCGACTGGAAAGGCGAGCGCGCAACCCTCTTCGCCGACCTCGAGTTCGCAAACTACGACATTATCTCGTTCCAGGAGACGTTTGGCGCACTTAGCGACAGGCGTAAGAAGCTCATTGCGGCGGCGAAGGAGAAAGGGTTTATTTATCATGCGGCGGGGAAAGTGCCTAGTGTTGCGACGCTTAGGATCGATGCCGGGTTGTTGGTGTTGAGCAGGTTTCCAGTGACTGTGACGGAGGAGTGGACTTTTCAAAGAGGGACTGAAATTGGTGATTGGTTTGCTGCGAAAGGTAAGATTCCGAGCGAAGCGAGTCCCGCGCCAAAGGCGCAATACCTGCGAGCGACTGCGAGCATTCGCGGTATTCTGGGGAGCGAAGCGAGCATTCATGTTTGTTGTGGAGCGCCAGCGAGCACCAGCCGTATCTGCGAGCCACAGATTTGATCCTCGTTGATTCATCACACCTACGTTCGATCGTTTGCAGGCGTGTTGTACAGCAAGATCCAACTGCAAGCGGCATCAGAGAGTACAAAAGAGAAAACCCTTCACCTCTTCTCAACGCACTTCCAGTCCACCGACAGTCCAAAAGCTCTGATCCTCCGTCACAAGCAATACCACCAATCCAAAGCCTTCATCGACTCGACGCTAGCCAAGCACGCGCCAAAGTTCAACTCCGATACTGACACGGTGCTGTTCGTCGGTGACATGAATGTTGATGCGCGTGCGAGTGGCGATGATGGTGTTGGGCATGGGAGGGAGTATCTGACCATGAAGGAGATTTATGAAGGCGGAAGTTTGGGGGATGGCGCGAAGGGTGAGGAGAAGCCGGCGAATGCTGCGAGTGCGCCAAAGTATGAGATTGGGGATATTTGTTATGAGACGATGGGGGAGCATCCTATCACGACTTCCAGGTAGGGGAACTTTGAGGCTTATCCCCGTTGTTCCCTCGTTACCTGCTGCTAACGCTTCTCCTCCCTGAATGAAGGCTACGAGTCGGACCCAACCACGAAGCACCCGACCGCAAATGCATTGATTTCATCCTCCAATTCCGGCCCCTATCTGCCACGGCTGCTCCGACCGATGACACTACCACGACAACAACAACCCCCCCAGCAGTAAAATTCGACCGCGTACGCATCGAGAAGTTCGTGATTGACAACCAACCATTCAGCTTCTTGAGCGACCATTTTGGGGTTGCTGCTGATTTGACGTGGTAGTGAGGAAGATGAGCAGGGGGAAGTAAGGTTTCATCGTGCATGGTTTGCGAGCGGATTACCGCTCTTTCTTTCCCTTCTGCTTTTATCATTCTCCCATGCTGGGAATCCATGTACATACATACAACATCGTGTACATATTTTCATCTCGTATGTGGGTGTGTGTGAACTGCCTAGGTGCTCTAGTTGCTGTCTGCGAGCGAACGTCCATAAACTTCAAACCACGCGTGAAATCGACGTCACCTCCCGTGAGGGAACTGAGGCTTTCGGAAAAGTTGGACATTGGAGAGACATCGTCCGCTCACCCCAGATCACAAGCAAAAAAGACACAGTACATACATCACAACACGATAGCACCGCTCTACACCTTAGCAGCACCCAGCAACAAGGAATCTATCCCACACCCACCTCATCACTCCCAAAAAAGCCCCAGAAATCCTCTTCACACCACTCAAGATGATCTCCTCCCTCGACTCCTCCTCCTCACCGCAGCCATCAACAAGAGGCCCGACCCAGCCCGGCACCGTCACTGCAAACTACTACACACCGACGCTGGAGGAGAAGCGGGTTATTGATCATGCTAATGGGGGGTTTGTTTGGAATTGTGAGTTGTGGGTGAAGTTTGGGGAGAAGGGGAGTGTGCAATACTGAATTGTTTTGGAATTCTGATAGATTTGTTGGGGATCAGTGCGGGGGTTGCTGCGGGGTTTTCTATAGGTGAGCATCATATATGTGTGCAGGGGATAGCTAGCGTTGGGTTCTTGGGTGGGTGAACGGCGAAGGAACGAGCGTTGGCAGGCCTCGGGTGTTCCGCGTTCGGGCGTCAGGGAGGCCCGCGAGCAGTCGTTCTCCTTGGCGAGTAGTAACGATTTCTGGCTCGACTGCAGCTTTGAGGGGAGCGAGGATGTCGAATCCATGCACCACCCAACCTCGTGGCGATCGAAGCGAAGCAGGATATGGTGGATTTCATGGTCCCATTACATAAACACTGATCGACCTCTCCATACCCTGTCTCCAGTACGCTACCGCAAAGTACGCTGGAACTCGATGCCCGGAATCAGTCTCCTCGCCGCCACAACATTGACCGGCGAAATTGTCGGCCGCAAACTAGGTGAAGGTCAAGCACGCACAGTCCTCGCCAACGAACTGCCCTCGGACTCCCAGCTCCGTCGCCTGCTCGAGCAAAACGCTCAAGGTAAAGGGTTGAGCATCCCGTCCCGTGGCGGCGATGGCACGGGAGAGAAGCATGATTACGGCCTGGAAGGCGCCGTCATGTCGTCCGATATGTCGCCCGTTGCGGCTCCCGCATCGACATCATCGGACATGGTAGTAGACGACGACAACGGGGAGGGCATCAACACCTCATCGACCTCATGGGAAGCGATCCGCCGCCAAGGCACCGGTAGTCAATCCGCCTGGGACCGTCTACGGAATCCCTCCCGCTCCTCCCCCACCGACGCCCCCACCGACGCCCCCACCGACCCATTCCCCAGCCCCGCCCCAACAACCACCACCCCCGCACCCACATCCATCCCCCGCACCCACGCCGACCTCCTCGAAAAAGAACGCCTAGGCCACCTCCGCCGCACACCCTACGGCGACCTGGACACGCCCGCCATCCAGCCGGTCGGCGGACGCGGCATGCTCGGGCCCTATGGCGACACCGTGGCTGCCACGCCCGCGGGCATGGCGAATATACCGAGGACGAGGGAGGAGCTGGAGGAGGTGGTGGGGAGTGGACGGGTTAAGAGGAATCGGTGGGGGGATTTGGTGGCCGAGTGAGGGGGATGAGAGATGTTGTGGGGCCTTTATTGAGGGAGGCATTGTATGTATCACATCACGACGACGCTGTATATCGTTCCCCTTCCCTCCACCCTACACGTTCTACCGCTTTTTGGTACCCTCTGATTCAATGATCGCGCCGTAATGTCACCATTTACATATGATATTCGCACCGCCCAACCACATTTTCCATTCGTTCTCGTGTATCTTGTACCCTTGGGGAAAGTCCGACGGCGACTTCAGGCAGAGATTTAAACTTATCGAGCGTGGAAAGGACGGGGTGAGAGGAGAGAGGAAGGGGTAAAACAGGCCGCGCGCGAATAACAGCCTTCCGCATCGAGTAATAATAGCCTTCTGTGCGCGAATAAACAGCCTTCCACGCAAAATAACTTAGGGTTAAGGTTATGGTGGGTTCCGTAGACGAATAAACAGCCTTCCGCATCGAGTAATGGCCTTCCGTGCGAGAATAAACAGCCTTCCGCGCGAAATAACTTTCTGCAGAATTTTGACAGGAGTCAGCTTCACGCTGTCGAGATCCGTGCGGCGAATCCCGACAACCTGTGAAAACGTGCTCGGCAATGGAACGAGGGGAGAGGGGTTCGCCCGTATGCCTTGCTGTGACAGATTTCTGTGGCTCTTTTGCAGCACGTGGACGTAGGAAGGCCGTGTGGGAAGGTGTGCCCGTGTTTAGTTGTTGCTTCGCAGTTGGACGCAAAGAAACGCATTCTACACATGTTAGCGTCGTAGCGGCACTATCTGGGACCAGAGAAGGGAGGACAATAACAAAAGTGAATCCTTTGACACCCGGCACGCGTCGTTGTAGGGGCGTACACTTCCCTGGTCACCGCTGTATACACTTGCTTTATAGGGAAGTCGCTTTGAGTCGAGGTAACAATGCCATCCGACGACACTTGAGGACTGCACGTGAAGGTTCTTTTTGGGCCGCCACGATGTTGTTTTGATTTCCGATTACCTTTTGGGCGTCTTTCAAACCGTTTCTGGTGATTTCGAAGATGGAGGAGATTTCACAGAATCCTTTGGCAGCAATGGGGTTTGTGTGCAACCGTTCGGGAACGCTGCTAGATGTAGCGAATGGGAGAGTATATAAGCTGCGGATGCCGGTGTGCGGGCTCGCCGGCCTCACTGTCCTATCTTCAACACCAAACCATCGCCATCATGAGCAAAGCATCTCACCCCACAGAACCAGTCCAAAAATCCACGGAATCCACCCCAATCCTCGCCCAAACAGACCGCCCCCTCCGCATCCTCGTCGCGACGGAATACCTCCCGCCCACAGTCTCCGGCATCGCGAACCGGTTCAAGAACCTGATCAAGGGGTACAGAGATGCTGGGCACGATGTTAAGATCGCGTCGGTGAGGGGAACGTATTGCGATATTGTTGTGCCGAGTGTGCCGAATTTGTTTTATTTGGAGCAGAGGTGAGAAACGTTTGGTGTGGTTTGGAGGTGTTTGTGATGGGGTTGTGAGAGCATGATATGGGGAGGGACATGTGGACTGATCTTGTGATTGTTTTTTTTCTGATGCCAGGATGTTTCTGTGCCCGCCGCTGTCGCTGGTATGGCTGCTCATCAATCCATGGAGCACGGTGCCGTATGATATCGTGCATATCGTCTCGCCGTTGTGTCTTGCCTTCGTGCCTCTGATCCCGTTGTTCAAGATCCGAGGCGTAAAGGTACGGAAGACTTCTGAGAATACATTTATACGCCTAGTTTTAGGTCTCAGCAACGTTTTCCAGGTCTACGTCTCCTACCACGTCCTAATGGAGTACTACAAAGTAGCTTACTTCTACAACAAAACCCTCGTCCACAAGCTCCTCGGCGACTTCATCCACGTCATCTATGTCGTGCTCTACTTCATCCCCTTAGTAATCTTCGCCGATGTAGTGGGCATCCCATCGAAAGTCGCCGACAGCGTCGTGTACAAGTACGCCAAACGAATCCATTTCATGAAGAGCGGGCTGGATACGACCGTGTTTGTGCCGCGGCAAGAGGATCAAGGCAGTATGGATGATTTACTGGCGGCGAGCGCGACCACATCGGTTGCAATGGCGAAGCTGGCGATGACGGCCAAAAGGAAGGCGGAGAGTAGGAGGCAGAGTAAGGCTATGGTTGACGCGTTGCCAAAGTACGAGGAACACCCATCTGACGCTGCGGCGGAAGACGAGAAGAAGGTGGGAGATATCAACCCAACGGCCGACTCGGACGGACCCACCCTCGTCTACATCGGCCGCCTTGCCCCCGAGAAAAACGTCGAGTTCCTCATCAACGCGATGAAACACCCGCGTCTCGCCACCGCAGCCCTCGTCATCGTCGGCGACGGCCCTTCCCGTCTCCATCTGGAAGCCCTGGCCGCGACCATCGTAGGGCCCGAGCGTGTCTACTCCCACCAAACCAAACTCAAACCCACTGCCGCGCCACTCACCTCCACCGCCTCCTACAGCAGCCTCATCCAACCCACCACCATCGCCCAGGAACTCTCCTCCTACCGCATTATCTTTACCGGCATGGTCTACCGCGAACAAGAAGTCGCCAAATACTACGCCTACGCCGACATCTTCGTCTCAGCCTCGGCCTCCGAGACGTTCGGGTTCACGGTTGCGGAGTCCCTCGCGTGCGGCACGCCGACGGTGGTGGTCCGTGAAGGCGCGTTCAAGACGGTGTACAAGGTTGTTGACGAGTGGATGTTTGATCAATTTGATGCCGAGGACTATGTGGCGAAGATTTGGAGGTGTTTGGAGGATCCGGATGCGAGGAGGGTGGCGAGGAAGTTGGCGGTGAGGTGCTTTGCTGTGGATATGGCGGTCGGGGATTTGGTGGATTGTTATAGGAGGATGTTGGCGGGGGGGTGATGGCCGTGAGGGGAAATCCCAATAAATCGACTTGTGCTTCTTGACTTCATAAGGCCCGTTTTCAGATGTGTATACCGCAGCGGCTGTGTGCCCTTCTCTCTCTCGAACAGCACCACCGTTCCACTTGGAAAAAAGTAAGAGACACATGAACGCGCATTCACTACGAAATCCGGCGCACAAGTGAAAGGAGGGAGAGAGAATTAATAAAGTCATTGCATCCAAGGAGGCAGCAAGGGGTCAGAAGCCATCCACCGGCTTGAAAAACGACAGGAATCGGATTCCGTGTTGTTGCTGACAACGCGTTTGGCCCACAGATTACCGGTTGGAAAAGGCTCTCTAGGGACATTCCTCGGTTGGCACTGCATTCCATGGTTCACGGAAGAGGATGAGGACATTGTCGTGCAATCTGGAAACCTATAATGGCCAAAGCGTCCGGAACAAGTGATGTAGGCGGAGGAGCTGTTATCGGAGTCGGCTTATCTGATCAGCAGTGAAGATGTCCGACGCGTTGAAAATAGTGCGGTTTGTACGTCGAATCTCGCCTCGGTATCCCGGACAGACACGTATGATGGCCCGCTGTCTTGGGACAAATAGGAGGCTTGAATCCAAGTTGAGACAGCAGAGACTTATTCTCGTCGCACGGACATACCCGAAAAAGCTGAGTGTTGTACTATCGGCGTAACCACAACACTCAAATTTCTTCACCGTCGCTCAAGCGAGACCGTTCTGTCCATCTAATCGCACGTTCTCATTTCATTGCACTACATCGTCACCTCCCCTCATACGCCGCTACATACACTACCTAATCCTCGTAGGATCCCAACAAAACTTCACCACCCCCTCCTCCCCCACAACCCCATCCAATGCCCGCACATCCTCCCCACTCAACGCAACATCCACAGCCCCCAGATTCTCACGCATGCGTGCCAATGACGTCGATTTCGGTATCACGCCCCATGAGTGGGCCAGGGCCCACGCAAGGAGGATTTGGGCGGGTGTTGGTGAGAGTGTGTGATTGTGGGCGAGGGTGGTGAGGAGGGTGTGTACGTGGGTTATTGAGGCCGTTGATGCCGGTGTTGGGGTTTCTGGGATTGTTGTTGTTATTGTAGGTGATGTGTCAAGGGATTGTGGAGGTGGGCGAGGGATGAGGTTGCCTTCACCCAGACTAGAATAGGCTTGCACAAAGATGTCGTTGGCGGCGCAGAAGTCGAGGAGGGGGCGTTGGAAAGGGTAGATGAGTGGGTGTAGTTCAAACTGTAGCGAGATACGATGTGAGCATTGTCATTTCTGGCATGAAAGAGGTGGGTGTTCACTCGCGCACGCGGAGCACATACCTGATTCACATGCGGCAGTTCCACCTGCTCTTCCTCACCCTCCTTTACCGCCACCAACTCCGCTAAATGCCCCACCGTGAAATTACTAACACCGATAGTCTTCACGTGTCCCTCTTTGTAGAAGTGCTGCAGGGCACGCCATGATCCCTGTCGGTTCGTCGCGTTGCGTTCGTCGTGCACTTTGCGGCCTTGAGTGCCGGGCCAGTGGATTAGGAGGAGGTCTATGTCTGTTCGCGAGGGGATTAGTACGAAGGGTGAATAAAGGTTGGATCTCTGGGACGCTGGCCCACTTACATCCAATGGCAGGCCCCAATCGCTGCAGACAAGCGTGTGCGGCGGCATAGGCTTTATCATAGCCCTGATCTCTCGGTGCTGTTCACACAAGAAGACGTAAAAGTCAGCTGTTAAGTGGAATCGGAGTAGCGATATATTTCTTTTGAGTCCTCTTACCTACCGATTTTGGTAGTGATAAATAGTTCCTCCCTCGTCACTATTCCGTCCTTCAGTAACGTTTCAACGGCTCTGCCTATCGCCTCTTCATTCTTGCTGGTTGAACGCGGGTGAGTGAAAAGAAATAAGGTCATAATTGTGTCCAATCTTCAGTCAATGCGGGATATCGCGACTGCCCTCTGCCCGACCATCCCTACGTCCGTCCCTACGCCTCCTCTCCCGCTATGCATATACATACCCTGTAAACAGCTGCCGTGTCAATAAGCCTGTACCCGAGCTTGACGGCGTCCTGGACGGCACTGGTGCAGGCGGCGTCGGTGAGGCGGTAGGTGCCTAGCCCGAGGAGGGGCATTTGGATGCCGTTGCGGAGGGTTGTTGTTGGGAAGTGCATACTTCCTGTGCTTCCAGCTGTGCTGTGGGGCCGTTATGATCTTGGCTGGGATTGAAGGCAGGTCGGGAGCACGGGTCTGAGGGGGGATAGCATTATAACGGGGAACATCACGTGACTCGTCAAGTTGCCCCTCTCGCCAGCCTCTCCCTTTCCTGCTCCCTTTCCTCTCGCCCGCCTTTTGACATTCCCCGTCGCTGGCTCGTAGACGACGACGACAACGACAACGAACAGAACACTCGGAAGAGGACATATCCAAAAACCACTCCACAACCCCGAACACGATGCTCGGTCTGCAACTGGCCGTCGCCGCACGCACGGCTCAGGTGTCGTCCGCATCGCGACGTAGCTTCATGGCACTCGCAGCCCCCACATCCACATTCCTCACACCATCCCGCACTCTGCTTCGTCCTTGCACCCCCTTCTCCACAACGTCCTTATCACGAGCGACCACCACAACCCCATCTCCCTCACAACCCATCCACCGTCCCAACACTACCACCGCCTCCAACACCACCGCCGAACCCCTCTCGCAGATAACCTGGACACAATACTTTGCCTTCCGCAAATCACGCAAAAACTGGGAGCGCGCCGGCGCCATCCTCGGCGGCACGCTCGGTTTTGTTGGCGGGGGCTATTATTTCGCCGCTGTGGCGGATTTCGACCCCACGCAGCAGATTTTGGGGATCCCGGACCCGACGTATGTCTATGTGCTCGGGACAATTGCGATTGGTGCTGTGATGACGATTGCGGGAATTTCGGTCGGGAGCGCGGCTTGGAGGATGAGTAAGAGCAGGTTAGTTTGGGGACAGAGCGAGGGGAAGAGTTCGTGAGTGTAAGGGAGACGGCGATCGAGGTGGGCGAAGGAGGAGGCCAGAGGCAGCGGGGATGCGGGTGATGCGAGACAAGGAAGGCGTGTTCTTTGACAGCCTCCGGCGGTCCAGAAAAGCAAGGATATGATGGGCCCTATCTGTCGAACCTCAGGGATCCGTGGAAATATCTTGGGCAACTCAATTTTACATCTTCACTCTTCCCTAGACAAATCCTCCGCTCCCTCGACTCCCGCGACAAAGAGTTCTTCCGTCGAATCCAACGCCACCGGCCGAAAGAGATCGCAGCAGTGGTGCCCGTGCCCGGTGGACAGGGTGGCATGCCGGACTACTACGGCGAAAAGATCTTCAGCGTGAAGGATTACAAAGAGTGGCTGAGGCGGCAGAAGACGTTTACCGCGGGACGGCAGAGGAGGTTGGGCCATCAGCCCCAGCATTGGGATACCTGAGGGAGGGTGGTGGGTGAGGAGCGGAGGGATGAGGTGTATGGCTGGATGGGAGGCGATCGATGAGGATGTTTAAGGGGCGCAACCACGAGTGCATAGTATGCTGGCGGTATGCTGGTATGGTGTATATATACGAAGTGTGCATCTATCAATCCATCTGTACCAAAACCGGAATTTTTGTCAACCACCCGCTCACACCGTAGCGGCATGTTTTTGGCTACCGGCAGCCAAAGGTCCCTGCTTTGCATGCTGTAGTATTGAACGAGGAGCGCGATACCCTTCGCTTCCAAAGACAGATACTTTGGTTCTTCGGTGACATTAGTCAAGACCGTCGAGAAAACAACCCCTGGTGGGATGCACCTCGTCGTGCTTCAAGCTTGAGCTTTTGCTCTTCCAGAGGGGATAGTCAGTCGGAGTAATTTAACATCCAAAATCACGCCCTTCAGTTACTGACATCTCGCTACAGTGGCTCTAGCGACGGAGGAGGAGGAGGAGGTGCTTCATAAGGGAGGTGGTGTTCCCTGTGTGGCAGCAGAGGGAAGTTACGGTGACTCGGCCGTGCGTCGGATGTGGGCGCTGATGGCCAAACGTGGGAATTCCATCGAGTGACGGGAAGAAGCGGAATCTTCTTCCGAGAGTGCCCGATGAGAGGGAAGAAGTCTCTTATTATGAGTTCCACGCCGTTCCATTCCCACTCCCATCCTGACTCCCATCCGGCCCGTAACCCTAACTTCCTACGTATATATACTCCCTCCTCAGATCGATGGTGGATTCGAACGTCTTCTTTACTTCACAGTCGTCGCTAATCATCACAACGGGGATCGATGCAATCACCCTCCCATCAAGACAGAGCCCCTCTTGGAGACGCGTGCGGTTCCTACGTACGGGAAGAACGGGCGGCATGACGGGAGGATGACTATCACCCTCTCCGGAGAGACTCGGACTCGGGCGCTTCTCAAAAGAACAACTGAAAACCACATAAAGCCAACTGAACTACCCCCTCATCCTCTTCCCCACTTCGCACCTCATCCCGCTGCTCTCAACCGCACACACACACACACACACACAGACACACACACACACACACACACACACAAACATGTCCTCCGTCAAAGTTGGAATCAACGGCTTTGGTCGTATCGGCCGTCTCGTCTTTCGCGCTTCCATCGAGAAGGACGGTGTCGACGTGAGTTCCCCGAGTTGATCTGCACTCGGTTTCATCCGACTGGCATTCTCACTTCTCTATTTCCAACTCTCAGGTTGTTTCCATCAACGACCCCTTCTGCGATGTCGAGTACATGGTATGTAAATACGTTCGAGCCTTCTGCTTCCTGTGAACTACTGTAGATCTGAATCCGACGGACCACCCCATCTCACTCCTAATTGTCACTCCACCCCCACCCCCCGTTGTTATTCTTAGGTCTACCTCCTGAAATACGACTCCACCCACGGTCGCTTCAAGGGAACCGCTGAGGCCAAGGATGGAAAGCTTATCGTCAATGGAAAGCCAGTCAACGTTCACGCTGAACGTGACCCGGCAAACATCCCTTGGGGAAAGGATGGCGCGGAGTACATTGTCGAATCGACGGGTGTCTTTACCACAAAGGAGAAGGCTCAACTCCACATCAAGGGTGGTGCCAAGAAGGTCATTATTTCTGCTCCGTCTGCTGATGCCCCGATGTTTGTCATGGGTATGTATTACGACCAGAGCGAACGCGCACTTGGGGGACCTCAGCGAGCGTCATATCTTTTGCGAGCAAAGCGAGCACCACACTTGCGCCAAAGGTGCAAGATTTACCTCATCCACTCAGCCCAACCTCCTCGTCGCGTGCGGAGCGAGGAGGGTATCGTTGAAACATCCACCCATAAACCGACCTTCGCGTTGCTCACCCAACCATCCAACCGTCGCTTTGCTTATCCAACCTTCGCTTCCCTTCCATCGATTGGAGATTTGGCGCCGTTTCGAGACTCGGCCGCTGACCATGCTTTTTTTTATTTTCATTTCCTCTTAAATTATAGGAGTCAACGAAGACAAGTACGACCCCTCAATCCAAGTCCTCTCCAATGCCTCCTGCACGACCAACTGCCTCGCGCCCCTCGCAAAAGTCGTCCACGAAGCCTTTGGCATCAAGGAAGGTCTCATGTCCACCGTCCACTCCGTCACCGCCACCCAAAAGACCGTCGACGGTCCTTCCGGCAAGGACTGGCGCGCAGGCCGTGGCGCCTCCCAAAACATCATCCCTGCCTCGACCGGCGCCGCTAAAGCCGTCGGTAAGGTTATCCCCGAGTTGAACGGCAAGATTACCGGCATGGCGTTCCGCGTGTCTACCGCCGACGTCTCCGTGGTGGATCTGACGGTCAAGCTCGAGAAACCCGCAAGCTATGCGCAGATTGTGGAGGCGATTAAGAAGGCCGCGGATGGACCGTTGAAGGGTGTTTTGGGCTACACGGATGATGAGGTTGTGTCGTCTGACTTTATTGGAGACACGCACTCGTCGATTTTCGATATCAAGGCTGGGATTGCGTTGAATGATAGCTTTGTTAAGCTTGTGTCGTGGTATGACAATGGTAAGTGAGCGCGTGACCGAAGTGGGACCCCAGCGAGCCAAGCTAGCCGCGAGTGTCGGCGAAGGAGTCTCTCTTTCTTTTTCTTTCCCATTCGAGCGTGGTCCTCACACTCCTGTGATTGATTTTTTTTTATAGAATTCGGCTACTCCATGCGCGTCGTCGACCTCATCTCGTACATCGCCAAGAAGGACAAGTCTGCGTGAACCGACGTAGGCACCACTCATACACCGCATCTTTGATTCTGTGAAGGCATCTGTGAAGCGTATCTGTTGAATGTATATGGACTGAACACGCATTTACTACATTGTGCGAGCCGTGTTCTTGGGGGTTGTCCGAGGGGCTGCATTTTAGGTGTGGCGCGGCGTTCACGGGAGGGGTTGGTGTGGGGGATGGAGTGCGCATGTAGGATCTCGCCCAAAGCTCTTCCAGAATCACACCTACAGTAGCAGCGATCCCACTTCCCCGCCAAAGTGAAACCTTCGTTGAACAGTCTCGCATCTTTGACCGCCGACACCCCTACCAACTTCAAGCACACAGAAAGTTCATTTACGCAGTGACTGAAAGGGACGATAACTGCGCTGTCTGTGCTGAGTAATTTCCGATAATTTCGGGGCATTGAATCACAGGTTAGGTTGAAGCAAAACCTCCCGCCAACGCAGCCAGACGGAGAACCATCCGCAGGGCTAAAGTGTGTGCTGTGTTATAGTCCGCATATCTGTCCAAGTCCCTTGGGTTGCCCTCACCTCCCTTCTCTCCGACACCCCACCTCGCCCCGCCCTCTCACCTTCGCGTCCTCCACATTGACCCCTCCGGGTAATAACCTAACCCTCCTTCCCGCGTTATCTCCCCCAGTTGGAGGGGCCTCGAGTTGTTGATCCTGAGTTTACGTCTCAGCAAGCTTTTCTATCCCCAGTCAACTTCTGCACCCTCCAGCCAACTTGTTCAGATCGTTCTCAGCTTCGCGTCGCGAGCAGTGACTGTCCCCGGCCTTACCTCATCTTCACGGCCTTCCAACCTTTCAAATCGTTCTCAACTTGCACGAGCGCATTCCCCACGACTTCGTTCGTTCCGGCCGCCGAAATCAACCCAACTTGACCCAGATCCCGTTTCTTCCGATTCGTTTGAGCTACTGGCGCCGATCCCCTAAAGGGCGCGGGTTCTCCCAAGTACCAAAAAGAATGAGGGAGGGATAAAAACGCCCCCGGTTTGCCCCCAAAGTGTGTTTCCGGGCTTCGTCGTCGGTCCCACGGTGAAATGCGTATTCCCCAACTTAATTTCTTCTTCCCCCGAAACCTTTAGGGCACTGCATCAAACTTCATCCCTACTGCACATGCAGCCCATCGATGGTTGACCCATCCCGGGTATGCCGATTGAGGGGAGTTCTTTCAAACGTCCCCCGGGCCCCGGGGTTGAGAAATCTCCCCAGTCCTTCCAAATTCGACACCGCGTCCTCACGTGACTTGATTGCTGCTTTTCTTTTATCGCTTGGACTCTCCATTTCAACCTTGCTCCCCACTTCATCTCCCGACAAAAGCTCCGCGAACGACATCTTCCCACGCACAGTAAGGTAAGACAACCCGGTTCAGGATATCTCTCTGCTCGTCCGCTCATAGTACGGAGGACAACCGGGGAGAGGTTGCTGATGAGAATACTTGTAAGCCGACTCGGCGCAGTCGAATCCCCCATCCGACCGCTCTGCTCTCTCCCTCCTTTCGGAGGTCGACGACTGCGCCGGCGTGGAAGATGGAGCCCGCATTCGGCGTGGGAGGGAGAATCTCGATGATGGTGCTCTGTTTTGACTGCCACTCTGTTGAACCGGAAACGGATCGCGGGCTGTTGGAATTGAGTTGTCAGATCTGGGAGGACACCTCAAACGACCTTGTGCTGGCGAAGCGCCGAGAATGCGGTGGTAAAGGCGAGTCTGAGACCTCTTTTGGGTTCTTTACACCAAGAGTCACCTGAACGAAAAGTTCCATTGGCCCATGGCTTACCAGTTTTCCCCGTTTCGCTCGTTCTCGTAGGATGCAAGATGACGACTTTGATCAACACGCCGACGGTGCCCAATGAAACCCTCGTCGCGACATCCGCTGGACGGTCAGCACCTTCCTGATTTGGAAATGCTCCATCCAGCCGATGCAGAAGTCGGTTCTCGCCACACCCGTCAGACCACATGAGGAAACCATCGATTTTGAAGGATGAACACATACCGCCTTAGCAGACCTCGGTCGATGATCAGCTAAATCTCTAAGAAGTTCTGACAGAATCTCTGGTTTTCCTTTCGGTGTGATCGCCGACCCCCAATTCCGCCTTACGAGTTCGACCATTCTCTTCTCCAAAGGCCGCTATGCCATCCTCATCCTTTCGAGGTGGCCTGTCCTTCGACAAGTGCATGGTCGACGCGTCTCAATCTCACTCACCCACAACAACCCCCCCCCCTCTGCATCATTGTGTACAGCACGATTTTTACTCAACGTAAATTATTGCTGAAGGAAATGGTGCCACATGCAACTGCGCCCTTCGGGGCTGCAACCGGACGTATCTTCATTGAGCTGGTTCTTTTTACGAAAGATGGAAAGCGGATGGTTAACCATAGCCAGTCTTTGTTTCGCTTTCCGTCGGGAGCTGGCTGTTCGACATTTCATGATGATTTAGGATAGAAGTGTTTCAGACTCGATGGTGAGAACGAGATTTCTCAAAACCTGGCCTTTCCGTTGCTCATAGTATCCTTTCTGGGCCGTGTTCGTTTGGCTTTTATACGTGATTTGATGTGCAAAGGCATGCGGTTCATAACCCGGCCTGCCTCAAAAGTTTGAGAGCTCGTAGCAATTGCATACCATGTACTCAACTTCGCCGCCATGTATCTTCAAGAAAACCCGGGGGAGTTTCTTCGATACGTAGTTGTGCTTCGTGTGAAGTATTGCACAGAAGCCCGGATATCTGCTACCGCTCATCCATCAGCCCACGAAAGCCTAGAGCTACGGGAAGTGGGGATGAAGATATTAACACCGCCGCAAAAGAGGTTTTCTGGGGCGATGATGTTGTGTTCGTCGATCGGTGGGCCTGATATGCCAACCCTGAAGTTGATGTGGGAGTAACCTTCTTGTGCGAAAAGACTGATATGATGCAAGCGGCCTTCGTACGCTGTTACAGCGTTCTTTTACGCCATACCCGTCTGTTGTTCTCCTCAAGGCGATGACTGTGACTGACGGAGCTTCGAGCTCCGAAAAGATTTCCCAAGCGCTCTCCATGAAGGACGCACAGCACCAAAAACAGATCTCTCTTTTCAATCGTTCAGAACTTTTACGGGCTAATCATGTATATGCACAGAGTGTTTTCATGTATCGTGTACAACGCCCATTCTTTCTTCGAAATGCGTGAAACGATGGACCCCAGTGTTCTCCTTTTTTCTCTTCCATACGCCGCGATCATCAGCCCCCATAACCGCCCAGCGTTTCATTTTCGGTGTCGAGATGGGAAAACAAACACAAACCCCCAACCCCTTCACAATAGGCACGCACGCAGCCCCATCTCCCCCATACGGAACCCAGCTCAGAAATCACCCCGTTCACCCATCAACTTGTACCCATCGCCCTTAGCACACTCCTCCCTCGGCTGGCCCCAGTTTCCGGGACGGTCGGGCTTGGGGATCCTGAGCTCCATGGGTGTCTTGGAAACGATGACCGGGCGCTTGTTGTGGTAGATGAGTTCGTTCAGACTGTGTCGGCTGTGCGGGTGAAGGAACAAGAGAGGGATGGGTAGTATTTCGTGCGGGACGCGTGAGAGTGCTGGGTAATGGGTTAATGGAATAGGGAAATGGGACAAGTACTTACCCGTTCTCGAGAGCTTGGACGGTATCAGCGGTAATAATAAGTGTGTTGTCCAAGGGTTCGCATGCAATCTTCAACCCGTCCTGAGCGGCGATGTCTCTGTGGGAAAAATACGTGGGAAATATTGGTCAGGTAACCATCGATGCTTCAAACCGTCGACCAATCAAGTATCAACCACCATCAACCAGCAACAAACCATGGTTGAGGGATGGTTGAACGATACCCTGTTCGCTCCGCTCGCGACAAGGACGTTGGGCAGCGGTGGATGGGAGCGTAGTTCGCTTTCGCTCGCTAAAAGATCTGACGCTCGCCGGTGCTCGCTAAGCACCGTGATTAGGGGAAGCACTGCGCCTTCGGCGCAACGTGGCTCACTCCGCTCGCACTCACTTTGCTCGCTCGGCGTTCGCCATCCTCAAGCATTCCTAGGCCTACGCCCTCAGGCATTCTCCTCGCTTCGCTCGGCGTTCAAGCAACCTCTTCGCTATCGCTGGGCACCCGGTTCACGCACCTAAGGACCTCCTGCTTCTGATAAACATTAAAATCAAACGGCAAGTGGAGTGTATCAGTGAATCCCGGAGCAGGACTCGCGGGTGCAGCCGGGGGCGCGGCGGGTCTGGCAGCGGAGGTGGAGTTGGTAGAGGGCTGCGGTTTGGCGTCGGTGCTTGTGACCCATTTTGTTACGAAGTTGGTTGACATTGTTGCTTGCTTGCTTGATTATTTTTGGAGAGGATTTGTGCGATAAGAGTGCGTGGGAAGATGCGGTTGTGTTTTTGGACAGCTCCCCGAAGGGAAGAGGGAAAAGGGGACTGGGCGTGGAAGGCTCTCAAGCCTCGCCTCAGAGTGTCATAACGCGTCGCGCGTAATTTCGACTTGCGAGAAAGGACGTTTTTGGTCTAAGGACAGGCATCGATGCACACACACATCGCAGCACAGGCGAGACGAGCAACGTTCTCGCGGGTGCGTAGTTCTGCGCTGACGTCCCAGTGCCTACTACAAGACCAAAAAATCTGCATTGCTTCCTCATAGAGCTTTATGAAGAGATCCCGCTACCTAAATCCCGCCCAAAAAGGCGACGGGTCATACGCCATGGTTTGTTCTCCCTAACCCATACGATACTCCAGCTCCCATCCCGCCATCGCCAGTCCACGCCACGGACTCGCCCCTTCACTGTGTCTCACAAAAAACCTGAACCCTCACAACCCCAAGTAAGCGTAGGGATCTCCCTCCACACCATCCACCGCTTCCGGCTCCACAATCTTCTGCATAGCATGGTCCGCGGTATGTACATCTACTCATCGATAAGATGTGAGTGTGGGTTGACAATGATGAAAGAGGCGCTGTGGAAATCTCTCACCATTAGTAAACCCCTTCGATATACAATCATCACACAAATCGACCTGAAGTTCCGCAGGACATTGCGTGCATTTCCACCGCGTCCCAACAATCGGCTCAGCCGCACAGCGATCACACGAGTACCCATGATGTACCGGATCCGCTGCGTGTGCTGCTGGCTGATTTGCTGCCATCAGTTTTTGCAATCGAACCAGTTCCTTTAGGGTCACAGGAGGGAATGTTCAATCACGGGTTTTCGTTATTGGCGCTCTGTGTTTCACACCGCACCTTATACTCATCACTCCCTTTTAGCCGCTCGTCAACTTCCATGCCCAAGAGCGTATCGTCGCCGGCTTCGTCGTCGGAGAGTGTAATGGAGGAGTTGGTGTAGCGCGGTGTTGATGAGCTGTTTTGAGCGTCAGAGGAAGGTGGTGAGGTTTGCGAGAGTAGTGTTGGAATGAAATGATGTGCGCACTGCAGCGTACCGATTGGAATAGTATTGCCCCGAAACGCGGCCAGAGGAGCTCGTCGTTGGCGGTTTCCTGAACTACGAGTGACGATATGCGTTGTTGAGCTGACGGATTCCCCCACCCTGTCGCTCCTGCTCACACAAGACATACCGCACCAACTCCCCTCGCCCCCTTCATCCTCTCCGCCAACTTTTGCAACCGCGTCCCAATCTGTTTCGCCGTCCGACTCCCCATCGCAGCCGAGATCTTTTCCAGGCGGCGCATCGCGATGGGTTCCGAGGGGTACAGTTCGAGGAGTTCTAGGAGGCGCGTCTGTGTGAGTGGATGGGGAGTTTTAGTGAGGACTGTGATATGGGGTGAGGAGGGTGACGCGAGGGGGCGACCTACATGTTCCTCCTCGGTCCATGTCATGTTGAGCGTTTGGGAGCGGTCATCGGTGGACGTAGGTGTGTTCACTCTACCCATCGCGGCCTCCCCGTCGCCACCCACGGTCGGACCCGATACCCCAGCCATATACGCAGGATATGCCGACGCGACTGACGGAACGGGTGCCGGAGGCGAGGGTCTGTAATCAAAGTCAGCGCCCATGGAAGAGGCGGTTTCCGTGCGTGTACGGGTGCTTGTGTGGTGTGCGGGGTCGAACGAGGTTGGTGCGACTGCTGAGTGGAGATTCAGAGCGGTGGGTAAGATGCGGCGTGTTGGATTGCGTGGATGTGGGGTATGTTACCTGGGTATTGAGACCAATCGATCTCGGGGAGCGGGACGATGCGCTGTGGTTTGGGGAAGGGCGGGTGTGTCTGGGAACAGAAAGTTGGGTTAGGATGTGTGTCCACTCGCGAGGAGGATTCTGCGGTGGTCATCAAAAACAGCAAAAATAAAAAGGATTGCCGCCCGTAGGAGTCGGAGTGCCTTCTCCATCCAACCATTCTCCTTCTGACACTGCCTTAGGTGTATTCCGAGCGTCCGTGAGTGTTCCGTGGGCGGGGCAGCTCGCTTTGCTCGCAAACGCTAAGAGCTGCTGTGAGGGGAGCGTGACTCGCTGTCGCTTCCAGTGATTCACCAGCGCTCCCTGCACTCGCATTGCTCCGCTCTCACACCTCTATTCCCTCGCCCGCCATCCATCCTTCCCCTCAACTCCTCTCCTCCTCAAAACACACACCTTATCCCGCAACATCCCAACAAACGCCACCGGCTCGCTCGACGCCTTCTCCTTCATCTCCACCAACACCCTCAAATCAATTTCGGCCTGCTGGAGCTGGTTGCGGAGTACGTCCAGGGTTGTTGCAAGAAGGAGGTAGCTGCGTAAAGGCATGAGTGGGGTGAGACACGGAAGGTGAGATATGGGGGATGAGTACCGAGGGGAAGGAGGACGTACTTTTCGTCTTGAGCGAGGACGGTCTGTTCGGCTTCTGTTAGGTCTGGGGTCATGGCGGTGTTGGGGTCGGGTTGAGAAGGGGTGGAAGGGAGGCGGTGGTGCCTTTTTCAGTGTCGTTTCGGGGTACGAGAAGTTCGGGGACTTGGACAGTTGAGAGACAGCTGCGAGGGGGTTCGGGCGGACCGATAGGAGTGGTGCTTGTTGCTAGCTAGCTACTGTGCGTGCGTGTTTACTGTATGGTACCTGCACCCTCCTCCCGACTCTAATGTTCCCTAATCTTCAAGCGTCTCTGCCAACGGCCATCACGAGTGGAATGACGTTCCACCGACGCACACCTCTCCAAGCGGGCGAAGTCGTATGGAAGAGTAGCCCAGGCAGTCTGTTGATATAAGAGACGGGTGCGGCTGGACATGCGCTTAATGGTGGGCCAATGTCTGCAGTGCGAGGAAAGTGGGGATGTCTTGTTTTGCATACGACGCGTTCCTCAAACGCGTTTTGCCATCTTCCATGTTCTCTTACGCGAGATTCAAGACTCGGAAACTTGGACCCTTTACATGAACAGGCAAGCGTCCGGAGGAGCAAGCCTCTCATGGGGATCCCGGCCTGTTTCTGAGCCATGGCCTGCCTGCTTTCGCGCGTCTGCTGCACAACGAGCCGTGGGAATCGAGTTCAGCCGTATGGGAGTCGGACGTTGCATTGAAGCGATGAGTTGAGCTCTGCCATATTTTCCCCCATACACTTGTCACCTGCACCGGTCTGGCCAACAAATCACTCATCGCGCCCCGAATTCTTCTCTTCCCTTCTCGCCACACACGCCTGAGCATTTAAACAGTCGGTACTGATTGAACTTGTATCAATGCGACTTGTGCAAAAAATACCGTGCGTCCATTCATCTCAAATTTCCGGAATGTTATATATACACACACCACACGCACTTACAAACTCTAGTCACACCCCCCATCTCCATCTCCCCCTCCACCCCCAGCAGCAGCCTCCATCTCCGCCGCCGCATCCGCCGCATACCCCGAAAAGTTGAAATACTCGCTCGCAGACGTCGACGTATGCGACAGCGTCGGCGGCAGTCTCGCGGGTGGTCCCAAACCCGCTTTCGCGCTCTGTTGTGATGATGAAGCGCTGGGAAGTGCGCGCAGTGCGAGGGCGGTGGTTGTGCCTGCGGGTTGTGGTGTTGAAGATCTATTATCTTCGGTTTGGGAGATCTCAAAGGCGAGGGTGGGGACGAGGAAGCCGAGGGACGAGGGGGTGGCCATTAGAGGGGGGAGTTGGAGTTGGTCGTAAGCGGGTTCTTCTAGGAGGATGTTGGTTGATGTGGGCGGTGGTGGTGGGGCTCGTGATGCGGAGGAAGGGATGATGTGGCGGGGTATAAGTTCCGGTGTTGTTTCGCCATCATTCTCTTGTTCTTCCTCCTCTGCTTGTTGTTGTTGTGCTTCATGCCCTGCTTCGTCATTCTCATCGTCTTCGTCTTCATCGAGGTGAGCGCTGTCGGCTAGGATTGTATCCAGTGGGGGTATAGTAGGGCTCTCTACGCGTTCATCAGCGTAGATGACGTGCCCCGGGATCGTGTAAGTCGTGCTTCCCTCCAGATCCAGTCCGCGCCGCCCAGACGCTGGTCTCCTCCCCGCATTGCTACTCCTCCTCCCCCCATTCTCGCTCCCATTCCCCTCATCCTGCGACCCGCCCTGCGACAATCCGATCAAGGCATGCACAGCATCGACCACGCCAGCATGGTCGATCGGGTCGATGGGTTTCTTGGGTAAAGATGTGACGACGTGTTCGGGCCCGACGACTTTGTAGTTCCCGACGACTTTGTAGGGCGTGCGTTGCCATTTGCCGATCCCGCTCCACGTTCCATCGCCGGTTTTCTTGGCGGTTTGCCGGCGGTTTTGAAACCATATTTGGACGCTCTGTGTAGTAATATAACGGTGAGTAGATCTGTGCGCGCGAGAGTACGCAATCCTTTGACACATCAACATCAACAACCCTCAGCCGCCCAGCCTTCATCCATCAACCATCAACCCATCAACCATCAACCCATCAACCATCACAAACGATACCCTGCTCGCTCCACTCGCGACGAGGATGTTGGGTTGCAGTGGGCGGAGCGGAGTGAAGCTCGTCGCTCTGCGGCTCTCGCTAAGAGCCGTGATTAGGGGAAGCATTGCGCCTTTAGCGCAATGTGGGCTAGCTCCGCTCGCGTTCGCTGTCGCTCGCGAAAGCGTTTGCGATGGTCGCGCTCGCTCTCGCTCATGCTCCCATCGCAAACCAGAAGGCGTTCGCTCGAGCCCGACCTATCGGTCTCCCAGACCGAACCAGCCCTGCACCTCGCTTCGCTCGTTGCAGTACAACACCCAGGCTCGCTTCGCTCTCGAACCTCAAGCATTTCTTCGCCTCCAGCGCATTTGGGCTCGCTATCGCTCGCTTTCTCCTCGCTTCCCTTCGCTCGGAAACCCACCTTAGCAGGCATCCCCAGCGTCTTAGCCAACTTCCCCCTCTCTGCCGGCGGCATCTGCGGGTCCAGCCTGTACGCAGCCTCTAACGCGGCATGCTCCTCATCGCTCGTCCGCCGTCGTTTCCGCCTGTTTCCAAAATTTTCTTCCGTGTTTGGACTCGCGGCTTCCGTCTCGCCGGCGTTCGGGGTGGGTTGGGGATTGTACATCTGGGGAAGGGATATATGGGGGAAGATGGTGGTGGCTGGTGGTGGGAATATGAGAGGGAAAGGTTCTGAACGTTTTTGTTGTGTATACAGTGGCTGCAGGCCGGTGGCAAGCTGGTTACGGTATGGTTGGGTTGGAAGGGGTCTTGTTGATCAGAGGGGGCGAGTGTGCAATTCCGTACCACATATACTGCAGGACGTGGGGGAGAAGTCGACTGTGGCGCTTCTGCTGCTGCACACGGCTGCGCGGTAGCGCCTATATGAGAGAATTGGGGGGCCCTGGAACGGAAAGGCTCTCAGAGGACGCACGGAGCGGAGGAGGCGAGAGACGAGAGGGAAGGAGCGAGAGAAGGGTCTCTGACGGGAAGGCATTCGTAACACGGTAGGAAGCAGGTAGTTAACACCCGACGCGACGTGCGTTGGCAACTTGGCCAGGTGAGAAGTGGGTTAGAAGCTAGGCCTTCATCAAAGTTCACACGCGTTGGTTTCTATAGTCCAGCAAGCCCTGGGAAAATATCCACTCCCCAAACGTCACTCATCCCCATACCAAGTCCGCCCAATATGGACTCCGACATCGCCCGTAAGGTAAGAGAGCAGCTTTCCGTCTTCCTCGGCGCTGCGGGCGCTTCGCTCAGTGATTCTCATCCCGCAAATTTCTCCTGGAACCAGCGGTGGGAGATGGAAAACGAGATCAAGACGGACGACTCGATACAGGATGCCATATTTCGTTATGATAAGGAGGCGCAGAAGGTTCAGACTGATGGGGCGCCTTGGGCGAAGAAGTATGTGTTAAGCGGGGAAGGGAGGGGGTGTGGGAGTGGGAGGGGATGGAACGGATTGGAGGGGATTAACGGAGATGGTGGAGGGTAAGGGTGGGTAGGTTGACACGGTTGTGATAGGAGGAGCATTCATTAGTCACCGGCGAGGAGTAGCGGTACTGCAGTGCTTCAGTGAACCGAAGAGCGCGGGTGGTTTCGTCTCGGGAGGATTCGGCACCGAGGAGGGAGCACAGTCGGCTGGCGAGTGGCGCTTTGGTTGTTGGGAAAGCAACGGGCTTGTTTGTCGGGGGAAAGATTCTTTTACGTCTGGCTGGCACTGACACTCCTTGGATCACTTCCAGCCCAAATCATTTTAAGAAAGTCAAGATATCAGCTATCGCTCTGATCAAGATGGTAAGGGATATCGTGCCAGGAAACGTACTATTTCGCCCGAAAGTGTAGTAGCTGAACACTTTCGCTCTTCTCCTACTTACTAGGTAACCCACGCCCGCTCCGGCGGCAACATCGAAATTATGGGTCTCATGCAAGGCAAAGTCCTCGACGACACAATGATCATCATGGACGTATTCGCACTACCCGTAGAAGGGACTGAAACTCGCGTCAACGCCGCTGCTGAAGGGTACGAGTACATGGTGGACTACATCGACAAGAGCAAAGACGTCGGACGGATGGAGAACGCTATTGGGTGGTATCATAGCCACCCTGGTTATGGATGCTGGTTGTCGGGGATTGATGTCAGTACGCAGATGTTGAATCAGAGGTATCAGGAACCGTGGGTTGCTATTGTGGTATGTTAATGGTTGTTGTGGATCGGAGACCTTTTGCATCGTGTACTCATTGCAACTGCATAGATTGACCCGAACAGAACCATTTCTGCTGGAAAGGTTGAGATTGGCGCCTTCCGAACGTACCCCGAGGTATGTTGTATCTATGCCTCGCATTCACGGTTTACCCTGACTAACCCGGGTGCAATACTACTAGGGTCACAAAGGCGCCGAAGACTCCCCCTCAGAATACCAATCCATCCCCCTTAACAAAATCGAAGATTTCGGCGTCCACGCCAAACAGTACTACCAACTCGAAATCTCCTACTTCAAATCCTCCCTTGACTCCAGCCTCCTCGAGATGCTCTGGCACAAGTACTGGGTCAACACCCTCTCCTCCAGCCCGCTGATCATGAACCGCGAGTATACCGCGCGACGAGTATTGGATTTGGCGGAGAAGATCGATCAGGCGGAGGCAGCTGTGGGGCAGAGCAGTCGGATAGGGCAGTTTATGGAGAGAAAGAGGGGGGAGCAGTCCGCGGTAGCGAAGGTTGCGAAGGATAGGTAAGTGATTGGATGTCGCAAACAGGTGTTTTTGATTGGTGCTCTCTGGATGGTCGCTGATCTCCGCGCTTATCACTCCAGCTCGAATATCACGGTGGAGGCGGCACACGGCATGATGGCTCAGCTCATGAAAGATATCCTTTTCAACCATGCCTGCCACGCAACTTGATTATATCAACATCAACAGCTTGTGTTTTATCGGCGCAAGCAAACTGTGTTTTGGCGCATTGTACATAGCTTCATCTCCGCGTAACGCTTCATATTCGTTGCATGTGAATATACACGAGCTGAATCCTACCGAGGCATAACTGACCCGAGTTCGATCGCGAAAAATGGGGTGGTTGGCAATGGAAAACGGGGTACATTGAAATCGCAGCTGTCACGTGATCAAGGACAGAACATGACGCGCTATGTGAGACTTCCAGGCGGCGAACAGGTCCCGATCGAACGTTCCAACCCCAACTCATCGATTGTTCCAGACCGCTCCTGAGTTCATTTCATCAACTGTTGATTATCGTTACCGCCCAACAGGTGCTGAAACAACGGAACCATTGCTATAACGTATTGCGGGATGTGGAATGCGGGAAGGAAAGAATAAGCCACTGTGGCGGGCGGCGGGCGAGTCTGGGGGCGAGTCGGCGAAAACGGCGCCTATAAAAACGCGGCTACGCAAAATTCCCTCATCGACCCCACTTCACTCGCACTTTTCCCAACTAACATCGTCGCACGCACCTACCACAGGCATCCCACCCAACTTTCATACCAAAAACAAGCCATCTCTCAGCCATGCACATGCCCAGCTTCCTCTCCGTGTCCGCGCTCGCCGCCACGCTGCTTGCCGCCCCCGCGGCAGCCCACTTCTCGCTCACAAGCCCCGCCGGTCGTGGTTTCACTGAGGACTTGGAGCCTATCGGCCCTTGTGGAGGATTCAACACCACGCAAGCTACGAGGTCGTCCTTCCCTCTGAGTAAGTGAACGTAAAGCGATTCTGTCATGTTAGGCAGCTATCTGCCCACAAGCCGATGCACGAGACACTTGCTAATCGAATCCCGTCATGTTTTCTTCTCACCCAGCCGGCGGAAATGTCACCATGATGATCTTGGACGGCGACGGCACTGGCTACGTGAACGTCAACATTGGCTTGGGCGACAACCCTACCAACTTCACCCTCGTGTCCACCTACCCAAAAGCCAAGGTCGGCTCCGTCTCCTTCCCTGTCGATCTGTCCAAGTACACGACGGATGGAAAGGCCGTTACTCTCCAACTGGTGTACCACAGTGACGAGATCTTCTTCCAGGTGATGCGTCTTTTACCGCATTCAAAATGTGTCCTTCATGGGCAAACCGTGCTGATTTCTGTTTCCCATCATTACAGTGCGCCGACCTTACCGTGGGAGGCTCCGCCACATCCGTCCCATCCATGACCATGGCACCCGGCAGCATGACCATGTCGATGCCTGGAATGACCATGTCGATGCCCGGCATGTCCATGCCAACCGGAACCGCAACGGGTGCCGCCGCCGCAACGGGAAGCTCGACGCCCGCCGCTGGCTCCACCTCCGGGGCGCCTCGTATGTTGGCCGCCGGTTCCGTAGCCGTGGTTGCTGCCTTGGCTGCTGGTGTACTTGCCTTGTAGATACTGAACATAGGGCGTACATGTATATAATCTGACACTGGCGTATCCTCATGAAGGAAATACATATCTGTGGCCTGACATTGTTTCATCGTTTATTGTATGACTATCATGGCGTATATCGTACAAGAAAGTGAGAAGGGCAACTCATCCATTCAAAATCCGCTAATAGGCGGGGGTATCTCCGGCCCAGCAGTCTGCCGCAACAACGCCAAGCTCGCCTCATGCTCCTCCAACTGTTTGTTCAACATCTGATGTTGATTTTCCCACTTGTACACCTCCCAGTTCGCCATCGTGAGTTCGAAATCGACGCGGCGGGAATCTGTTCGCAGCTTTTCGGCTTCCGTGCGTAGTCTCTTCAGTTCTTCTGAACGTTTTTCAACCTAGGGTGTGTGTGAAAAGACATTGTCAGGACACGCCTAATAGAAGTCCATAATGCGGGGAAATCATATGACGTACATCTCTATCCAATTGGGAGTACCACGCTATCCTGAGCGGCTCCTGCAGGCGATTCGGATCAATGATCTTCCGCGGCGGCCGATTTTCTGGATGTTTGGGTGGGTATGGTCGACCATGTGCGCCGGGGTGGCCTGGGTGGCCCGATGCATAGCGCTCATACGGTGACCTTCCGAACTGCGGATGCGATTGTGGAGAAGGCTGCGGATGTCTGTGATGCGGATAAGGCTGATGAAGTTGTGTTGGATGTGGGGGCGATGCTCGCCGTGGGTATGGATATAGTTCCGCTGCTGGCGGCGGTCGGGTAGCTGAATAAGGCGTCTCGACACCACGGGGTGGATATGGATCTCGATGAGGTGTGTATTCTGCCCGGACAGGAGTTTCCCGCGGGGCTGAAGGATGCGGGTATGCAGCGGCTTCGCGCGGTAGAGGCGTGTGGGGTGGGTATTGTGGTGCTGGACGATGTTCTCTCAGCGGAGGCTGCGTTGGCGTTTCCGGTGGGGGTACGCCCCTATACGACGATGGTTCGCGGTGTGCCGCAGAAGGTCGCAGCTCAGAATAGGAGTGGTGTGGCAGAGCAACCCTCCGTATCGGAACCTCAGACCGCTCCCTCCGCTCCGTCCACGGCTCTCCCCGCTCCGGCGGCCTTCTTTCTCTCTCATAAGGGTATCCCGGTCGTTCCTCGGCTCGATGCGGCGGTGGTGACCGCGAGCGACGGTAGTGTGATCTCGGCCCCGTCGAAGCTATTCTCGGGTCCTCTTCACCTCTGTACGACGGGCCCGGCGGTGGACCACGTGCGGGATATGGGCGGTAGCGTCGGTCGTCTCTGTCTCGTGGATGTGGGTATTCGTCGGTTCTGCTGGCTCTGCCGTTGTATCGCCCTCGCCCGCCTCGATCTCGGGGCGGTGGAGACGGTGAGAGGTATACGCGCCGTCGTTCCTCAGACATGTTCGAGGATAGCTGGCAAGAAGATGGCTGTCACAATTGCTGTACCGATTGGCTAGCCTGTGTCGTGGTATGTACTGGATGTATATATGGTGGGACTGACTGCTTTCACAAACTCACATTTGTCACAGAGACGGAAGATGGTTGTCGGCTGTTTGCTTCAAGTTGAGCTTTGGAGGAGTTGGAGGTGCTCAGAAGAATGCTCACTTAGAAACGCGCAATGGGAAGGCAATGGGAAGGCTGGCCAATGGGAAGGCTGGCCAATAGGATGGCTCCGTAGGGTTCCCATTGGCCAATGGGAAGCGTGGGTGATGGGAAGAAGCGTTAGGCGGGTCCCGGCGGCGTTAGCTGGCCAATGGGAAGGCCACGTAGGGTTCCCATTGGCCAATGGGAAGCGTGGCCGATGGGAAGGAGTGGCGTCGGCGGTACGCTTCCCATGGGCCAATGGGGAAGAACGTTACGACGTCGCAACTTCAGCATCTCGAACTTTGAGCGGACGGAGCAATCATCACAGAACATCGAACCAGAGCTTCTAGACGATTCATATAGCGTTCAGGACATCTGGGACGACGTCCACAGCTACTCCTGAAGCCAGTAGTGCGCTATAGCCGAAAAGCGCCCACATATAGGTTATCAGGTTATCCACCTAATAGGACGACCGGTACGTCGAATAAGTCACCCCCTTGACACTGGATGGTTAAACAGACCTCCGTAACTCACTGTTTGCCATCCATACCGAACTCTTTCAGTGTACCAACTCTTGAAAGTATTCGTTCAACGGTCGACACGTTATCGGCAAAAACACGCTTTTACTATTAGCCACTTATCAGAACGTTTTCGAAGCGGAAATTTACGCCTGTGATTCGATCTTCGTCAAAATCGAAACGCTGGTAGACAACACTAAGCTACACGGCTTATGAAAGTTTCAGAAGGATTCGATCTACCGCTACGGAAATATCGAATTTCAGGTTTTTTCGTCGCCAATAACGTACCCCCTTTGCAAAACTATCGCAGTTCTGATCGAAACAACCGTCAAGGTTCTTCTCCATCCTGAGAATTACCTACAATTACGCAGCACGTTTCAAAGCTTTTTGATCACGGCAAGCCGGGATATACGCTCGCCGCATTCGGACAATAGTGCTGTTTAAGTGAAAACGGGCTATTAGGAAACGTATCTCAATTTTTGAGATATTGAACCGATCAATCGCCGAGATTGTTCTCCGTCTAGTTCTTCACAGAACTGTGGCCTCCGTTCCTTTATAGGGTCAACGGAGCCGAAAAGCGCTGGCTAGTTGTCAACGGTTTTTGCAAGCAAAATTCTAAGGGAATTCATCCCCGTGGGCGTGTTCGTGCCTAGGCATACGCCCCAAACTCGTTGTACATAGGTCATTATGAGCTCTGAATCGGGTACTGGAGCGACTGGGGAGACCAGCACCGGTGCGGAAACAGTTCCCGAGGTCTCTGTGACCAGGAATGTCATACCCGCAACCGTGCGAAGCGAGCCTTTGGAGGTTCGAGCTTCCGAAGCTGTCCCCATGAACTTTGAGACCCCTGGTGTCGCGCGTGAGCGATGGGCGCGGATGGATGCCCGTCCACCGCGGCCTCCTCCGCCTCCTCCGCCGATGCTGCAAATGACGGCAGCGGAGTTGAATGCTTATATCCGGGAAGCGGTCGCAGATGCTCTTCGTACTGAGCGCACTGTACGAGAGGCGGCTATTCGAGCGTCGGCATGGGACCCAAGGGCTCCGGCCCCGGTGCCCATGGACGATCACAGCACTCGTGCTGAAGAACATATTCTTTCGAAGCTGATTCAGGATGATCACTTCAGGGGCATGCAGGACGCCACGGCCGTCGATACGTTCTTGAAGAATCATCACGACTACCATTATAACTTGGGACCTCTCGACGATAAGAGATACCTGGTTACCGTCGAGCGATACCTCGATGGCGCTGCGAAGCATTGGTTTACGACCAATTGTGCCAACGTGCGCACTAAGGATACTTTTGAACAGCGGTTCAAGGAGAGATGGTATCCTTGTAACGTTGCTCAGAACACGTTGATGCTGTTACGCAAATTGACTACAGCATCGAAGAAAGCGGGTACAGATACCGCTACAGCTCAACGTGCGTCTGGTGGTAGTGGTGGCGGAAAGGCTCCGCGCTACAAACCGGGCCGCCAGGGCAAACCTGCGGCTAATCGTAACCATAAACCTTACGCCGATGCCGGTAAATGCTTTCATTGTAAGCAGGAGGGACATCAGCGAAAGGATTGTCCCAAGCTTGCGAAGCCATGGTTGGATCCAGCTTCAGATCCGCTACGCATTGAAACAACAGAGGATTCGAATCCTGCACCGGTTGGGGTTAATGGCGTAGAGGAATACTTCCCCGATAAGATTATTGGGCGTAAGATGGTCCATGCAAAGCCACAATACTTGGTCCAGTGGGTCGGCTATCCACCAGAAGACACCACATGGGAAACACATGAGCGAGTTAAAGACTGCGCTGCATTGGACGACTTTCTCCTAGTACATGGAGATGTCCCATTTCCCGCTTCAAATAAGCGCAAGAGAGCTACGCCCAAAGGAGGAGGTTGGCCCTAAGCGCGAAAGTGCACGGTTGGCGAAAAACCATGAATGATCTGAGCGAGGATAAGTCGAAACTGTGATCGGATTGCAATGAGCTACTTGCAAAACAATACGTATATGTCCCAAGAGGTTCAGAACACCCGCATAAGTGAATGCGTTCACGAGTACCGACGTGATGGGCGATTTGGACTGATCATCCAAGAGCTCCGTGGTGTGATCTGCAGATGTACATAGGTGGTGGCTCCTGAAAAAAGACCCTCACCGTCACCGCCCCACTACCAAATCTCACACCTCCCTCCCTTCCCCGGATTCATCCCGCTTCCCTTCTTACACCCCCACGCCTCAATTGACAACGGCGCCAATGACACGGTACTTGGTGGGCGAGGGCGGGTCGGTGAGGATGCGGCGGAAGGCGTTTGTTGGGGTTCGGTTTGAGCACCATACGTAATGAAAACATCAGAATCCCACATATTTAGTCGGAAGAGAAGGAGTGATGTAAGGGGACTGATTCTTTGTTTACCTGAGCAAAAGCGACGTAGAATAACTGCTCCCTTGTCACATGGCGGCCAAAACCGGGCAGCATGGGGTTCCGTTTATGGCCGCCGAGTGAGTGGAGGTCGGCTTTCCAGGCTTCGTAGGCGCCGGAGGCCGCCGTTGTCTGCGAGGTTTTCGCCGAGGGTTAGGGCTTGGAGTGTTCTTTTTGAGCTGCGAGTTTTCAGATTACATAAGGGCGTTTTGGATGACTTGTCTACTTGCTAGTTAGTGACTTGTCTATGTCGCTCGCGCTTGTCTTCGCCTCGTTCTTGCTTCTCGTCCGGGAGGATTGTTAGAGGTTTCCCACGCTCGTTGTACCAAGCACAACCACCCCCACGTCCCGCTCTCAGCACAGAGATCACTCTTGCTCACAGAGCATAGCAGTCGTCAAGCCACTTCACCAATCCTCATCCACCGCTCACTCTCTCTACTCACAACCACCTACACACTCCACAAACGCGCCTGCCAAGATGGCTCCCGACACAACTAAAACTGCGAAACCAGAAGAAGCTGGCGAACAGAAGAAGGATGCTGTTAAGGACCTCAAGGACGCTAAAGGGAAGCCCCTCACCGAGGAGGAAAAGAAAAAGTTGGAAGAGGAAGAGGAACTCGTAAGTACTTGAGAGTGGTAATGATTCGGTGATCTTGGAACTGAGTGAAGGGAGGCGAGCGACGCCGAGGGTCTACAAGGGACGTCGCACTTCTTTGGCATGCAGGCGAAAAACGAGCTCGGGCACATCGGTGCCCGTAATTCAGCGGAAAGAATTCAATGCTTGAGGATCGCGAACGAAGATCGCGAACGAGAGCGAGCCCGATTCGTTGCGAAATGGATGCGCGTATCCACTCTCACGGACCGCGCGTGATCCATCGCAACATTCTTGCTTACGATGCCTTTCTCTTCTTTCAGTCCGATGAGGATAAGCAACTAAAGGAAGAGTTGGAGATGCTCGTTGAGCGTCTGACGGAATCGGACAAAACTCTTTACAAGCCCGCTTTGGAGACGCTGCGGACTCTCATCCGTACATCAACATCTTCCATGACCGCGGTGCCCAAGCCGTTGAAGTTCCTGAGACCACACTATTCAGGGTTGATCACCGTACATGAGAGCTGGCCAGCTGGTGCCAACAAGGTAGGATCTATGACCTGGCGTGTTTCCATTTCTCGCCTCTTCTAACTCTCTCGTCTCAGAATTTTTTGGCAGACATCCTTTCCGTTTTGTCAATGTCGTTTGCGGAGGAGGGAAAGAGGGATAGTCTAAAGTACAGGCTTCTGGGCACCAGGGAGTCTGCTGGTCTCTGGGGACATGAATACGTCAGGTACGTGCGTAGGAAACGATCATCGAGAAAAATACAACCACCGACATTCAACTTCCATGTCAACAGGCACTTGGCTCTGGAGCTGATCGATGAGTACGGCGCGCTGAACGATGCTCCCCAAGAAGGAGAGGAAGCATACACTGTAGCTTCTGATTCAGATGTGGTTACGAAAGAAGCGTTGGACATTGTCCCTTTCCTTCTCAAGCACAATGCGGAGGCAGATGCGGTCGATCTGATGCTCGAGATTGAGGCGTTGGAACAGCTGCCACCTTTTGTCGACAAGGACACGTTTTCTCGTGTCTGCTTATACCTTCTGAGGTGGGTCACCATATCACATTGCCCAAGGCGGCCATTCTTATTAATACAAACTTACAGCTGTGTACAATATGTTGCACCTCCGGACGACGTTGCATGCATGAAAACCGCACACACCATTTACCGGAAGCAAGCGCAATTCACGCAAGCGTTGCAGGTGTCTATGCGGTTACAGGATCAGGAAATGATAGAAGCAGACTTTAACGACTGCCCTGATCTGTGAGTGATTCTCGGATCTACTTACCATCTATATCGCTGGCGTCTCACGCAATAACAATTAGGCTCTTGAAGAAACAGTTGGCTTTCCTGCTGGCGAGGCAAGGCATATCGGTGCCAACGGAGGACGAGGAAGTACAGGAAATCCTGAATCAATCCAAGCTCTCTGAGCACTTCCGCGACCTCGCGCGGGACCTCGACGTATTGGAAGCGAAAACACCAGAGGATATATACAAAAGCCATTTAGAGAACGTTCGCGGTGGATTGGGTAGCACTCAGGTCGATTCGGCGAAACAGAATCTGGCGTCGACATTCGTAAATGCCTTTGTGAACGCCGGGTTCAAGGAGGATAAACTCATGACACCCTCGGAAGACGGGAGCTGGATCTACAAGAACAAGGAGCACGGCATGATGAGCGCCGCAGCCTCGTTGGGTGTTATTTTGCTGTGGAACGTCGAGGAGGGTCTCACCCACATCGATAAATACTTGTACTCCCAAGAAGACCACATCAAAGCCGGCGCCTTGCTCGCCATCGGACTAGTCAACGCCGGCGTCCGCAACGAATCCGACCCAGCCCTGGCGCTGCTCTCCGACTACGTAGACAGCAAAACCCTCGGCCTGCGGATCGCCGCCATTGTCGCGCTGGGTATCGCTTACGCCGGTACCGGCCGCGAAGACGTTGCCGAGCTCCTGACCCCCTTGGTGGGCGACTACAAGCTCTCGATGGAGATTTCCTCGCTGGCGTGTCTGTCCCTTGGACTCATTTTTGTGGGGCAGGAGAATGGGGAGGTTATTAGTGCGGCGATTCATACGCTTATGATGGATCGGGAGGGCGCGGATCTCAAGGATCCTTATGCGATTTTCATGGGGCTTGGTGTGGCGCTTATGCATATGGGTATGGTTGGAGGCGGGGTGGTTCATGTGTTGTGATGTTCTGGTGAAAGACTTACTTTTCGTTAACATCTGTAGGCAAGCAATCCGGCGCTGAAGCCACCCTTGCGGCTCTCGAAGTGATGGACAACTCCCTAGCGAAGACGATTCGTGTCCTCGTCGATACGTGTGCCTACGCAGGTTCGTACGCCATTAGCAGGGTTGCCACAAAAGTACATGCTAAATCGTGGAATTGCAGGAACCGGCAACGTCTTGAGCATCCAACGGATGTTGCACTATTGCAACGACCACATCGACGCCGACAAGGAGAACGACCGTTTCCAGGCATTTGCCGTCATTGGCATCGCGTTGATTGCAATGGGAGAGGATATTGGTACCGAGATGGCTTTGAGGTCTTTCAACCACCTGGTGAGTTGTTCGAAATCAAGCAGTGCACTAACCAGCAAAATGCTCAAGAAGCCATCATCTCCGCGAACAGATGCACTACGGCGAACCCGTGATCCGACGCGCAGTCCCCCTAGCCCTCGGCCTCCTCTGCGCGTCTAACCCGGTCGTGCACGTCCTGGATGTGCTGAGCAAGTACTCGCACGACAACGATCACGATGTGTCGATCAATGCCATTTTCGCGATGGGCCTTGTGGGCGCGGGCACGAACAATGCGCGGTTGGCGCAGATGTTGAGGCAGTTGGCGGCGTATTATCATAAGGAGCCGAATCATCTTTTTGTTGTACGGATTGCGCAGGTATGTTGGGGATGCAAAAGCGTAGTTTTGGAGGGTTGGATCACTTCATTTAAGATCTCTTTCTATTTCCAGGGTCTGGTTCACTTGGGTAAAGGGACGTTGACTTTGAACCCTTTCCACTCCAACCGCACGCTCTTGTCTCCTGTTGCGGTTGCCGGATTGTTGGTCAACCTCGTTGCTTTCACGGATGCCAAGAACTGTAAGTTTGACAGTCAGCGGTATTGACCGATGTATGACAGCTTGACTCAAGCCACCTTGATAATTCCTTCAGTAATCTTTGGCAAAGCGCACTACCTCCTCTACCATCTCGTGATCTCCATGTACCCGCGCCTGCTGATGACACTCGACGAGAACCTCAAACCCCTCCCGGTAACGGTACGCGTAGGCCAAGCGGTAGACGTCGTAGGCCAAGCCGGGCGACCAAAGACGATCACGGGCTTCCAGACTCACTCGACGCCGGTGTTGCTTGCGTATACGGAGCGAGCGGAGTTGGCGACGGAGGAATACTTGCCGCTGGCGAGTGTGTTGGAGGGGTTTGTGATTTTGAAGAAGAATCCTGATGTGAGTATCTGCCTTTGAGAGAGATGTAGTATCCGTGCTGGGTTGGTGACTGACGTTCTTTTTGATGCCCTTCCCCTAGTATGTCGAGGATGAATCTGACACCCCAGCAAAATAATGATTTTGCTGTTGACATCCGCCGATCGCCTTGCACCCCTCTTCTTTGAACTGTGATTCTTGACAAATAAAAGATTGTATATTCAACGGGATGATGAGCATATATATCATTTGGCGGGCAGGAGGGGGTTGTGGATGGGATGAAAGGGGCTGAAGCTAATGTTGTGTGATTCGCAGAAAACTAACAAAATGGGACATCCTATCGGATCTAGGTACCCGACCATTGCGGAAGCCGTGTTAAAATATCAGCAGTAGCAGTATCAATGCCCATACCAACCAGCCTCAAATGTCTCACCCCCTATCCTAACTTCCTGACCCAAACCCCGCATCTCTGTGGTATCTATCTATTTCACACTATCTACGTGCGGTAAGCGGAGAGTATCAAGCAAGCGACGCAAAATCAGATGTAAACAACACACACACACAACCCTGCAAGGCCTCACAACTTGGCCGCCGCCTCCTCCGCGTTCTCCCTACTCGCAGGACGCGTCATAGCAGCCGCAACGCGGGAAGCATTCTTCCTGCCCAACTGTTCAGAAATCCAGTTCCCAACCGAGACGACGCCGGGTAGGTCAACGCCCGTGGTGTAGCCGAGGCCGTGGAGCATGTAGGACGTCTTCTGTGGCGACGTTGCCGGTTGCGCAGTGGGCATAGGGGCAGCCACCTGTGAGATAGGGGAGGAGATGTGAGTGTTTAGTAATAGTGACAGGGGTTGAGGGGGTATGATGCAGGAATGAGAAACGTACCTAGACCCACGACAGAACTATCCACTACGCGTATGTACTCCATGCTGCAATCAAACAAAGATTGCATGGTGAGTCCCACCCATCTTCAATCCCAACGCGATTCCCGAGATCCCCTACTTGCAAAGAAACCAGGATATTCGCCAACGCTTGCCCATATGTATCATGACAATGCACCGCCAGACTCTCAATGGGGATGACCTGCTTCAGGTGCTCTAGCATGGTGCTGCACTTGCCAGGGGTGCCGACTCCGATCGTGTCGCCGAGGGATATTTCGTAGCAGCCCATGTCGTACATGCGGCGGGATACCTGTGCGACTTTGTGGGAGCGATGGGGCCTTCGTAGGGGCAGCCTACTACAGCCAACACGTACCTGTGGGTAGCGCGATCAGTGAGCAAGTTAGGAAACAACACAGTCAGTGACCCACCCCCTGATCTTGATTCCATTTTCCTTTACTTTAGCAACAACATCCTCAAACCGCTTCAAACTCTCCTCAATTGAGCAGTTGATATTCTTCCCACGAAAGCTTTCACTGGCAGCTCCAAAGATGGCGACTTCTTTCACCCCAGACGCAATCGCACCCTCTAATCCCTTCAAATTTGGCGTCAGTGCGGGATACCACACACCCTCCCTCTGTTTGATTCCCTCCAGAACAGCGGTCGCGTCTCCCATTTGAGGTACTCATTTCGGAGATACGAAGGAGGTTGATTCGAGGACGGGGCGGCCGGTGGAGGAGAGTTTGTTGATAGATTCGATGTTGGCGGACGATGGGAAGATGGTCTTTTCGTTTTGCAAACCGTCGCGTGGGCCGATTTTCCTCGTTGTATTGACGACGCAATGCTCCACCCTTGTCGGCGATACCTCCTTCTCCTTCTCCTCCTCCGAAAGAGCGTGCGGGCGACAGAGCGACGACGATGTGAAGGACGAATGGGCCACGGAATCTTGGTCTTGATCTTGAAAAGATGCTGGAGGGAAAAGGTGTTCGTCGACCACGCGCAGCTATGTCCGAGATGTCCGAGCTATCCGCGAAAGGAAGCTTGTACTGTACCGTCCGGACACTTCAGCAGCTACCCTAACCCGCACAGCTATAGGAGCGCACGTCTCTCGGCAGCAATAATGTCTATGCCAACAGCTTTGGGAAACCAAGAGACAAATGGATCTATGTACAGCCAATCGGAGCCCGAAAGACGATGTCCCTACACGTACACTTCGCAGCACCTACGGTCTGCCTCTACCTCAACCGCGACGACCCTCATTTACGAGTCTCATCCCTAACAAGCTCCGCCAATCGTTTCAGCGCCTCGTCCATATCCGCCGGATCGCTGGTCGAATACGACGCGCGGACGTACGGTGTCTTGCGCGGGTTTGGGAAGAATTCCTAGATGTGGGAGAGGGATGAAGGTCAGGGCAGGCGATGGGTGGGGATGAGCTATGTATATGTATACAACAGATGAGGCGGGCTTACATGACCGGGGACGAGGAGGACTTTCTTCTCCTTGGCTTTTGTCCGAATGAGATCGGATGAGTCGGATATGCCGAGCAGTTTGATCCAGAAGAACATGCCTGATGCATTTGGAAGAGGAGAAATTGAGGTCAGAATGCTCGCCTGATGGGTTTCTCACTCCCACCAGCCCAGACGGGTCGGTCCTTACCAGCATCAGGAACACTCCACTCCGCGCACCCCTTCAACCACCTCTCCGCACTCCCCAAAAACGCATCCCTCCTCTCCCTATAAAACTCTGTCACCCGCTCCGTATGCTGCAAAAACCCCTCGACGCCCCACACATTCAACAACTGGTACGCGAGCATCTGGGAGACGCCCGAAGGGTGCAGGAGGGTGGTCTGTCCGTGCAGGACGATGCGGTCTACGAGCGGTTTGGGGCCGGAGACCCAGCCGAGACGCATGCCCGCGGAGAGGATTTTGGAGAGGGAGTCGAAGCGGAGGACCCGGCGGTCGGTGTCGAGGGAGAAGTAGGTTGGGGCGCGGGGGGTCTGGAACTGTGTGTGTTTGGTGGAGGTGTGTTCAGCAAAATGATCGATTGCATGCTCAGAAAGCACCGATGGCCAACATACCTGTAGATAGTAGTACGGATCATCCTCCAGGATGATGATATCGTACTGCTTTGCAATATCGTATATCCTGCGTTTGCGTTCCGTGCTGGTGCTGATGCCAGTGGGGTTTCCTCCTGTTGGGACGGTGTACAGCACTTTCGGTCGCGTGCTGGGATCTTTCCACTCGCGTAGGGTGCTTTCCAGCTTTTCTGGATCCAGTCCTTGTGCGTCAACCGGAATCTCTGTTTTGATATCCAATGGAAAGGGGTCAATGGTGGGCTATAGCGAGGCACGATGCGTGCACGATGGGCCCAATCCATACCAACGAACTTGCAGCCCAGCGGTTTGAGGAAAGCCAATGAGCCGACGTATGCCGGTGCCTCAATCAAGAGACTGTCTCCCTTGTCCAAAAGCATTTCAAATGCCTAGTATTCGGCCATAAGTTCATCAGCATCCAGCATTTTTGGACCATTCTAGAATGCAACGCGGGCACCTTCGTCAGCACGTCCTGACTTCCATTTCCCACGCAGATGTGGTAGTCCTGATACGGCGGCTGATGCACCGTCGTTTGTAGGTCCTTCAGCCACGCTACGAACTCTGGTAATCCGTTCTGTGTGGGCAGAAGACTCCATCGATAAGCCAATGCTCGCATCTTCGACTCTAATGATTTAAGAATGCCAACCTACCGTGGGACTGTACTGCAAGGCCTTCTGCACATCCTCTGCGCCGACGCGTACCTCGCCACCACCCGCTTCGGGCTTGAGTGTGAATGTTAGGTCTTGGAAAGGGAATGTGACCGTGTTGGGGTTTCCTCCGCCCAATGAGATCTAGACGAATAGGAAGAGTCAGGATTCAACGCTTGCTAACGGATGGTTGGATGGTTGGACGGTTAAACGAAACCCTGTTCGCTCCGCCCGCGACAAGGTAGTTGGGCTGGTGAGTGAGGGGAGTATCGCGCCTTTAGCGCAATATGGTGCTCGCTTCGCTCGTAAAAGATCTTAACGCTCGCTGAAGCTCGCTAAGCCGCGGTTAGGGGACTCGCTACGCCGGTCTCCCACACTGAATGAACCCCGGTCTGCACTCCCTTTGCTCGCCGCAGACAACCACCGTTGGCCGCTTCGCTCGCAACCCGCTGTCGCTCACCAACCTCCAGCATCCCCACGCGTCCAGCTTGCTCCTCCCTCGCGTCGCTCACCGTGGCCTAGATGACACACACATACCATTCCTGGCAAAGTCATAAGAGGTTGAAGAGTCCGGATAGCCGAGGGCTGCCTAGCCGCACTGCGCTCAGTAAAGAATTTGGAGTAGTCACGGTCTCCCGAAGAGGGTTGCTTGTTGCTGCCTGACACGGTCGCGGCCCCTCGCACACCAGCCGAGGCAACGTCGTTCGTTTGCGTTATCATTCTGCTGGAACAGATAGCCTGGCGGGATGACTGACTTCGACGAGATATAAGTTGAGTGGCGGTGGCGAGTAGCGGACGATGAAGCCGAAGCGAGAGACGGGGAGCTTCTGTGGCTGCTCTGCCGAGATAGAGGGTCATAGTACGCTAACGCAAGTTGCCCACGAACGAAGAGATGCACGAGGAGGGAAAGCAGTACAAGCCAAGGGAAAGCAGTAATGACGAAGCCAGGGAGGGAAAGGGTTAGCTCAGGCCGACCCGTGGTTTGACAGCAACTGACACTATTACGCGTCTCGCCGTTTTCCGCCCCCCCAAAAAAACAAGCTTCCTCTTTTTCAACGCACACCGCTGGACACGGAAGGGCAACGCGCGAGGGCCGTTGGTGCGGGACTTCGGCGGAATTGGCAGGGCTATCAGAATCATCAAAAATATTTCAAAAAAGTTCCGAAACGGCTGAGTTACAGCAGGTTTTGTAAAGCCATTCCAGATTTTTGGACGCTGTTTTTTGGAGTGCCGTTGTGCACGGCGCAACGTCCGTACGGTCATGAGGCAGTACACTGTCAGGGACTAGGATACAATCCACAAAAAATTATAATCGCTCAAGGTGATCCGGCTTGCCGCAGATATGATATGGATGTACAAAGTTGCTCAAAACTTATATGTTCTAATACTAAAATTACGCCTCGGCCGTCGTAACTCCATATTGCGTGCAAACCACGCCATCGTGTCCGTACTAATTTTGATAAACATACCCTGGCAGTTCTGACACATTCCCTCAGGTCCAATAAATGTCTCCGGGCACCCGCACGAGGCTAGCGGCGGAAGGGCGGTCGTTGGCGTGATCGGATCCTGCCGTGAATTGGGCAAAGCGGAAATCTGAAACTGGTGAATTGGGATGTCCGTATTGAGCTGTACGACTGGGGAACGCCGCAGCGGGAGAGGCGGCAGCATCTCTGAAATCTTGGTCGCTCGCGAGGGTTGCGGTGGCGGCGGAACGGGTATGGGGGGGAAAGTTTCAAGGGTAACTCGTGATTTCTTCTTTGGTCGCTTCGCTGGGGCACTAAGTGGGGGCAGCCCGGGTCGCCGAAGCTCATAGAAACCAATCTTCCTTGATCCGTGCTTTGTTGCCTTGAGGACTTCTTCTGTCCTGCGTCGATGAACATATCCAGCAAGGCAAGCCAGCGGTCATGCTGAAAAACATCGTTGATAACATCTGTCTGTATGCCTTTGTCCACCCCCAGGCCCTCATGTCGAAACACCCCCACTCGCCTCCAAGCCGTCCAACATGCCCCACAAACAATTGCCTGCGTCGCTCCCTCGCCAAAGAAGAAATCCCTCCCCATTGCCTCTGCCCGAGCCAAAACCGGCCACGGCGCACGATAGAATCGAGAAGAGCTCTTCACGTCAATACAATCCGTGCTGTATCGATACTGGTTCCCTTGCTTCAAAACCCTCACTGCCCCTGGCCTCACCGCTGCCCCCTGCCTCACCGCTGCCTCCGGCCTCACCGCTGCCTCCGGCCTCACCGCTGCCCCCGCCCTCACCGCTGCCCCCAGGCTCGGCTTCCTACTTTCTCCCCCTTCGTCCCGCTCCGGCTGCCCAAGGTCCTGTTGCACGCCGGTTTGTCCTGTGTTATGGACGACGCGCCCATACCATAAGCCTACCTACCGACAGCCGCCGATGTCAACCGCCAATGTCAAACGCCAATGTCAATGTCAATGTCAGTGTCAATGTCAGTGTCAATGTCAATGTCAATGCCACTCCCCCTCTCTCCTCTCATTTCGCCAATCCTCCCGCAATCTCGCCACTCCTCCTCTCTCCTCTCATTTCGCCAATCCCCCCTCGGCTTCTCCACACCCCCACTACTTCTCCATAGCCAGCAGCTGTAGCAATGCTCTCTACGCTCGCCACGCACGCTCTAGGAGCATAGCTGGCGACCCCCCAGTCCCCTCTTGTTGTTGTTGTTCTCTGGCCTGCTGGGTTACCTATCTATAAATAGCCGGCCTCTCTTCGTCCATTCCCTTCCTCCCCAGCAGATCAACACCAGTTCTTCTCATCTCCTGTTCTAGTCCTTGTTTCTTGTTTTGCCAATACAATCTCTTGTCGCCTATCACTCTTGCCTTGTCTTCTGTACTTCGCTTTCGCCTCAGTCGTCGAGATCATAACAGTTTGATCTGCTCCAACACTGCAAAGTTCAGAACCTGTCCAGCCCTGCATCCGCCACACTTTTTTCGCCATGTCCCAATCCGAATCCGTACCTTTCACCGCCGAGCAATGGAATGATATGTGCCAAGCCATCGCCGCCTTGCAAAGCCAAAACGCCAACTTCCAGACCAACCTAGCGCAAGCCCAAGCCGACGCACAAGCTGCCCAGAACATTGCTGCCCAGGTTCAAGCCGATGCGTACACCCGTCCTCAAGCCACCAACCCTGCTCCCGGAGCTCTGGAGCCAAGACTCAGCTCGCCTGAGAAGTTTGATGGTACCCGCAGCAAATTCCGTGGGTGGCTAAACAACATCCGGTTGATGTTTGCTCTCCAGCCCGTCCGCTACCCCAGCGACATCATCAAAATCCAAACGATTGGCACCTACCTCACCGGCACTGCGCAAGCCTGGATGGGGCCCCTAGTCGAACGCCAAGCTCACAGCCTTCAGAACTTCGATAGTTTTATCGGTCAGATGCAATCTGTCTTCGGAGACAGCAACAGGGTCCGCACCTCCGAGAACAAGCTCCAGAACCTTCGCCAAACCGGTGCAGCCACCGAGTATGTCGCCAAGTTCCGCCAGCTACAATGCGATGTCTCCTGGAATGACCAGGCCCTGATTGCCACCTTCCGCCGTGGCCTCAAAGAGCACGTCAAGGATCTGATGCTCACGATGCCCCCTGCTGCCACCATTGATACGGTGATGGAGCAGGCTATCCAGTGCGATAACTGACTGTTTGATGGCCGCCTGGAACGAAACAGAACCCGCCAGACCTTCCCAGTTCCCCATACCTCGTTTACCACTACCACCACCGTCGACCACAGCAAGCCCATGCAGATTGACGCCGCCCGTCCCCGCGGCCCTCTGAGCCCCCAGGAACGCCAACGCCGCATTTCCAACAACCTCTGCCTTTACTGCGGTGGCGCGGGGCACATTGCAAAGGCCTGCCCAGCCAAGAACAAGACCACCACCCGTGCCGCCAGCGTCGACATCAAAGAACCCTCCACGGAACAGGGTTTTCTCAAGGTCCAGCCGCAGTAAAGCCCCAGCGACTGGACAACACACACTCCTCCGGGCCTCCTGACCTCGCAGCTCCTGCAACGGAAGAGGCCACCCCCCGGGTTCCTGACTCCGTTATAGCCGACACAACCCTCCTAGCCGCCGCCAATGCGAAAACTCCGAAATTAACCCACGCGCCATGCTTGCGCTGGGTCCTGCCAAACCCTTCAACTACCCCGTTACCATCTTGGTATCATCCAGCCGTGCCCCGATACCTACCTCAGCCATGATCGACAATGGGGCCCTGTCCTGCTTCATCGACGAGGGACTTTGCCCGCAAGCACCGCATCCCCCTAGTCCAACCTCAGCGTCCCCTGACAATCAAACTCGTTGACGGTCAACCCAGCTCTGCTGGACCAATCACCCATCACACCCAACCAGTAGGCATGTGGGTCAACGACCACTTCAAAGAACTCGTCTTCCATGTCACCAAATCACCCCATGCTCCAATCCTCCTTGATCTCCCCTGGCTCCGCCTCCACGACATTAACCTTGACTTCAAGAACCTTTTGGTCGGTTTCCGTTGCGACTGTCAGGACCATGAATTTGCGACTTGGGACCACTCTCCAGCACCCCCGAGCCCAGCACCCGCCAGAACCCCCGAGCCCTTGCTCCGCATCCCCCAGGATGAAGTCCCCGTCAACGAAACATGGTCGATCCCAGTACCCAAGGTATCTTGCTCCAGCACCCCAGAACCGGCTCCCACGCCGCTCCGAGTCTCGTTCATCTCCGCCCCAGCCTTCCAGGTCACAGCAAGGCATGACCAGGTCTTTGTCGCCTACGCCAACCCTGCGAAACCCGAGCTCCCGGCCTTGCCCAGCCCAAGTACCCTCCCAACACCCGAGAAAGACATCATCGACTTCCTGTCCCCCGAATATCAAGATTTTGCCGACGTTTTCGAAAAGAAAAATGCTGACGTTTTTGAAAAGAAAAATGCTGACACTTTCCCCGAGCACCGGCCCTACAACTGTCCAATCGATCTGGAAGAAGGCAAGCAGCCACCGTTCGGCCTGATCTACAGCCTCAGCAAACCAGAAATGAAGGCACTCTGCGAATACCTCAAAGAAAACCTCGCCAAAGGATTCATCAAACCCTCAAAGTCCCCTGCCGGTGCGCCAGTCTTATTCGTGAAGAAAAAGGACGGTTCTCTCCGCCTCTGCGTCGATTATCGAGGCCTCAACAGCATTACGGTGAAGAATTGCTACCCCCTGCCCCTGATCAACGGTATCATGGACCGGTTGCGCGGTGCCCGCCGTCTCACCAAGATCGACCTCCGCGGCGCTTACAACCTCTTACGCATGCGCCCAGGGCGATGAATGGAAGACCGCTTTCCGCTGCCGCTACGGCCTATTCGAATACAATGTCATGCCCTTTGGACTCAGCAATGCTCCTGGCGTTTTCCAGTACCTGATGAACGACATCTTCCGTGACTATCTCGTGTTATGGACGACGCGTCCATACCATGCGCTTACCTCATGACAGCATCCCAACAGTCAGTCAATGTCAATTCCCTGTCAAAACCTGACATCTGCCAAACCTTGCAGCCGCACGCAGCCGCGCTACCCCACACCTGCCACTGCCTTCATTTCTCCACGCAGCCGCACGTAGCCACACCTCCCAACACTCGGCGCTTACAAACCCTTCTCCATACTTCCCCACGTACCCGCCCACAGCCTCAGCGTAGCCACCCCATCCCCAGTTTTCTGTTTCTATGCTTCCCCACCCTTCGCGCTTCTCTTGGCTTCCCTCTCATTCCGTACCCTTCTGCTTCCCCACGCTTCCCCAGCCTTCCCAGAAGAACATAAATAGCCGCCTCCCCTGAGCTCCCCACTTCCTGATTCCCCAGCAGATCAACACCAGTTCGTCCTAGTCTTGTTTCTAGTTCTTGTTTCGGTCTGAATACCATTACCTGTCAACAACCTGCACCACAAGTCGCCTCTATT